TAGATAAAGTGTAAACGCTTAAAAATAATTTCTGTTTTCTGCAAAACTTCACTTCAAATATTGAACCATTTTGTTCTAATTTTCCGGCTCAGTGTTTTACAATAATGATACTTTTGTTTAAATTTATTTAACCCATATTGTGCGTCAGTACGAGAAAAAAGACACATTTTTTTTAGCGAATATTTTACTCTACTTTACACCAGCAACACTAGCAATAATAAAATATGCGTAACCATTGATTCTTCACTTACACACATCAACCTGAAAATTGACTACGGTCAAAGTGTAATTTTCCATTATTTTTTAGAAATATATCAATTATAACCCGATTAAACTTCAAGTACAGATTAACTGCAACGTTTCATTTGTGAAGCACAGTTTTTAAGTACATGCATTTTTATAAAACTACAATTTTTATATTAATATTACAACATGAAAGCCTATACAGGGTGGTTCGTTAAAAGCGCCCAAGCCCCTTATTTTGTAGAATTCATTTATTTCGTATTTCTACGGTACCGGGTTTCCATATTTTAATACCTTTTCTTATGTGTAAAACCATATCAAATAGTTGGCATCTAGCTCAATGATTACACATAGTAGTAGTGTCACTGTCGATTGTCGACCTACATATTATTATGACAAAGTTTTTCCACACAAAACTCCTTTCGGTGTAGTTTTCTATTAAATTCTACAAAAGCATTTTTTTTCTTTTATCTATAGGAATGAATATACAATCTTAACAATGAGCATATGTTGTTAAGTGTACGTACATTTGTATTTATTTTTATTATTAAAAAAACAGATCACGGCACCGCACTTATATTTTAGATTCCCGGTTGGAAGGTCGAGAGGATTAGAGTGGAAAATTACCTTATTGTAGAATATTTTGTACTAGGAAATGGCTTCTTCGTAGAATGACTTTATAATATTGATGGAGTATATAATAATTAGAAAAGTGTCTCTTAAAGGAGATGCGTTGGTTAATTTTCTTGGAACAATAATATTTTGAAAGGGCTGAATTTTTTTAGCACATTCCATAAGTCATATTACACATTTGTGTCAAAACCTTTTTATTCCAAGGAGATAAAACACTAAGCAAAAAACCATAGCACTTATAATTTGTCAATTTATCTCCAACGACAAATAATTTTTATAGAGTTTATACAAATAAGTATAACCAATGAAAAACAAGACATTTTGAATTTACCGGATAACACAAATTTATTATGATTTAGTAGCATACGTGATTTTGGTAATTAAATTAAAAGTTTAAAAAAACATTAAAATATGGTAGTCGTGCTGTATTTAAATGAAACTGAATATTTTAACTTCACTTTTCATCCAATCTGTAACTAAAAAGAAGTATTATCATGATGTCATCGTTGAATAATTAATTAATTATGTATGTTATAATAAGACTTTTAATAGTAGACTATCAAGTTACAGTTCAAGATCTAAATTGAGATTTTTGCGAAAAATTGCCTATTTTGAAATTTTCTTCAATACAAAAAAGTTGGCATACATATTAGTATCGGTAATTTTATTTTCCGTCAACAATATTTTGTAACACGAGCATTTTGTTACACATTGTACTTAACAGTCTGGTTAGATTACCTCATGGTCAACGATAACTGTGATGACAAGGATCAGAATGATGATGCTCATGATATTGGTTTGTCAGTTAGTGATATGTCAGATGGTTTTATGTCACGATTATCAGGTATATCACCTGAAACCATTTTATTTATTCATTAAGTATATCAACTCCCTTATTAACTATGTATATGAATCAATTAATTAATTACCATAACAAAACTCTTTTACACAACATGGGCAACATGTGCAACAAACGGAATAGCACACACATCTTACCATTTTCTTCAAATAGTTTCCAATAGCTGCACAAACATGTAGTTTTTTTTAAATATTAGGCTTACAGAGTATCCCTCAAAGACCTGACAAATGAGGTAACTTATGTTTAAGTGAAAATTTTTAAGACTTTTTTAATAAAAACGAATTTATACTAATTTTCGCCTTAAACATCACCGGTTTGTATTATTTCTACCTATTACAAACAAAAATTAATACAAACCGAGGAGTTTATAGAATACATTAGTTTAAAAAAAAAAATCTCATTGAAAATTGTGACTAATATTTAATTTAAATTAAATTCGAAATTACCACATAATGGTACAAACACATTAAAATGCACACAACTAACAGCTAACATTACAGCGTAAGTACATATTTTATTAATTATTTGTTCACAATTAAACTATTAAAGTTGTATAAGTAATACAAATAAACATACTTCCAACGAATGATCTCCCATCTAAAAAACATATATGAAATAAAAGTTAGATTCAAAATTAAATAATGTCGAAAAAACTGAGTTAATTGTAAGCAGTTACTTACTTTGTCGCGGACCGTGTATTTGATCATAAATACTAACCTCAGCTTGCTGACTTAGTGCGACTAAATGTAAAAAAACATAATCCGGTATATATATATTTTATACAGTGTGATTTTTTTTTTATCATGGGCCAAACACTTAATATCTCATGTGATTCATATAATGATTTTAATACCAATTAATCAAATAACTTCAGAGGGCATTCAAAACCAGTTAGGTCCGTTTTAGTCAGAAATGAGGTTTAAATAAAAACCGATTAAGTCTTTGCAAAATAGTCTAGTAGAAAAATGATTGATAAAAAAGAGTTAGGTTCTCAAAGATATATTTTAATGATAAGATTAAACCAGATAAGTCAACTCAAACGGTTGTGATTGAAAAAAATTAAAAATAAATATCTATGATCATTTTTGGTTAACTCCACCTATACCATTTTAACCTAAAAAAAATATTTAGTAATTTTTACATCAACTTAGGTTAAGTAACTAAAATTAAATTTTCAAATATACGTTACCACTTAAGTTTCAAAAGTCGGTAACATAACAATTTGTGGAAAATTAAGATCACATTATTTAAAAACACTATGAAAAATGAAATAAAATAGTTAATTAAACCCAGTGAGATATTGAAAGGCCAACATTAAAACAATCACCCTGTATAAACTCTTACTGGCATATATTTGTGAGAAAATGTTTTATCATTTGAGCTATCAATATAATATATGGTTCTTATATTTTAAACATTTAAAAATCATAAATGAAAACAAACAAAAATTACCAAACGTTCCCAAGATGATGAGAGCAATCAGTGAAATAGTAATTTTTTGCATATTGCAATAACGGCTGTTTGCAATCCTCAAAAAACACCGTTAAGTTGTACAATAGAGAACTGAATAACGTTCAGAAACAAATTTTAATAAACATATTATGATACATTGTTTAAACAAGTAGTGTTTCGACCAAACAGAAACGGGCATTATGTGCAAATAACACACAAATGTAAATATTTTTCGAGATTCAACTTGTATTCCACTTTTGGTTACATTATTTTGACCTCGCCGCCACATGGCTGTCTCTAATATATTAACAATACACTATGTAAATTGTAACCCGATTAAATTAAAATATTTTTGTTTTTCGAATTTGACGTATTAACACAGTTTAAGTCAGTTCAATCCAATCTAGTACAGTATAACCCAAGCCTAATTATAAACTAGCATGTAACTAGCGGTACAACGGGTGTGTTTAATTTGAAAGTGATTGAATCACTTTCAGTTGTAGCAATTTCTGTAAACCGACAATCTCCTCGTTCCCATTCGGAAATAAAGTTATTTATTTTGTATTAAGTGAATAATTTGAATGCTTTCTAAGAAGATAAATGTGTGTGTTTCCTCTCTTCAAATGAATTTTATAATATAATCAGACAAATACTAAAATGGTCAAAGCAGTTCTATTCAGCACTATTCAGGCGTAATACACCACCCAAACATACTTAATGCACAACAAATTTAAGCGTATGTAATGTAAATAGTTTAAGCATGTGTGCAGCTCCAACTGAACAGAATCTGGTATATCCAACTATGACGCATAAGACTATATTATTTGTAAATTTAAATTTATTGATACAAGATAATAAACATAATGTATACCGGGTGATTGGTTAACTATGGACCACTCAATATCTTAGAAGATATTAGACTTTTTTAATTTTTTTTTTTTTATACTTTTATAGTAATTAGTTGGGACAAATTTTATATATATTTCAAAATTTTAACACCATCCCTTATGCGTTAAAACCATATCAACTTTGGATTTTTAAATGGTAACCCCCAATTTTTTTTTTTGATGATCCTGTTTATTTTTTTTAAATTTAATTTTAGGCGTAAAAACTAGGTAAATCGATTGAGTAGTTAACGAGCTACACAGTTTTAAAATTAAAGGGAGTGTAAAAAATTAATTAAATATCTTGGAGATGCTAACATATTATGGTGACACTTGACTGCTCTCTGTTATTATTTATTGACAATTAACTTTGACAATAGCTATAGTAGCGTTTAAAAATCATAACCGTACCAAACACTATTTACTTTAGGTAAATAATTCACCGATAGTAAATAATAATGATAACCGCTATATCGACTGACAAATATACCACCACTACACACTTTTACATTTATTTTGTAAAATAGTAGATATGTTTAATTTGTTATCAATACCTTGTAAATATTTTTCCAGCATTTAGCAATTATATGTTTTGGTTAATTTGACACATTTTGTTTATTCATGCGATTTGTACGTCTTAATTTCTTAGTATATTATAATAATATACTATCATAACTTGTCAACATTTATTGTGTTTTAAATAATAACATTGATATTAAATATCCATAATCAATGTGAATACCGAGATGGAGTTTTGCTCAAGTGACAAATCTATAAAACCTAAAACCTTACTTATAAAATGTATGCACATCAAATGTCAAAATTACAAGGTACTTATAATAATATATTATTTAAAATAAATAGAGTAATTTGAATTATGCTTCATGATATTTTAATTAAAACTTTTATTTTTACAGTATTATGTCTTTGTTCTGAGAAACTTATAAATGTGTAGTTTTGTGTTTTACTATATTGGTATCTGAATTCAAAGAAAAAATATAAAATTTTTTTGAAAAAATTGAATCTTCAATCATCGTTTACTGAATCAATAATAGGTAAGATAATGTATTTATTGATATAGGTGTATTGTAAAAGTACATTTTTTTATTAGAAAAATATAATTAATCGTTTTTTTATTATTCATGAACTTATAAAATGTTTTTACATAATAAGTTTTTTTGGATTACTTATGTTTATCATACTTAATATGTTTTATTAAAATGCGTTACTTAAAAATTAACGTATAACTTAAAAATTATCATACTTGTATAATTATAAAAAATATATGTGTATACTGATATTTGTTGCTTAACCATATAATTATTTAAGTATCTAAGAAACTTATTTAATTTTTTAAATTAAATGTTTCAGTATGTTCAATATTAATATGGACTATCTCAACTTACATTGATATTTGTTATTGTCTACAGCTACACTACTACCAACGTCAAATTTGGTGTATTATATTATTGTAGTCAATCAGTCTAAACCAATTCCATCAATACATTGTCGAATGTTGTGGCATTCAATTTTCAGTAAATTTATAGGTGTTTTATTTTAAGGTAAAATATATAAGATCATCAGTTTGCAATAATTTAGTTAATTTCTATGAATTCATCACTAACAATTTATTATTATTATTATTATTTTTTTAGATACTGTGGCACACTAATGCAGATAACGGTTTTCCATTAGGTCAGTAAGAAGAATAAGATGGATTCACAAGTTCAAATCAAATATTAGACAACTATATATATTTAGTTATTCAGCTAAAAATGTAATTCAATAAAATAATTTAAAAGTACTTTATCATGTTAAAAGTGACATAAAGTTTTTAAACTCTAAGTATTTAAACACACGTATACTTAACATATCTATAATTATAATACATTATTTATTAATTATTAATGATGAATTCTTTATTTAATATTAATTTAATCTAAAATGCCGCTGAGAATGTTAATATTTCTGAAATATGTTATTGTCTTAATCCAAATCTTGAAATTATTTTCATGATGGCATAGTTTTGGCATTAGCTATTACAGAATTTATTGACAATTTTCTAGTGGTTTACGATTAAGTTTTTATAAGTAATAAAGTAAATAAAATTATAAAACACAAAATAGAAAAAAAAAATGTTAACTATTGGATTAAGTGTTCATATGAACACATTAAAATAAGTAAGAATAGTCAATACTATGAAATATATACAGTATAGGCTTAAGGTGGTAATATAATAAAGAGTTAATAAATAAATACAGCTTTAAATAATTAAAAATACTGAACTAGAAATAGTTAAAATTGACGCGTTACAACTTTAAATTATAAAAATGAAAATTTATTTTAGTGCATAAGTATTGGATGAACGTAGTTCTTATGGAATCCTTTGTTATCTAAACATTTTAATAAACACAATAGATGCCTTGTAAAGATGTTGTTTGACATCTTATGTACCTATCATAAACCAGTTCGAACAAATGCTAAATAGTTTCTGTACATATTAAGTTTAGTTTTTGTTTATTTCTGTATATATTCTGTACATATTATCTATTAACTGTATGTAATACAATATTATACTAAAAAAACAAAAAATTGAATGTTATTTATTAAAGTTTTTTTAAAAATATTTTCACTAACAGAATTAATAATTCGACTAGTTAAGACACCAGTACAAGTAATACTTATTAAGACCAAGACGCTAAATATTTAAAGTAAAAACCAAGACGCTAAATAACCATAATAATTGAAAAATTAGAAAAATGAACTTTTTGATTAGTTTTCAAGTAGTCGTATTTTTATAATAATTTGTTCTGTGTTGATATTAATCTACGCTAGTAACGAATCGTTTTGGTAGAACCACGGTATATAGTCTATATAAGACCGTGATTAGACCACGGTAACCTTTGGTTGAAATTGAAAAAAAAAAACTATTTACTAGGGCTCATAATATTGTTTGTTAACAGCAGCTAATGCCTAATATTCAATACGTACAGGTACACCGCACCGCTAGGAACACTACAGCAAAAACAGATAAGAAGACATTACCCATATAATATTATTATAGATTTATTATTAGTTCGTTTTCATTGTGACCGACGACCGTCAACTATTAACTTTAATCTACAACCGTATCGTTAATCAACCTTATTTTGTGAAACGTGAGATCCGGCGATAAACGATTTCATTTCTTTAGTTGTAAAACTTATAAAAGCATCTCATATAAGCTAATATTATAATATTGTAGTACTAAGCTATGACTTTAAAAGTACTTGTCTGATTTAGCTAGTTTTTACGCCTAAAATTAAATTTAAAAAAAATAAACACGATCATCAAAAAAAAAATTGGGGGTTACCATTTGAAAATCTAAAGTTGATATGGTTTTAACGCATAAGGGATGGTGTTAAAATTTTGAAAAATACATTAAATTTGTCCCACCTATTAACTATAATAGTACAAAAAAAAAAATAATTAAAAAAGTCTAATATCTTCTAAGATATTGAGTGGTCCATAGTTAACCAATCACCCGGTATTCAACTTGCACTAATATTTGGATAACGTTGCCACTTATCGTTGTCTACTAATTCGAATATATGTTGAAAATAATATATGACTAACGGCTTGAGTTTAGTTACACGGTGGGTTACCATGTAACTATCAGAGGACTCGCCACATCTGTGAGCAATTTAATTAGGACCTAAATAAACTGGCTGATTTGACTACACCATAATGGTGTATTTTTTTAATTAGGGAGGTTTAAATTATCAATCATACAGCTCTAATAACTTGCCTCTTTTGTTTAAATTAAATTCTCTCGATCTACCTATCACGATTAAAACAATATTCACCTTGAGTAATAAAAAAAAATGAATGTCTATGACATGGTCCTAACAATAGTATGTCTGTTTACATTATATTTTTTTTTATCTCAAAATCTGTTTGTTCAAACCCATTAATGTAATTATTTTTTGTTTTCCGACTTAGATTAATAACTAAAATAGGACGATTGCTGAATGAAAACTACAACGCATTACAATAGTTAGGTTGAACAAATATTTGAACTATTTGTATGAAAAGCTATACAATATCCTTACACTCCTTTAATATGAACGTGTCCGGTGTATATAGCGATTTAACTTATCTTTACGATTAAACAGGACAATGAATGCAAAACAGTAGTAACTTGAACAAACGTGTCGAGTTGGGTGTGTGAAGATGATGTCAATTGACAAAAAAAAAAAAAAATATTACACTAATAAGAATGGTGATTGCTATTGGGAAAATAGGGGGTTACAATGGGAAATAAGATAAAATCAGCCGACGAAAGATCTAATTGGTTTGCACAGTATAGTTATAGTAATATTGGAGTATGCAGAACACTTTACCTATTCAAATCCGGATTAGACGAACAACCTGTTTTTTTTTTTCCAGATTTCATATTTTATTTTTGTCCAAGGTAAACGGTAAAGTTAATTGTTTTAAGCAAACGTAATCAATCTAGTTGTACTCCGTTTTACTACGTAAATTTTGGAAAACGGGTTTTACATTTAAATACATTGGAAAATCGCCCGTTTTACTGCCCCACCCTGTATATTAATTTCTTGTTGTTTTCTAAAAAAAAAAAATCGAGTTTCTAACACTTAAATTAAAATTAAATCTTATAATGGTACTGTGATGGAGAAAACAATAAATTTTACTTACATATATTACTTGTTAGTTAAATATTGCTAACGTTTATAGCCACTAGCGGTCGGCTGTTGCCTGTTACATTTACATAATTAACAATAACCTAAATTGAATTTGTGTAAACTTAAAGTCAAAAGTGGCACTTGAGCACAAAACTTAATAGTGTATCAGGTCTACTATTACCTTGTATTATGAGCCGGTTGAGAATATTGGATAATCAAATGACACACTTTGTATAGCTATGACACAATATTCAATGCAAAAGACCTAGAAGTTAACTGTTAACCAACATTTTAAATAATGTTTTTTTTTTTTTTAAATAAGTTCAAATTAAAATACATAATATATCGTAGCTAAAAAGACATAGGAATGATGTTTATTTATAAAAATTATATTTTTAAGGATAAAATGCTATCAAATAAAAACAAACGACACGTTGATTTTGATTTTAGAGAACTTAATGTGTATATTTTAGTCATCGGCACATTATATCCATACTGATTAAGAACAATTCCTTATTTTTGTGTTAAATTATTTTTATTTTAAATTAAATATGTACGCTCGAGTGGTCGAGTAGAAATAGCTGTCAGTGGCTTCTAAGTGCGTTCTCGCGCAACACTCGAGTTACACACCCTTGAGTACTTGTATACATTTTTAACGAACGCAGAGAGAATTTCAATATTATCACTATATACCTTTTGATGTATATGTATTTCTCAGCTGGGCGTGGATTTATTAAATATATACACTGGCCGTATACTATTCTACAAAACCTCTTTGGTCGTTAGTCAACGCCGGACAACGACGATTTTTAGTTGGTTTATTTTGCTAATTATTGGTATTCACGCTTATCTTAGCTATTGGCAAACGACCATTAGAGTTTTTCAAAGTTTCGTGCGCGGTTATCGATTGACTTGAGTAAGTTTCGGATACATCCACGTCACTAGTTTCAACGCGTTCATACGTTCATCGTTTGTTACAGAATATGTTCAACCCTTTGTGGTTAATCGCCCCTCTGGGCTTGGCCGTGATTGGGTATTACTCGTACGTCTACGCCAGCGGAGTCGAGGAAGAGTTTGAGGAGGAAGAGTTTGAGGAGGAAGAGTTTGAGGAGGAGGAGGAGGAGCGTCAACAGGAGGAACGGCAACGGAGTGCCGATGAAGAACGGCAGTGGTGGAACGAATCAACCAAGGTGGAAATGTTAAACCAACAGAAAGACACGTTCGAAACATGCCGGGTAGTAGCTCAGCGGTTGGCCGGCGAACCTGTGGAATACTTCAGGTTCGTCGACCTGCTGTCTGAGCTACTATCCTACCCGGACAACCCGGTCACCCATGCGGCGAGGCAGACGTTTCTGCCTATAATTCGCCGCATGGGACGGGAAGCATCGCGGGAGTTCGACAAGATGGTGGAAAGAAAGAGAACGGGATTGAAAAAACTGCCCACGCCGTTCGGAGGCACCGTGTACTACGACGTACTCGAAGGCTAAAGGTAACTGCTTGGTACGCCGTCGAGCTTTTGGTATGTATCTCCAACTGTTAATTAATTCGACAAGATTTTGTGACCATTGGTTCAAGACGGAAACAAAATGTTGCCGAGGTCGACAAACATTCCACATTCGGCTCCCCGGTCTCCAACAGCTGTCCAACCTCCGCTGAACGCCCTCACTCCCTCGCGCCCTCATTCGCTCACCGCCTCATTTTATCCCTGTGGACAGGGGAGAAAGAATACTTCCAAGGTTCTCGCGCCTGTCGTAAAAGGCGACTAATGCGACGTCGAGCCCGACGAAAAGTGGCCTTCTGGCAGGTCACTTCTTCTTGAGACACACCTTCTGCGGCCCGCAATCGGCACCTAGGGGGCCGTGATTCTTGAATATTTATCGAGAATCTGCCCCCGGCGCTGGGCGTACCGCAGTCGTAGGGGAACCCTTCGGGGCGAACCATTGAAGCCAAGGAACACCTGTCCCGTGCACTTAGTGCATGGCATTCGCTGTGACGTTAACCAACTGTGTGTTTAATCATCTATTGCGAAGTTTTTCAGCTTTCACAGCTGTTTCAGCGGTACCGCTTGGCGACAGACAGCCTCGGGCAAGCATCGGCGATGGATCCGCTCCTGCTGGCCCTCTGGAATCGCCTGCGAGCCCAGAGAGAAGAGTTCCTCGGTCGCAACTGCCGCAAGCTTCAGACAGGTCACTTCTTCTTGAGACCGCCCAAGGCCAAGGAACACCTGTCCGTGCACTTTGTGCATGAATGCGCTATGACCGCGTCAACGTCCTCCGAACCGGACACTTACGTTGCAGACGGATACACGGACACTTACGTTGCAGACGGATACACGGACATTATGAATACACCTTGTTTTTAACATTTTGTCTGAATAATAAACAGCAACCGTGACACTTAAACCGGCGTACATTTTATTTTCACAACAATTACCCTGTTTGCGTTGTACTTCAAATAAAACCGTATCCATATAGTGTATAGTCTGAAAAACACTTGTAAAAAAAATGTGCAATAAATTAATTTACATTTTTTTGGAAACATTCAATTTTCCATGCTTAGTAGCTCCGAGAAATTACATAATTATAAATGTTTATAAAAATACAACTAAATATTACAACTGTTTTTAGAAAAAATCGCGTCTCGTCCTTAATGAATCGCCTAATTCATTTATACTCATTTGCAGATTTTATTTCTCTTGACCGTCCCTTGGGTATTACCAAAACCGTTTTAGATACCCTTAAAGAGATTGGAAATAGATAGCGGATAAACCCCTATGTCTTGTAATTTTTTCCTAATAATTTAAAAAAATTTTTAAACTCATAATTAAAAGCAATACATTGGTCTTTAAAAAAAAAAAACTAGTAATTAGGTATACTTAAGGTAGATTAAAACATTAAATTTAAAACCTTCTTTGAAAAACATCAATGAATTATAATTGATAGATATGAAATATATTTTATAATTTAATCTGGTTATAATAATAAACATATCCTGATAGTCAACCATGTGACTAAAGCCATCAGTAACATAATATTTTTGACATATATTATATTCTTTGAGAAAAATTATTTGAAATACTAAGCAATTAACTAAAAAAATGATAAATAATAACTTTCCAATCTGACTTGCTATATTTTTGGGACATTTACTGGGCATGTCGTTACTTAAAAATGTCCTTAAGCCTTAACTCTATTAAAATTTATTTTGATTTCACTTAATTTATCATGTTAAATCTATTGGTTTTTTTTTTTTTATATTTTGAATAAAATGTTATTTTGTTCTTTAATAGCAAATTATCCGCCTAATGAGAAATTAATTTCAAGAGGCATTATTGTTAACAAAAATTAAAAACGTAAAGTGACTCACTTTAAGTGAGTAGAGTTACTGGCAATTTTTTTTTTTATAAATAATTTTTAATTGGAAAAGTTTACAAATATTCTTATTGTTAACACGAGACAGGTGTACTAAAAGTGAATGTCCAGTATAAATATTTAATTAATACATCGAATGATTCTATGAAAAATCTTTACAATTAAATCTGGTTATAATTTACATATATTGTTAATATAATATGTTATTGTAGTCATCTGTGTGACGGAGTTGGCAAAGTTTAACCAGAAGGAATACAAGCTGAATCTCGCTGAATATTTACCCGTTTCTGTTTGGTCTAAACACCACTTGCTAAAACAATGTATGTTATGTTTATTAAAATTTGTCTCTGAGCCTTATTCAGTTCTCTATCCAACAACTTGGCGGTGTTGTCCAGATTTGCAAACAGTCTTCAATATACGAAAAATCGCTATTTTTTCTTTATAGCTGTCCTTTTTTCGGAAACATTATTTGGTAATCATTATACTTGTATCTCTTTACAATTAAATATTTTTAGGTCAATTACACGATTACCTGGACAATATATTATTTTTATGACTTTTATAATAACCTTGTATAGTATTGTATGAAAAACTATATATTATAAAAGCCAAATATTGAATGTTTAGGAGAGTCCACTTCCTTTTACACACTCGACTTAATTGTACTTAATATAATTAAAAATGACAATTCAAGTGTTTTAAATTTTTGTTCTAGACGATGAAAATTATAAAACTGGAATATTTTTAATGAGCTACTGTTTTCGATACTTCTCACTAATAAATATTGTCTACTTAAGTATTAAAATTGTTATGTTTTTTTTTTTAGATTTTAATAGTATTCAATTAACGTGTCCATACAATGAATGTCAACGGATTGCTTATGTTGTCTGTGTTGTTAGTTAGTTCATTGAATGTCGTTAAGGGACATAAGTGCCTTAATTTTACTCCTATGCCTGATTTTGATGTACAACGAGTAAGTAATATAATTTAATAATAATAACTTTGTATGATAACAAATTTGACAATGAAGCATTGTCACTAGAGGGCTGGAAATGGTGTTAAGAGTTTAGTATCGACCCAAATAATAATTTTCCAAACAAAATGAAGAATGTTTTTTTTATTTTTTGCAACCTTTTGTTAAAAAAAAATGCTATTATTAATTAAACCCAGTGAGATTTTGAGTGGTTCACGATAAGTTGACCATTCTGTATATGACCCACACACACACACAAAAAGGGTCAATTTTTAAAGTCGTTATTAATTTTTTTACAAATTTTAACTTTTGGATGTTGATGGGTGTTATTTTATGCACATTTAAGGTTGAAATCCAAAATCTTTAGTAGTTTGCGCATGCGTGGTATAAACTTTTAAAATTGGGAACCCAAAATAATTAAATACAAAAATGTTAAAAACCCTTTTTAATACCGTACACTGTTCAAAAGTTATTGCTATTTAAAGTTCATGTTAGTGCTCTATTCAAAAGCATTTTTAAGTGTGTACAAGTCAGATAAATTGATGTGACTTTTATCAGATATTAAATATTTCAAAACTTTTCAACTCCGTTTTTAATATTAGTATTCTTAATATTTGAACTTAGTGTATAAATAAGAAATTATTTTAAAACTATAACACAGTCAACAAGTCGATTAATAATAATATTTAATGCAGCATAATATCAGAGCTGATAGGATATGAACCTATAACAATTCACATCTAATAACCTGTCAGTCCGTCTCTTATACGTTGTAATAATGTCGCAAGTGGAATCTTGACTCTCACAAAAGCATGAAGTTTTCAAAATTTATCGTTTTTGAACGATAATATTACAAAAACTACTTGGCAGAAATTCGAAATTTGACCAAAATTTTCTTAAAAAATTAATAAACTAACAGAATATCTAAAAAAAAAAAAATATGGGGGTTCCCGTTTTAATTTCAATAGTTAATACCACGCGTGCGCAAACTCCTCGAGGTAAGATTTTGGACTTAAGTCTTAAATGTGCATAACATAACACCTACCAACATGAAAAAGTCAAAATTTGAAGAAAGACAAACAATTCCAGGTTAGTAATATTATTATGATTTACTACAACTTTAATAAAAGTATACAAGTTATTTAATCGTAACAAATACACAATTACCATGTTCAAAAAAATCAATTAAATTTATTCCTGTGTACTTGTACTAATTTGCAAATTGTTTTCTACAGTTTTTAGGGACATGGTACGCCATCCGAACGACAACGACACCGGTTCGATGTTTAGTGTATGACATAGCAAACACACGGAAACTCGACAATACGCAGAGGCTCGACAACATAAATTGTACAGACTGTAAAAATTGTCAAAACTATGTAGAGTGTACAAAATGTCCTACAAACAGTACAGGGTTATTAGACCGCAGTGGAACAGCCAAAAACGTCAATGTGTTTGGAGAATTGAAACCCGATCCAAGTGTACCGTCCAAACTGATTGTTTTTATGCCTCCTTGTATGTACTTGAATTTGAAATTTGAATTCTTAAATTTGCCCACCACCAAAAATTAGGGGTATAAAATGTATAACGATTGTATGTACGAAAGAAATTTAATTTTAAAATATTGACATACTGAAATCATCGCCATTATATTTTTTCCATCTGGTAGAATAGACAAATTGATTTTACCAAGATACCAATATTTATGGTAATTTTTATAGTTAATTTTACAGATGTTGATGAAAAAATGTTTATGGTTGTGTTCACCACTGACTATGAATCTTACGCGGGTATTTACACTTGCGAAAAATATGATGGTGGCTCCGATCATGTTGTTAGCATTTTGTCCAGAACAGTGCACTTGGAAGCAACACACATTGAACATGTAAATACAAAATAACAATTGCATTGATATTTATTGTTATGGAAAAAAGGAATTAATTGAAATTGATTATTTGCATTTTAAAATAATATATTGTTAACTTGCAGGTTAACTCTTTTATACGGTCGGCTAGGCTGTTAGATAATCTCTTTATCATTGACCATTTAAACTGTAACCATCCTATGAACAGTATTGACCAGAATGTCATTGACGTTGACAAGAAAATTTACGTTTCTGTAAAATTCCAATCGGGAGAATCAGGTAATTTCTTTTTTATAATAAATTGATCAATTATTCAAAGTGTAATTTATGCATAGAAAGATACAGTGCATAGAGAGTATGTACAGTTCATTTAAATTCTACTTAAACATTGACTTCAAGCTGTAAAAAATACTCAGTTTTTTATGAACGAACGTCAATTGCCTCTTTTATTTGTGTTTATTTCTTTCAACCAATTAAAAGTCAAATTATTGTATTAATAGCCCCTTATTTTTTCGTATTGGCACAATACTCAACAAATCTTAATGATTTCAATATCTATAAAATTATACAAAAAAAAAAAAAAAATAATAAATCACTGTATTCGGTAACATTATCATAAAAAAAAAAACATTTTTTTACCCTTTTAGTTCCGAGACGATAGATTATGTTTTTTAGGGCATTTGGCGTCATTAGCCAGAAGTGTGTTTTTTAATACCATTTGTTTTGTTTCAATTTGGGTAATTCCCCCGATGATAATAATTATATGAGTTTAGCTGAAACAGGAGAACTAGGCAATTGCTCTTTTATAATTGATCAAATATCAAAAGCGAAATTTATATAGAAAGATACTTTTAAATAATTAATTTAATTTATATGAATAATAGTAAAAAAAAAAATTGTTATTATTAATTACACCTTAATGTATTGAATATGATTTTAGCTATAATAGAAGAACCAGGTAATTTTTTGATTGTGATTGATCAAATATCTTAAGTGTAGTTTATATAAATAGATAATTATATACATTCCATTTAACTCGTATTTCACTTTTAAATGATTTTTTATTTATTTTTTATGTGTCGTATCTTTGTGAAATACTCTATACGTGCCTGTTTCTACTTTTGGTCGCACAATAATAATCAAAATAATTGTTTTCTTATGATTTTAGCTGCAACAGCAGAACCAGGTAAATGCTTTTTTATAACCAATCGATTATAACATAAAGTACAATTTATTTCAAATGGTCTTGCCGTCATAATCGAGTCTGAGTTAAACATTTAAAAGTGATTAAACTTTTTAATGTAAATTTATAACTACTAAGAGTATGACAGAGAGTAGTACCGCACTCCATCGCCGGACCCAAAGTTTAAGCTTATAAAACTTTAAAATTAAATATCAAAAATTAATTGACGACCAGTCAAAATTCTCGGTAAAATTGTTCTTAACAGAATGGCTAACTTAAATTAAAAAAGTAAAACAGTTAATAGCAATAAAAACCGTGTGGCTTATGGCTCAAATGAGTATACATATTGTATATTCGTTATATCTTTTTGAAACACTATTTGTATGTAAGTAGGAGTTTATATATTTGTATATATATACCTGATTATGTTTTTTAGATTTAGTCGCACCAATGAAGCAAGTATTTGACAAAAAATCACAAACACAGGGTCAGCGACAAGGTGAGTAACAATTAACTTCAAGTTTTAAATAATACTCAGTTACTTCTATAAATTACTATGGATATTATTTCTGCTAATCTCATAGGCTTATAAACTTTTTGAATTTTGAATTAAAATAAAAACATACACATATATTAGAAGTTTAAACTTATTAATCATGAGAAGATACATTATTTAGTTGCTTAAGACTTGTTCATTCTGAATTAAATATATTTTTTTTGTATAATATTACAAATTTAATTAATACAACGTACTTAAATAGTACCCTTACGTTCTAAGATAAAAAAAAATGTAATTTTTTTAGAATATTTTTATTTAAGACTATTATTAAGAATAGCAGAGTTTGCTTATACATTTTTTTTCGCTATTAGCATTTATAATTTGTTAGGTAAAGTCATACCTAGACATTTCTTTCAATCATTTTTTTTTTATAAACTCAAACAAGAAATAATAATTTATTTTTATTTGTAACTAAAACAAGCGCTGCGATAGACTGTCTCACGTTATATAAAATTCATTAAATCAATTTTTGGTAAACATGGCCTAATGAATATAACAAAATGTATGATAACTGATCTAACTATTGATTAATACATTTTTTTTTAGAGGGAACATCGTGCTGTGGAAGTATGTTTACATGCATTACCTATTATTTACATAGTTATATGTGAAGAAATCATTAATAAATTATCTACTTGTGTGCACTGTAATATATTTGTAATATTATATGGTCATTTGAAATTTACATTGAATTAAATATGAGTGACAATTTTCAATATACTTGATTATTACATACCTAATGGTCAAATGTTTTGCGTAGCTACCCGAAACAAGTCGAAGAAATGTTTCTACAACTTCTTTGGAGTCGAGTTTCGCTGCTGTTGTTATAATCCACGAACACCAGGTAATCTTAATATAATGTTAATCGATTTTTCCTCGTTAAAACATTATAAATAAATAATTAATTGATTCGAGTTAAACTTGCTTAATAAATAAAAATAAAAAAAAGATATCTAACCTACCTGTTAAAAATGTATAACAAAATTCTCCTAATACTAAATATTATTGACGGTAATATAAAACCTAGAAATTTAATGAAGAGCAAAGCATTTTTGCGTATGCTAACATAAAGTTTCTGTCCAAAATAAAATTGTTGGTCAAATGGTCTTTATTGAATGGAACAAATAACTTAATCAAATTATACACACAATAGCTAGCTAATATACATTTAATGTCCTCTGAAATTAAGGATTAGTGTATATTTCTTTTGAAGGAAAACTTTTAAAAGTCTAATTGTAACATACATAACGTTTTATTTATCAATGATGACATTATTTCAATACTCTTTTTTTTTTATTACAGGAGGAATCTGAATGTGAAGTCAAAATATTTAGTTTCATTTAAATACATTCATTTAAATTTATCAGTACATTCACAGTATACTAGTATATAATAAAAACTAAACAATTCTAATTTATTTAAAAAAAAAAAACAAGTTAAAAGGTGTGTGGTCTTTATTTCTAAGGTCAATAATATTTCTGGCAACGAAACCTACCTTTAAATGAGTTGGAAAAAATAATCATGATGAAATCTAGACTTTTGTTTGTAAAACCAAAAAAAAAATACATGACACATGTATCCTGAAATTCTATCATTTTGAAAAGCCTATATTATGTGGCTAATATCTTTTATATATTATTTAGGTTTTGAGTGTAATTGCTAAGTTTGTCAGCATATTAACATTGTACAGAAGTGTGATTGAGAAGTGCATGCAGATAAAAATAATACTACACTTCACTTTCCTCCTACTTTAAACTTGAATAACTTCAAAAAAATAGTTATCCAGAACTGGTTGTCGACCAGTCAAAATGTTAAGCACATTATTCTCAATTTAAAAAGTTAATGAAATGTATGTGTCACCATTTAAGTTTCATAAGTTGCTATAAAAAAATTAAGTTAAAAGGGGAAAAAACAAAAAAAAAGTGCAAAATTAAGATCAAACCATTATGAATAAAAATAAATTAAATTTCTTATTATACCCAATGAGATAGTAAGTGGTTCACGATAAAATTGACACCCTGTATTATATAGTTTCTTAAAAAAAGTTATTTTATTCTTAAAATACATCCAAATTATTAGTCTATTACAAAATACACATTTTTCTATCAGATATAAATTAAAAAATCCTAAAAAAAAATACTTAGCTTTTTTTAATTTTAAGCAAATAATTAATTTTTGGAATTTAAATAAGATGTAACAAACAATTTAAAACATAAGCCTTTAGGCAGCGCAATGGTAAACAAACATATAAGATTAATGGGAGTTATTGGACATTTTTTTTTTTAATAAATACTTTTTAATTAAAAGAGCTTAATTAACAACAGTATTAAATAAATTATAAAGTTATTAGTGTTAATATGAGACAGGTGTACTAAAAGTAATTGGCCGGTATAAATATTAATACATAAATTCGAAATTTGTTTTTGAAAAATACCATCGAATTTTAATCCATAGATATTATTTGAAAAATATTTAGAATTAAATCTTGTTATAATTTACATATTACATTGTTAGTATTATATGTTATTGTAGCCAGCTGTATGACGGTGTTGGTAAAATGTAACCAGAAGGAATACAAGTTGAATCTCGAAAAATATTTACTTTTGCGCCTTATTTGCATAATCCCGTTTCTGTTTGGTCGAAACAGCACTTGCTAAAATAATGTTTATTAAGTTTATTAAAATTTGTCTTTGGGCTTTATTAAATTTTCTATCTTACAGCTTGGCGGTGTTCTTTAGAATTGTTAACGGTCTTTAGTTCGATATACGAAAAATCACTATTTTTTTCATAGCTGTCCTTGTTTTGGAAACATTATTGGGTAATCATTATATTTGTATCTCTTTACAATTAAATATTTTTGGGTTGATTACAAGATTATAAAAGCCAAACATTGAGTGTTTAGGAGAGTCAACTTCCTTTTCACTCACCCAACTTGTTGTTCTTATAATAATTAAAAATTACAATACAAGTGTTTTTCATTTATTTTTTCTACACTAAGAAAATGATAAAATTCGAATATTTTTAAAGAGCAACTATTTTGTGTACTTCTCACAAATAAATATTGTCTACTTAAGTATTATAATTGTTATATTTTTATTAGATTTCAATAGTATTCAATTTTTGTGTCCATTCACGCCGCCATACAATGACCGGCAATGGATTGCGCCTTTTGTCTTTGCTGCTAGTTAGTTCATTGAATGTTGTTTCGGAACATGAGTGTCTTAAATTTAATGCTATGCCTGATTTTCAAGTAAAACGAGTAAGTAAAATAATTGAATATCAATTATAAATATTCGTAAACCATAGCTAGGAAAGTTATCGGCTTAACATATATTAGATTAACTATATTTGTAATATAGCTAACCATATTTAACACCAATCCTTATAAGGCAAAAAAGGGTGATTTTTGGTTTTTTAAATGGCAACATATGTTATTAATTGCATAAATTTGTAGACAAAACATTTAAAAGTATGTTTGCGTTTAAATTTCCATTTATCTGTTAATTAGCTATGAATTTTATAAAAAATACTCTATTTCCTCTTAATAATTATCATATTTCTTCGGTTTTCCAAAACTAGTAGCACATCAAAATTGTATTTATGTTCGCATTGTCCAATTGGTGACATTTTAAAAGATTTTGAAATAATGGTAGACAAACTTTTCTTATGTACAGGTTACATAGATTACAAGTTATTTATTAGGTATATATCTGCTTATGATACAGACTACGCTGTACTACTTGTCTTTGTAGTAACGATTGAAAATATAAAGAAATACAGTAAAAAAATCAAATCTTTATTAAGTCATAACAAATGAACAAAAATAAATGAAAATTCAAAATTCATACGCCAAAATATTTTTTTATTTTTTGTCAACAAATGTATGTAATTAAAAACATATGTCGCCCTTTAAAAAAAATAAAAATCCCCCTTTTTGGCTTATAAGGATTAATGATCAAAATTTTCAAAAATATTGTAAAATGTGTACCGAAAAGTCTTGGTAAAAAATATTGTTCAATTTTTTCCTAGAAAATGAGTGTCTTACGTTAGTTGGATCACCCTGTATAAATATATATGAACACAATAACCATCTTCAAAAAAAAAAGTTAACTCAAGTTATTCTTGTGTACTATGTACTAGTTTGTCAGTGTTTCTACAGTTTACAGTCAACGATGAATTAATTGAAAAATGATTATTTGCAGTTAAAAAAATATATTGTTTTTATTTTAATTTACAGGTTAAACATTCTATACGTTTGGCTGGGTTGAATGATAATCTTTTTACCATTGGCCATTTGAACTGTAACCATCCCAAGAACAATCTGAGTATGAGTAGTAACGATCAGAATGCCATTGACGTTGACAAGAAAATTTACATTTCTGTAAAATTTAAATTAGACGAAACGGTCAATCCTGACACCATATCGTCAACGCCGGGTATGTTAATGATTTTTTTTTTACTAGTTAAAAGTTTAGTTATAAGAAATATATTGAACCGATTTAACAGTTAAGCGTCATAAATAATCAGTTATAAATCACTTAATAATCAGTTATGTATATTGTACCTGTTTATTTTTATTTACATTTAGGCGCACAAAGTCAGCAATCTTGTGATATAAATTCACAGGAACACGATCCACAACAAGGAAAGTAAGAGCTTAAAATTGACTTCAAGTTTTTAACAATACTCAAGTTTTGCTGTATAAATTATTATAGTCATTATTTTTACTTATTGTGTAGGTATTGTTCGACCTTTTATAATTTTGAACGCTATTGTAATAGTTGTTGGGGCGATAAAAAACTAAATTTTCATTTTTTTTTTTCAAATTAGTATTAAAAAAAATGATATTTTTATAACTAACGGAAATTAAATCATTTTCTGTTGTTCACCCAACGGTTACTGAACTACTAAACTTGAGATTAGACTTTCGTGATGTGTATAAAATATCAGCTATACTTCTTCTACTTCTTCAATGGCTTATGAGAGGCTTGTTTTAATAACAGTTAAAATATGAACCAGGTAATTGCTGTTTTTATAATTGATCAAATATCAAAAGTGTACATTTTATAGCTGATATGTTTTTTACGTTTCATTGAACTTGATGTGTTTAAATTATTTAATATTTTTATAATATTCAATGCGTATGTGAGATTAATAAACACCATACATTTTTAATTGATATAATATAAATAGTCATTATTAATAACTCATATCTACTCTAATCTAGCATACTAGCTTTAAAGATATATGTTTTCGGTGTCGCTGATTTAAATTTTGACAATAGTTTTCCATTTTATCCGTTTTGCAGTTGTTTGCTTATAACCTACATAAATAGTATAGTTGTTTGCAATAATATGTATTTAAAAATAAGCTGCCAGGGGTATTAATGGTAAAAATGATGGGGCAACCGAACTATACCCTTCTAAATGGGTAATGGCGGTAAATTAATTTGAAATATTACTATTGTTAAATGTTTAAAATTATAAATCATTATTTATTTAGTAATTAGAACTTTTTTTTTTTAATGAGAAGATAAATTATTTAGTTATTTATATCAATTTCACGAAAATTGTTGCGTGTGGCGCGATCTAGTGGTAGTTTTATAAATGAAACACCTGATAAATAATTTTTAATATTCTGGTCAATAATTAGAGAAAAGAGATAAAATATTAGAGATAAGAAAATATACATATCCATGTGCTGATGTATAGCGTATAGCGTGGATGCTAATTTTTAAAAAAAATGTTTACATTTAGTCACACAAAGTCAGCAATCTGGTGATATAAATTCACAAGCACACTATCAGCAACAAGGTAAGTAACAGCTAACAATTGACTTCAAGTTTTTAATAATATTAATTAATTATTGTGTACATTGTGTTTATTTATCTTATAGGTTTCGTTCGAGATTTATCAATTTTGAATGCTTCGATAATTGTTGAAGGTCAAAATACAACCGTGTTCTATATGGCGCAAATGAGTATAAATAAATTAATAATATAAATAATAATGGTAAAGTATATATAAATTCAAAAAAATACTCTCTAGCCCAACAATTTCATTTGCTATATCTTTGTGAAACTCCATCTACATCACTATTTTTGTTTTGTTTTAATTCCTTAAATCTGAGAGTACCTCTGTTACTAGTTATAATAATAAAATAATAATAATGTATTGCATATGTTATTAGCGTTAACAGAAATACCAGGTAATTGCTTTTTTTATAGTTGATCAAATAACAAAAGTGTAATTTATATCGATAGGTATACCTAGATACAATTAATTAAATTTATATGCGAATATATATGTATACATATAAATATAAATATAAATGTATACCTGTTTGTTTTTTTTTTTTTACATTTAGTCACACAAAGCCAACAAGCTGGTGATATAAATTCACAAGAACGCGTTCAGCAACAAGGTGAGTAACAGCTAACAATTTACTTCAAGTTTGAAGTAATACTCAGTTTTTTATGAATGAATGCCGTTTCGAGACACGAGTGTCTTAAATTTACTCCTTTGCCTGATTTTGATGTAGAACGAGTAAGTAAAATAATTTAGTACCGAGAAAGTTATCGGTGTAGCGTATTTATTAGCTTAAGTATATTTGTATTATAACTGACTTTATTTTAAACTTTATATTTTCACCCAAAAAACATGTCTATCCGAAGTCGCCATTAAATTTGTGTGCCTTTGAACAGACATGTTTTTCAAACGTATTTCTAGAGATATAACTCATAGAAATAAACAATTTTAGGTTAGGAATATTTTCTTGATTCCAACTTTGGAGAACTAAAAGCTGATCCGAGTTTACCAGCGAAAATATTTATTTCTTTCCCTCCGAGTGAGTGCTTGAACCCACCCCCAAAACTTTCTACCAAGATTGTATGTACAAAATAATTTTAAAAAGCCAGTACAGTGATGTTGGGGCATAAAGAGGTCGGACTATAGTGGGGCGTTTATAGTGTGTGGAGTATAGTGGAGACGGGGAGGTCGCAGGTTTAACCATCGAGGATATGCTACGAAAGGGCTCTTCCATTTAATGGAAGCTGATTCGAATAAACACATTTTTCAACAAGATGGGACACCTCTCCACTAGATCCTATCAGTTAGAGCATTTTCAAATAAAAAACTGCTTCAGCCCTGTAACAGTGTTTCCCTCGAAGAAAAATGAATACAGCGCAGAAAACGTTTACCTCAGGAGACCGATGAACCTGGTGCGGTCACGTGGCAACCATTTGAAACTGAGAAACCTAATATTTCAAACAGCCACTCCCTCATTCATACATTTACTTACAAAATTGTTGTTCATGGAATCAGTTCATTCGTTTTGAACCACCCTGTATAATGGCCGTTCCCCATGACTCGATAGATTTGTACAAATATTTATATCAAGCAAATTGATTTCACAAAGATTCCTCTAATTGATAATTTTTATAATTAACTTTACAGATGTTGATGAGAATTTGTTGATGGTTGTGTTCACCACTGTCTATGAAAATTATGCGGCTAATTACACTTGCCAAAAAAATGACGACGGCTACGATCATATTGTAAACATTTGGTCCAGATCAGAGGACATAGACGCAAGGCACATAGAACATGTAAATACAAAATAACAATTGCATTTTGTATTATTGATATTTATTGTTTTGGGAAAAAGGAAGATGAAATTATTGGAATTGTTTAAAAATACTGTTTTTATTTTATTTTGCAGGTTAACCATTTTATAAGTTCGGCTCAGCTGAGTGTTGATTTCGTAACAATTGACCATTTAAACTGCAACCATCCTAAGGATAATTTGAATGTGAATAGTAATGATCAGAATGTCATTGACAATAAAATGTACATTTCTGTAAAATTTATATTGGACGAAACGATCAATGCTGGCACCATATCGACAATGCCGGGCAAGTCAATGGTTTTTTTTAACTAATTAAAAGTTAAATTAACGAAATATATTTAACCTATTTAACAGTTAAACATGTCGAAAATAACCAGTTATAGTAAAAACTTAAAGTTAGCTGGTTAATAAAAAAAACCAACAACTCAACTAAAGTTTAGTTGTTATACATATTTATTTTAACAACAAAAATGTCAGATGTAAACAAATTGTTTTAATTAGTATTAAAAAAACAAATTTTAAAGTTATAAACTAACTAATAGAGATAAAATCTATTTCTATTGTTTACCGAATGATTGCTGTAGTACTGAACTTGAGATTAGACATTCTAGAGGGAAAACTTTTAAAAGTCTAATTGTAACATACATACAATTTTATTTATTCAATGATGACATTATGTTAATACTTCTTTTTTATTACAGGAGGAATCTGAAGATGAAGTCAAAATATTTAGTTTCATTTAAATACAGTGTGATTACCATTAAATGTTTTATGCTTTAGCAAAATGATGTATTTCACTAAAACATAATAAATTTATATTATCTGGCAAATTAAAAATGTCTAGTTTTTCATCGGTCATACCTATTTGTATACACTTCATATTAGACAATTATTGGTTGCATGGTTAACTAAAATGTAAGTCGAATCGCGCCAAATGTTTACTAGCTTGTGTCGTTTATAATAAATAAAAAAAATGAAAAATAATATACATTTTTGCATCATAGATAAATAAACACGTTTTATTGGAGCAACACATGCAAAAACAATGTATATTATATGTTCTTTTATATTTGTCTCTAAGTGTTATTGAGTTCTCTATCGTCGGTGTTCTTCAGAAATGCAAACTGGTTTTAGTTCAATTTACAAAAATTCACAGTGAGTCACAGTGTGATTGGTTGAGAAAGGGTCAACTTAATTTTTTTTCTACAAGAAGAAAATTATAAAGCTACTATTTTCTATACTTCTCACAAACACAATTTATTGTCTACTTAAGTGATATAATTGCTATGTTTTTTTAGATTTTAATAGTAATCAATTTACTGTGTCCATCCTCGCCCGCCATACAATGAATGTCAATGGATTGCACCTGTTATTTGTGTTGCTAGTTATCTGTTTGAATGTCGTTTCGGGACATCAGTGTCCTAAATTTGAACCCATGTCTAATTTCGATATGGAACAAGTAGGTTGAAGTAATGCGTTTGTTATACGTTTGTTGTTTCAGGTCGAATCTCCTTAACTCACTCATTAACCGTGTAATTTGAATCTCTTTTCACTGCATGTTATTCACTAATGTCAAGCTACTAAACCAATTGAGTACCAATTTTGAATTTTCCTAAACCATAACTAACATTGTTATCGGTTTAGCTTATATTAGCTAGACTATATTTGTAGTATATCTTACATTATCTAACTTAAACATATAAATATATGTATAAAGCCCAATAACCATCTTAAAAAAAATGAATTTCCGTCTACTTGTACTAATATATGTTATTGTTTCTATAGTTTTTAGGGACATGGTACGCCATTCAAACGACAACGACGCCACTTCGATGTTTAGTGTATGATATTACAGGATTGGCAAACCGTAGTGATGACGTCCACGAAACAACCAATAACGACCATTCGTTTGGAGAATTGAAAGTTGATCCGAGTTTACCATCGAAAATGTTTATTTCTTTCCCTCCGAGTAAGTACATGAACTTGAACTTAAGTCTTAAATTCGTCCACACCAAAAAAATTCCAATGGGCTTGTATGTACAAATATATATATATATGTAACTTCAATCATCAAGGGTTTATTCAAATTCACTTACCCACATAGTCACACATTGATTTTCCCGGGGTACCTATGTTATATAGTAGTTATTATAATTTACCATACAGATGTTGATGAGAATTCGGTCTTAGTTGTGTTCACCACTAACTATGTATCCTATGCGGGTATATGTATTTGCCAAAACACTTCTGACGGCTACGAACATTCTGTGACCATTTTATCCAGATCTGTGGACTTGGACGAAACGCACATAGAACATGTAAATACAAAATAACACAATTGCTTTGTATTATTGTTTTGGAAAAATAGAATTAATATTTTATCTAGTTAGAAAAATATGAACTAATTGAAATAGATTAAATAATACACTGTTATTCTTTTAATTTACAGGTTTACCGTTTTATACGTTCGGCTGGGTTGAATGATAATCTTTTTGTCGTTGACCATTTGAAATGTAACCATCCCAAGAACAAATTGAGTGTGAGTAGTAACGATCAGAATGCCATTGACAAGAAAATTTACATTTCTGTAAAATTTAAATCAGACGAAACGGTCAACCCTGACACCATGTCGTCAACGTCGGGTATGTTAATGATTTTTTTTTTTACTTACTAAAAGTTAAGTTGACGAAATCATATATTGGACAGATTTAACGGCTAAGCTATAAATATTCAGTTAAGGTATAATTAGGATCAATAAAAATACATTGATATAACTGAATTAAAGTTAATTTTTATGTATTATAATTTTTATTTTAAAGGAAACTTAAATATTCAATTTTATTTTATATCATTTTTCAAATAAAAATGAATTGCAAAATAATTATTACGTCATTACTGTATTAGTTACCTCCTTATTTATTAATTTATTTATACATTTTTGTTTTTTAGAGGGAAAATCATGCTGTGGATGTATGTTTATTTGTATTACATATCATTAGTAAAAAAATGTTTAATAAGCTTTAATGTTAGTCAGTTGTGTGCACTGTAATTTGGTTGTAATGTCATGTTGTCATTTCAAATTTAATTTGAACTAAATACGAGTCACAATTTTCATAATAAAAATATATATTTTACTTGTATATTATATACCTAATGTTCAAATGTTTGCATAGCTACTGGAAACGCGTTGAAGAAAACGGGAACATTTTTCTACGGGTTCTTGCGTGCATTGTGTTGTTTTCCACCAGAAAAAGGTAACCTTACCTTAACCTTAATCGAATTTTTTCTTATTAAAAAGGAATAAGTGGTTCATTTATCAGTTAAACTTACTTGATAAATAAATTGACGGTAATAACAAAAACCTAGAGATTATATGAAGAGACAAAACATTTTTGTGTATGCTAAAATAATGTTTTTTTTTTTTTCAAAATAAAAATTTAACGCAACTTTTCTTTATTGATGAGACCAAATAACTTAATAACATGATTAGAAGAACACAAGAACTAGCATACATATTTAGTGTGCTCGAAAATTAAGGCTAATTGTATATTTCTGCTGTATCTTTGAAATGTTTAAAATTAATTTGTATCATTAAAGAAAAAACAAATTGTTTAAACATTTGTTCTAAAGGGGAAACTTTTAAAAGTCTTATTGTAACACACATTTGAAGTTATTTATTCAATGATAACATTATGATAATACTCTTTTTTAATTACAGAAGAGTGGGAAAAGTGAAGTGAGAATTTTCAGTTTCATTTAGATACAATACGACTACCGTTGAATGTTTTATGCTTTTAATAATCAAAATTGTGTATTTCACTAAATCATAATAAATTTGTATTATCTGGAAAATTTAAAATGTCTTATTTTTCATCGGTAATACCTGTACACTTAATTTAAATTATTTGTCGTTTAAGATAAATTGAAAATGATAAATGCCACTGTGGGATTAAGTGGGCCGTTGTAATCATCATACTGGAGATCATCGTAAGTTAGTTCTAAGCACAAACGAAATAAGAAATTATAAATATAAGATAAGAAATAAGGATGCTGGAGATCGTCACAAGTTAGTTCTAGTGGGGCCCATCACATCACTATTCATGTTTTACACTGTATTCTGTATTTGGGGTTCTTGTACCTTGCTTATTGGTCTCAAGCTAAGTGACTCGTAATTATAATTTGGAGCACTATATAAGGTGAAAAAAGTATTCTTGATCAAAATCTAACCTTTTGTTTGAAACAAAAAATAATAACACTTGTTTCTTTAAAATCTGCCCTTTTGCAAAACCCATATCACGTGGATAATATCATTTATATTTTGTTTATGAATTTATTGTTATTCCATTCACCTTCAAGAAGATCTCAGTCATTTGTGTTATTAATTTTAGTTGCAATTTTTATACTGTAAAAAGTCACTTATACATTTGCTTACAAACATATAATACTATGTAACTAATACATTTTGCAGTGTAAACAAATGAGTCGTATTGGTTTTTACCAAAAGTTTTTAGGTTTTGATATATTTTTCAAAAAAAAAACAGTTTCCCATAGTTCTATATTACAATTTTTATGATAACACTTTCTACGACGCACAAAACAAAATAAATAAAAATATATTACATTATTTGTCAACGACCAGTTGTTTTCAAACGTTTTTCAAAAAACATATTTTATCAAGTTTATTTTACAGGCATTTAGGTATCAGCATATTGTGCTCAATATACATTGTATAAAATAATTGTATTAGTAAAAAATGAAACCGAATACCGAATTTCTATTGAATAATTAAAATACACTATTATGTGTATATCTTTAAGTATGAAAAAAAACAGTACACATGGATTCAGGGCATAGTGGCGATGAAGAATAGTCAAAGCATAGAAAAACAATTAGCTTACAATTTAATATACATAATTAGTTCACCCCAAATAGGTGTAAGTAAATTTATTGACATATCTTGTTGTTTTTTTTTTCGATGTTATAGCCAGTTTTTATTATAAAATTTACAATTTCTGCGAAAAATTTAGTTTTTTGGTATGCAATGAGTGTGTACTCTAAATTAGTGTTTTCACATGGATTTGATTTATGGAGGGTCATTTTGAAAATAAAGTTAAGAGTAGCCACACTACATGCTGATACATCAAGTTGCAGGATATACAAGGATATAAGTTGTTTCAATATATGTACATTTAATATAAATGTTTAGAATTGAATCTGGATATGATTTACACGTACTGTTAATATATTATAGTCAGCCGAGTTGAATCTCGCAAAATTCTTTGTTTGCGTCATATTTGCATAAACCAGATTCTGTTTAGTTGGTACAACACTTGCTAAAACATTGTATATTATGTCCATTTACATTTATCTCTGAGCGTTATTCGGTTTTTTACAACTTGGCGGTGTTCTTCAAGATTGCAAACGGTCTTTAGTTCAATTTACGAAAAATTGCAATTTTTTTTTTTTAGCTGATCTCGTTTTGGAAACAAAATCCGGTAATTTGTATTTGTATCTATTTACACTAAAAAATGGTTGTCTCCTGATTCTTTTACCTGAGTCAAAGTTTGACTAGACCTAACCCTGTATACTTTTTCACATATATACCTAATAATAAAGCAAATATAAGTAAGTAATAATAATTGTTATTTGTTTTATTCGATTTTAGTAGTATTTAATTGACGTGCCCGTTCGCGCCGCCGTACAATGAATGTCAATGGACTGCGTTGTTTGTCTGTGTTGCTAGTTGGTTGCTTGAATGTCGTTTCGGGACACGATTGTCTTAAATTTCAACCTATGCTGAATTTCGATATGAAAAACGTAAGTTGAAGTAATACGTTTGATAATTGGCGGGATAACAAAAATAATAAAATAAAAAACAATCTAGTACCAATTCCGAATTTCCGTACACCGTTTTCATATTTTGAGTTTAAGTTGAAGTTGGGGATGGGTTTGAGGTCGACCTTTCCACGCGTGATATATATATAAGGATATGGAAGGATATAAAAGAGATAACACTTGGAATGTAACTATGGTATCCGCGAAAATGGAAGAAATGATATTAAAAATGTAGGTATAATATGTATACTTAAGAGGATTGCATGCGGTCGGTTTTTTCAGTCAAAACACATCATTTTTATTCCATTGCACAGACCGAACCAGTGATGCGATAAGCAATCTAAAAACCGATTTTAATTTGCCGTGAAGTTTACTTATGATCGGTCAGTGTACTTTTTTCAATTTTTAATTATAACCCTTTCCAAAATTTATTTTAAAATTTTATAAAATGTTCAAACGTGTTGTATACATAGTGGGAATAAGATATCGAAAAAATACCCTGACCGATCATTTAATTAAACTTCATGGCGAATTCAAATATGTTTTCAGATTACTTATCGGATTACTGGTTCAGCCTGTGCGATGGAACAAAAGATGTATGTTATGTTTACTAAAATGTTTTTTACTCATAGACAAAATATATAAAATTAAAAATAACACCACGGAGCTTATACAAATTAACCGGTAAATTAATTGACATGATCGAAATTTATTAAAACCACTTTAAATATTGCCTATACAAAACTCCTTAAAAACCAACCCTTAAAAGAAAAAAGATATCGTCTTTTATATCATAAAAAGTGTATCTTAAGAGGGCGTCGCACCGCCCATTTTTAAGGAGTAAAGTATAGGCAATTTTTTACAAAATCTTAATTTAAAGGTTAAACTGTGACGTGTAATTATTAGTTCAATAACTAGGACTCTATTTTGGTAGTTAATTTATTATTTGCACTATCACAGCATCCTTGAAAGCGATTTAAAAATGTTTTTTCATCTCTACATGTTTAAGCAGACTGAAAATAACTCGCTTAATTTTGGTTTTAGAGTAAAAGCACTCGTTATAAAATTGAAAGAAAACAATATTTCGGAGGTGCGTTTTTTTCATTATTCTAAGTTTAACGCTCAATACATAGTTAAGAAATAACGACTATTTTTAACATTTTTAAATGACTGTAACTTTCCAAAAAATCAATTTTACCCTCCGGAATATTGTTTTCTTTTAATTTTATAATGGGTGCTTTTACTCTAAAACCAAAATTAAGCAAGTTAGTTTCAATCTGCTTAAACATGTTTTTACCACTGAAAATCACCGGTGCGACGCCCTCTTAAATGATTAATAATAATAAAAAAAAAAAGGTTTTATAAAGATTTCGACAAAAACCGACGGCACACAGTGTTTTTAATCTTATCTTAGCTGGCCAAAAATAGAATTTTACTATAATCTGATATTATTTTTAAGTATAATTATCGTACACTTCATAAGTTTTAGAAAGCTAAATTACCACTCGCTAACGTTTTATCGACTTTTATACTACACGTATACTGCATAACTATGTCACAAAAATGTAGAAATCGTTCATTTCTTCTTTGGAAATACTCGTTGGACGTTGTGAGATTATTACTTTTATTGACCGTACTAGATTTATTTTTTTATTTTTCAAAAAATGGAGATCAATATAATTGGTAAGTATTGACTAAAATTACGATTTTGAGCGACGCGGTGCAGATATTAGTATTATTTATAAAAGGGTAATTATTTGTATAATGTAAAACGCAGTATTAAAACCTACGTTTCTTAAATCAAACAGCATGGCAAAAAAAAAATTAGGGTTTATTAGAGGTTGTTACTTAATATGATCATGTTCTAAATTTTCTCCTCTATAAAATCGACTAAATCAGAAATGCCGCATCTCGCCGCTTTTTTGCTAATTTTTAATTACAATTTGCAATTAAACTCTTAATTCACTTTTTTTTATCTTCAATGTTTCTTTTTTTTTTTTATTGAATATAATAATAATAATAGCCTAGCTGCCGAAGCCATAACATACAAATATATATATATATATATATATTAATAATAATAATATTTAGTTCAAGTTATTATAACACTCGCAGTAAAAATTTCGCATTCTATGTACAATATTTATTTTCTATTCTATCGTGAATAATTAACTGTAATTTTGTTAATACAATTAGTATGTTGGCTTATTTTTATTCATATTAGTACAATTTTATATCATTTACGAATTTTGACCTGCTAAAATAGCAATTGAAAACAACACTGTGCGGCATGCGCGGTGTGCGCTACTTCAATTTCAAAACCATTCGAAACGTGTATAAAAGGTACCAGGAGTGTATGAGAAACTCGCGGTGGTGTTGTGGGGCTGTGCTCTGTGGCTGCCGCCGCCGCCGCCGCGGCACCGATGTTGAACGGCGGCAATCACTTGCACGTGCATCATCGACATGCGACCCGGTAGCTCGATAGGCGCCGACGTGCTCATTGTTCTGATGACTGTTCAGGTTCAAATCAGTGTCATCAGTGATCAAAAAAAAAAAAAATATTGACGTCTATTTAGAGTGATCCTATTAAGTTTTGAATACTCGAGTACCAGTTTTAGGTTTTAATTATTTTTTTTTACATCTTTTATTCGTAGTTGAACTTTTTGATAACGATTTTGTCCAACACTGTAGCACAGACCGCCTAACCACAATAGTAGCTTACGGCCCTCCGCGCACGAGGCGATTGTCAAGTGACGACCCACTAACGGCGCGATTCTTCTATAACGATTATTACCTGTAAAGTATAAGTTATTTAACCGACAGGCAATTAGGTGTCGGCAAGCTATCCGGGAAATTGTTATCAAAGTTTTATCAGTGTTCAATAACATTTTTTCTGTTTGTAAATTGTGTTTTGAGTTAAGTGAAAACAATTGCGCGTTATAAACATGGCAAATCTTTTATGGGCTGGAATAATTCAACGCCGACCTCCACCAAGGCAATATACAAATGGTTTTGGTACGGCCCAATTGGTAAAAAATAAATCCAGTTGTTATTGTCATATAACCTACTATATATATATATAGTATATAGTATATAGTATATATATATATATATAACATGATATCGATAGAGCAGTAATTTTTACTTTTTTTAGGGTATGTTAAATATTTTCTATTTGCTTATACTTAGCTGTGTAATATTAGTCTATGTTTGGTGTCCCTGAATATAATAAATGACAATAACAATTCCCTCTCCCAACCTTTTTCAATAGGTCTTAGATGGTCGGCGCCAAGTCACCATTGAAATAAATAATAATACATCAGAGTATCAAACGTTGTCTGATGTCACAATTACGTTACCCATCTAGACTAAAAAACCTTAGCACTGAAATTTGCTAAGCGTTTTAATTTTTTATCTATCCGTTCGTTCGCTATGACTTACTGTATATTACCACACGTATCATGGAGGCGTTTAATAATACAATTTGCCAAAAATTTCTAATCGGATTCCTGAAGTTTTTTGGCCGATACAAAAAGCCGGCAGTGAAGACTCCTTTCACTATAAAGATGAACCCAATGCTTCCTTAGCGTCTTTTTTTTTAACTTTCTGTACATGGCAATGTCCTCTTCATCACAGGAACTCGACATTTTCGTAGTGAACTTCACACAAACTATGAAATTGACAGTGTAGACAACCGACTGACAATCGCTTCGTGTTTTTTTTTCTGAATAATAACACTTTATAACGGACTTTGTTTTACACTGACAGTGTAGCCAACTGAGAAAAACAAAATATCTCTATTTTGTCCACTATCAGCATATTGTCCAAAGCCACGGTGTCCATATGACACATAAAATCCAATAACCAACTTAAAAAAAAAATGAATTTTATTAATTTCTGTCTACTTGTACTAATGTTATTGTTTCTATAGTTTTTAGGGACATGGTACGCCATTCGAATGACGTCGCCACCAAGTCGATGTTTAGTGTATGATATCACAGGATTGACAAACCGCAGTGACGTCCATGACACATCCGATAACATCCATTTGTTTGGAGAATTGAAAGCCGATCCGAGTTTACCATCAAAAATGTTTGTTTCCATTCCTTCGGGTAAGTACTTGAATTTTTGAAAATTGATTTCCAAAATTCGCCTACCTCCAAAACTTTCCAACACGCTTGTAAATGTACCATCTGGTTATTTTCACCACACAACTCGACCGTATTTTAATATATTGTGTTTCGTTTTAATTGATAATTATTATAATTCACTTTACAGATGACGATGAGAATTCGTTTTTTGTTGTGTTCACCACTGATTATTTGTCCTATGCGGGTGTTTACACTTGCCAAAAAAATGCTGACCACTACAAACATTCTGTAATCATTTTGTCCAGATCAGTGGACATAGCCGAAACGCACATAGAACTTGTAAATACAATATAACAAGTGCATTGTAATATTGATAATTTTTTTTTTGGGGGGGGGGGGAAACACCACGAATTAATTGAATATGATTATTTGCATTTTAAAAAAATATTTTGTTTTATTTTTAATTTACAGGTTGACCAAATTATACGTTCAGCTAATGAGAATCCGAATGTTCTGTCAAAAGTTGACCATTTGAACTGTAATCATCTTCAAACGAATTTGAGTGGGAATAGTAATGATCAGAATGTCATTGACAAGAAACTTTACATTTCTGTAAAATTTAAAAAAGACAAAGAGATCAATCCTGACACCATATCGTCAACGTCGAGTACGTTAATGTTTTTTTTTTTTTAACTAGCTAAATTAAAATATTTTGTTCAAAAACATTATCATTCGAACAACATGTTTTTACCCTGTTTGTTCTGAGATGATAGATTATTATGTTTGTGAATTAGGCTGTTCTTACGCATCTGGTCATTTGACTCATTAGCAATTATTATTACTATTTCCTAATGTACTGAATATGATTTTATTTAAATCAAAAAAAGATATCAATCAATTCCGCAATTATCCTGAAAGGCCAAAACTCAGATGGACAAGGCCAGGTAAGTTGCTGATTTCTTTTAACTAGTTAAAAAAGTTAAGTTAACGAAATATATTGAACCGATTTAACAGTTAATAATTGTCATAAATAATAATCAGTGAGGGTATAAGTGAGGTCAATAAAAAAACATTTAATTAACTAAAGAAACGTCATTTGGCATCATTAACCTATAGTAATCTTTTTGTTTTTTATTATTGCATTAATGTATTGTACATTATTCTATTAAATCAGACGAAGATATCTATCAGGATGGACCACACCTCATATGGTCACCAAAAAGAGGTACGTTAATGGTTTCTTTTAACTGATTTAAAAATAAAATAACGAATATGGTTTTATTTAATCAGACGAAGATATCAATCCAGTACACCGTCCTAGCCTACCTAACCCCATATGGTCAAATCCGAGCAAGTTAATGATTTATTTTACTAGTTAAAAGTTAAAATAACGAAATATATTTAACTGATTAAACAGATAAACGTCATAAATAATCAGTTTAGGTACACGTTAGAAAAATAAAAAACCATTACATTTTCTAATGTTAAGTTATATACAATTTTTATTTTTAAATAAAAATTAATTTCAAAATAATTATAATTTTCATCATAGTATTAAATAATCCTTTCTTTTTGTATCGACACATTTATTCGTCAAATCTAAATGATTTCAATACCTATAGATTTATACAAAACAAATTATATAAATTAATTTATTCAAAAATATTATCATTCAAAAAACTTGTTCATGTTCAGGTAAATAATATTATTATTATTATTCCCTAATGTATTAAATATGGTTTTATTTAATCAGACGAAGCGATCAATCCAGTACATCATTCTACTCTACCAAACCCCATAAGTGCAAGACCGGGCAAGTTAATTATTTATTTTACTAGTTAAAAAATAAGGTTAAGTGAACTGTGTTTTTTAATAATCACCATTTCATAAATCCGGAAGATTTCCCGATAATACTCACAATAATAAGAAATAAAAAATAAACAATTTATTTCATATCATTTTAGTTGCAACGGGAGAACCAGGTAATTGCTTTTCAAAAAAAAAAAAAATTTATCTTAAATAAGAAACAAATTTTATACGTGTATAAAACACAGTTAAGATCAATAAAAACTATGTTGCTTATAGCGCAAAAAAAACCTTACAAATATTCAATAGAACAAAATTAATTTATTTGTCATATCTTTGTTAAACACCCTGTATATATGTATATATATTTTTTTTACATTTAGTCAAACAAAGTCAGCAAGCATTTAATGTAGATTCACAAGTACAGAGTCCGCGACAAAGTAAGAAAAGCCAATAATTTTTACTTCAAGTTTATACAGTATAGAGTATTATACTTCAGTATAATACTCAGTTTCTTTTATAAATTATTATAGACATTATTTTTGCATTCGGATGAGTTTCAGACACATCCATGTCTTAAGTTTAGAATGTCATAATCAACAGAATCTTAAGTTTCCTGTGTTTGTATTACTTAGCAAATCATTTTTTAATTAAAATACATATTTATGTAATGTTTCAAACAATAAATTATTTTTTAAACCCACTTTTTGTTTTAACACATATTTGTATTTAATTTTTATTGTTATTTTAACTAACTTTTTAAATTTTGAGTTATATAAAAAAAACCATGTATTATTTTAAAGTTTTAATTTATTTATAATGAGAAGGTTTCATCTTTAGCATTTTTAAATTTATAAGGTAAATTCTTACCTAGACATTTTTTTCAACCATTTTTTTTTTTATTAACTCAACTAGAAAGAATATTTTATATTTAATTGTAAATAAATCAAGTGCGGCAATATATTATTACGTTTGTGAATTAGGCTGGTATATTATTATGTGTCTTAAATTTATATTTTATGTCATTAAAACTATTTTTGATAGACATGAACTAATGAGTATAACCAAATGTATGATATTTCAACACATCTAACTTTTACTTTATAAATGTTTTTTAGAAAGAAACATATGTGTGAAATGCGGCAAAGGTATGCTTTTTTTTTTTACATTGTCTATTACTTAAATAGTTAAATATGAAGAAATCTTTAATAAAATATTATGTACTTACGCTTTAATGTCACTTAGTTGTGTGCACTGTAATGTGTTTGTATTTTTAATGTGGCCATTGCGAATATAATTTGAATGAAATATGAGCAATGATTTTCAATATATTTTTACATTATATACCTAATGTTCATAAACTACATAATATTTGCATAGCTATTGGAAACGGTTTGAAGAGTTTGGGAAAATGTTTAAAAGAGTGCTTTTGTGTCACGTTTTGTTGTTGTTTACAGTATCATCCAAACCAAGGTAGTTAAAAAATAATGAAAATCTTTAGCATGATATGAATTTATCAAACTTAATATGTATCGTCCAAGTTAGAACATATTGTTAAAAGATTAGTTCTAGAAACAATACTTTTAAAAGACTAATTGTAACATAAATAAATTATTTATTTCTTCAATGATGACATTATGATAACTCTTTTTAATTACAGAAGAGTGGGAAAAGTGAAGTTAAAGTATTCAGTTTCATTTAAGTACAGTATGCGACTACCCATAAATGTTCTAAGCATTTAATAACCAAAATTAAGTATTTCACTAATTTATAGTAAATATTAGGCATTAATATCTGGCAAATTTAAAATGTCTTGTTTTTTATTGGTTATACCTATTTGTGTACACCTAATAAACAATTGTTTGTCGTTGACTATATTATTTGTAAATTTAAATTTATATGTATAAAAAAAAACATTTGGCAACAATTTTCAACTTGCATTGGCTTTGGTGTACGTTGAAACTTATAACTGCTTAATGTTTCCAATATCTTTTTTAGAACAATACATATTATGTTCACGTGGTTTTAAATTTGAAGTATTAATTTTGACAATAAACACACTATAATGGACATAATTTCTAAAATATAAGTTCTTCAGTCCCGGGAACTATTTAAAAAGCAAGATAATTTTCTCAGGAACGATGCTATGCAGTTTATATGTTAATAAGTGACAAAATATACAAGTAAAATCGATTAGCATATTTACTCTATGTTGTAGACACAAATGTATGTAGTAAAAAAAAAATATATATATATATGTAATTTTACTACTTACAAACCAACTGGCGTACCTACATAATACGATAATACATTGTTCATCTTCTCAATATACTTTACTTCAGTTTACAAAAAAACGTTTAGAAGTGCAGTACTGAATCAAGTCATATTTACATCAAATATTATTGTTCTAACTATGCGGGATTTAAGCATTTTATTTTTGCTCATATTAATCATGACGAACACTTCAGGTATTATTAACTAATTTAAAACTAATTATATACACTGTACAACAAAATTTTAGGTACATTATGTTTTACCATATAATTTGCCTATTTTTTTTTTTACAAATAAAGCTTTTTATCTTTACAATTTTTGCGAAAGTAATAAATAACAGTATAATATTGTCAATCACATAGAATTAAAAATATTTTTATTTTACATAATACATTTGTGTTGCAGATGCGTCCCCCGACGGTGAAAAACATGATGATAAATCATCTCCGAAAAGTAAGTTATTGCATTAGTTAAAATTTAAAGAGGCTATTGTGTTTGAAAAACCTAAAAATAAATAAACTATGAATAAATGTTTTGAACAAAATACCAAAAAAAAAATGTATTTAACCATACATGATATTTCTTTTTATTGTTTAATACAAATTTCAAAAAAGTTAATTTCCAGTACACTTAAAATGTATAAAAACAATACCCTATGAATTTGTATGGTTTGTTGTTTATTGAATACAAGTGTTATTTCTTGAGTATTTTACCAATACAGTATTTATAGTTTTACTGTTTTTGGCCACATAACATACGTATTGTGTCGTTTGATAATGTAAACTAAAAACAAAAAACTGTTAGCAAAAAATATTTTTCAAGTATTTTACAAATACAATTTTTATTTATTGTAACAAATATATCGAAACAAACTGTGTATGAAATCTGAACATATCAGTAAAGAAATAAATATTTAAAACCCAACACTAATAATTCTATTTCCATCATATCCAACACAAAGCCCTCGGTTCTTAAATTAAATGTAATTTTAAGTAATAACTCTAAATTTGTACATTGAGACAATTTTATAAAATAATATTGTATCTGAATGTACAAAATAGTTAGAACATACAATAATCAACGTGTATAGTGTTTATGTCACTTTTTAAGTTTTATCATTATAAGAAAAAATGCTGACTACTTTTTTTTTGTTTCTACACAAGTGACCCGAGTTGACTTTTTCTGACAAACCATATATGGGTTTTTTGTTTTACAGTTACCGACGTGGACCATCATTCCTTTGTAAAATGCAAATACTTGTCTAAAGTAATTACGCTCATGAAGGATGAGCCGCTAGATGAACTGACAAATTGGTCAAGACTAATAGACGGAATTCTCGATTATAATGTTAATAAATCGATAACCTCGTTGTACAAGAGAGATGCCAGTTTGATTGGCTCTTTGTGGGACTTTTATTTGTATAAGCATTGGCTGGACAAGGCGGATATGCACCTGTTGACTGTCGTCGCCAAAAATACAATCAAACAAACTAAGGTAATGACTACTCATGGAAACGTTATAAGGTCACTGGAGACCGACTTGCGAATGACCGACCGTCTCAAAGATCACAAAAACAGTCGGTACGACAAGTGGATAAAGCCTACAGCGGCCCACATAAAATCCATGGTAAAGGTAAACCGTTTTGCACATTTTGGCCATGTAAACCTAAATGATGCGTTGCAACCGGAAACACTCTTCGTGAGAGCTTTGGCCACTCGGGAAGCACAGTTAATGTATTTCCATTTCAGAAATATAAAATGGGCCGGTACAAGCCAAACGTTACACAGATCATGGGAAAATATTTGGTTGGATTTTGACGTGACCGCAGAACACTACGAAAAAATCAAATCCTACTTCAAGTTGAATAATGATTTTTTGAATATTATTGTAATTATCATGTCCTGGAGTCACTTGCTGTGTATAGAACAGATATCAGACGAAAAACAGAAACTAAGCTACTCGACACAATTGATTACCTTGCTCAACGTGTACAAACAAAATATGTTAATAATCCAAGACGACGCCAACCTGAATTACTTATTGGAGGCTACCGAAGAGATGGCCAATAAAAATGGAGATATAATCAAAACGACATCTCAGTTAAAGGCAATCGTTGAACTGATGTGCTCTTTGCTGGGGTGCTCCGTTGAGGATGTGACTTTAACAATTAGTGAAACTGAAACTGTCAATAAACTCAATGCTGATAAAGAAATTGATTTGTCAAACTGTCAACCTGGCGGAATTGATCCCCTGAGAAACGTGAAAGATTTTTTGGACATTGTTCGAGATATTTTCAAAGGCGTGCACTTAGACATCACGAGGACATTGCTTTCTCATGTTGATCATATGTTGTCTGCATCAGGTGGACAGATTAAGCAAAATTGACATTTTCGACATATGCCAACATTTAATGCATTTATTTTGTTTCTGGTTGTTCGATTATATTCAATTATACCTAACAAAATACCAACAAAATTATATTATTATCTTAAAAAATGCAAAACCAAAAAAATGTAAAAAAAGAATACCTGAACTTATGTACTCCACTATAACAAAAAATAATTATGATTAAATTCGATTAATTTATAAAATACATCAAATAGGTTAGAAATAACAATAATTACTCAATTATTATAAATAAGAAATATTATAAAACTGAAAAATGTGTAACAATATATCCGTGTGCCTTAACGGACCAAAGGTATGCAACTATATACACATGCCCCTTGCAATAATGAAGATATGCAACTACACACACATGTCCCTTACAATAATTCAAGTATGCAACTTTACTATACACACATTTAAACAAATTTTACCTGTACTGGATATGTTTTTTAAACTTGTCAATAAAGAAATAGTTACACAAACTTCAATCAGTGAAAATAATATTTATAAAAGTCGATTATGAATCAACCGACAAAAACTATTAATTCAAACATGATTTTTTTTTAAGTACCTAACCTAAATATAATATGAAAAATATCCTATTTTAACTAGCATTTGTGTTTGAAATACTTTTAAATACGGACCATGTTAAATATTGGCCTTCTACTTTATTATACTTTTGGATATGAATGCATTTGATAAACGTTAAAATCTATAATTACTAATTTACAACTGCAGGTATAGAGTTGTGTACATTTTAGAGAAACCTATACAACAAAACTGTAATAGATTATGTACTTAGAACCTTTAAAAGTTGCACTGAAAAGCGGTAAAATAATATCAAATATTTCGTATTTTATTATTTTCGATGAATATTATTTTTCAGATATTAAAAAAAGTATTTGTTTGTATTCTACAGATTTTTACTGGTAGTAACTTTTAAAGCAGACGACTTCGATACCATATTATTATTATTTGTTATCCAATATGTGTACAATGTACATATATTGTAATACATCACACATTTATGTACAGAGTGTTCAGAATCTCATAAAACATCTGACTATATGATGATATTATACTAACAGTTGGAAGATTATTTGTGGAAATGTTTGTCTTTTTTAGTTTGTAACTGGTATTGAAAACAGGTTTTGTGTTGTATTATTTGTTGAAATAAGAAGAAAACATATTTTGTTAAAATATTTTCTATGCTTGTTCAGTTAACCGTTAGCCATAACAATTATTGCTCTAAATAAGCAATATACCTGCAAAATACATCTGTATTTTACAACTTTAAAATCGACCTAGATATATTATTCAATGTCTGCAATATTAAAACGATTTCGAATATATTTTTTTATACTTTAGGGCTATTTATTTTGGTACTCGAGCAATTATTATTACAAATGTAAGACGACAATTGACAGTATGTCAACGTCTCAAAATGCTCATCTATTGTCACTCATAAACGCCGTCCAATCAACTCTAATCAAATCCTAGACTAAAATAGCAAATATGAATTATTATTTTTAATCACAAACAATACTCAGAATTTGTTTTATACTGGTTTAGTTCTGCGACAAAATATACAACAAGTAACAACTATTTGCATATTTACTCAGCGTTGTGGGCACAAATGTATTTTTGAAAAAATGTATGTAAAAAAAACAAAAAATATGTTATTTAACTACTTACAAAACAACTGGCATGAATAATATGATAATACTTTGTTCATCTCCTCAATATACTTCAGTTTACAAGAAAACGTTTAGAAGTTCAGTACTAAGTAGTCAAGTCCTATTTACATAGAAAATTATTGTTCTAACTATGCGGGATTTAAGCATTTTATTTTTTATCATATTAATCATGACGAAGACTTCAGGTATAATAATCGAATTAAATAAATCTAATTAATAACAATGCAAAACAATTTTGTAGGTACATTTTATTTGGAACAACATTCAAATCATATATTTTTTTTGTACAAAAAACAAATTATCTTTCACCTTTGGAGGCGATTTAAAAAATCTCAATGCTGTGGAAAATAGATCTTTGTTAGGTGTTTTGGTTCTTGTTTCTAAATTATGTTGTACCATGTAATTTTCCTAATTTTATTTCTATATTTTCTACAAATTTATCTTTTTTACCTTTACAATTTCTGCGAAAATAATAAATAACACTATCATATTCTCACTTACATGAAATTTAAAACATTTTAATTTAACATATAACACATTTGTGTTTGTAGAGGCGTCCCCCGACGATGGAAGACACGATGAGAAATCATCTCCAAAAAGTAAGTTATTAGTTAAAACTTAAAGAGGCTATTGTGTTTGGAAAACCTAACATGGTATATTTTGTTTTTATTGTTTAATACAAATGTATTTCAAATAAGGTTTCCGATGATATTTCTTTGATAAATGTACAATATATGTTTTTGAATTTTTATTTTAACACAAACAATTATTATTTGTTCAACTATGGAGACAATTATAAAATCTATATAGTAAAAAACTGTGAAAATGTTTTAAAAAACATGCGTAGCATGTGTTCAAAAAGGTGTATTCGTTTTACCAGTAAAATATTCAGCCGGTTTTTTGTTTGTTATTACTTTTTTTTTGCTGATACAAAGCTGTTCAAAAAATTGTTTACAGAACTTGTTATTGTATTTGGGTCACGGCAGATTTTTTTTTAGTGTAGACTTTAGTTGTGTATAATAAAGATATAAAGAAAAACTAGAAATAAACAAATCCATCCGGTTATAGTAAATAATAGTAATAATAATCCCCAACACAAACTTAACTGTAAAATTATTTATCCGTGCTGGGAATAAAAAGTACATAACGTTATGTTGACACATTATTATGTTTCAAATAGACATTTTGATTGTCTGAATTTCAATTGAATTTGGCCTATTTAATTGCACATCCCTATAGAACCCTGTTGTTCTACTTTATAACTATTTTGTACATTAAGATACAATATGTTTCTATTAAAAATAAACATTTTAAATTATTATTTAATATAATGTTTAATTTTTAACCATTAACCGTCGTTCAAGGAGAGTAATAAGATGATGTTCGACCAAACTGTTACAACTAAAATATATTACCTATTATTTATTTTTTTCCTAATTTAAACATATGTTTATGTACAATACTTTACTGTTATTATTTATCACTATTATTCAATGAAACTCTCAGCAAACGTTTTAAATCATTTTTAATTCTAGTTTCATTTTCTGAATTGTACAAAATCCAACGACACGTTTACATATGGCGTTAACATTATGATGTATCGTTTGAAAATGTGGACTAAAAAACAAATTATTTATAGCAACACATATTTTTTTAAGTATTTTACAAATACAATTTTTATAGTTGTACCTTTTTTTTTTTGGGGGGGGGGGGGGAAAGGTGCTTACAACATTTTATTATTAATGCTTTTAAACGTCTGAATTTACTTACATGACAGTGCCATATTGTTACAATAATTATAGCAAAACAAATTTTGTACAACATGTTATCACAATTAGTAAAGGAATTAATATTTAAAACCTTTAACCAATAGCTATACTAAAAGAAATGTTTTATTGCCTTGTGTTCATGTTTTCCCATCTCTTAGTGTATTAATTTATTTTCTCTTCGTTAATTTATTCGACCCGGTTAAAAAAATAGTATTACTATAAATTTTCTTTACAAGCATATGCCATGCCATCTTTCCTTATCCACAGCTAAGTTCTACACTGTTGCACCTTTAGACAACTTTTAAATTTAAAAGCTTTAAACTTTGCATAACCCAATTGTATTCAGAGGCGTCTCCAGAAGGTGAAAGACACGATGAGATCTTATCTCTGGAAAGTAAGTTATTCGCATTGGTTAAAACTTAATGAAGCTACCGTGTTTGGAAAACCTAAAAATAAATCAACTAACAATAATTGTTTTGAACCAAGTACCAATGAAAATTAAAAATTACTCATACATGATATTTCCTTTTTATTGTTTAATGTTTGATTATAAAAAAGTTAACTTAAACGAATAAGTAAATTTCCAGCCAATTTGGTTGGATATTTACTTCGTTTAATAATGCCATTTTTGCAACAAAAAAAACCAACATAGATAAGTAGTTTCTGGCCCAACCCGTTACAAAGATTCTATTTTACAGTAACATTGTCTGAAGAACCGACATCTCCACCTTATTCGCCGCCATACTTACCAACTCCATCTCAGTCATCTCCAACGCATGCAGGTGATATTTGATCAATTTTTATGTTTGTCCCTATGGAATTTCGAAAGGAAAACGTTTTACATTATTTCTCCCTGTTGGGAAACATATTTTGTATTCATATACAGGGTGTTTCAGCATGAAAGGTAACTAATAGGTGATTCGACACTTGGAGGACCCCCAAATAAGCCCCCCTTTTCATTTTTTCGATAAGTCAAAAATTTTAGGTTTCGACAGTTAAGTAAAAAAATACTAAAATATAATAAAAACTTTAAAAAAAAATATATATTCCCTGTTGTTCAGTGCAAAAAGCTCACCTTAAAAGAGGGGTCACATCATTTTCAGTCCCTTTCGGCCCCTAACTCAAAAAATTATAAGAGAAAAATGATTAAAGAAAAAAAATAAGAAGTAAATGATAAGTGATAAAAGATTAATGCTAAGAGAAATACGATAGATAAATGATTAAAAATAATTAATAGGAGATAAACGTTGAGAGATTAGAGATAAATGCTAAGAAATTAAAGGTAAATAATTAGAAACAAGAGATAAGAAACAAATTATAAAATATTAGTGATAAGAGGTAAGAAATAAATGATAAGAGGAAAGTTAGGGGCTGAAAAAGACTGAAAATCATGTGACCCCTCTTTTAAGGTGAGCTTTTTGCACTGAACAACAGGAAATAATTTTTTGTTTTTTTATGTCATTATTTTTTTACTTAATTGTCGAAACCTTCAATTTTTGACTTAACGAAAAAATGAAAACGGGGGGCTTATTTGGGGGTCCCCCAGATGTCGAATCACCTATTACTTACCTTTCACGCTGAAACACCCTGTATAAATTTACCAAATATGAAGAAAAAAATGCAACAAACCGTATGGTTTTTTTTCACAGTTTCCGTCGTGAAATGCAGACACTTGTCCAAAGTAATAAAGCATATGAAGGCAACGGCCGCGGGGTTTAATGAAGTGAAAAATTGGTCAAGCCTGAAAGCGGAAATTCGCGGTTATAACGTTAACAAATCGATAATCTCGTTGTACAAGAGAGACCCCAATTCGATTGGATCTTTGTGGGACTTTTATTTGTACAAGATTTGGCTGGAGACGGAGAATATACACCGCTTGGAAACCGACACTAGCAAACAAACCAAGGTAAAGACTACTCACGGGAACGTTATTAGATCACTGGAGAACGACTTGTTGCGAACGTCCGATTGCCTTAACGATAACAACAATTGTCCTTACGCCAAGTGTATAGAGCCTGCAAACATAAAATCCATAGTAAACAGAAACCGTTTTACATTGTACAGCCATGTGAAGATAATCGATGCGTTGAAACCCACAACACTCTTCGTGCAAATTTTGAGCATTCAGGACACACGATTGATGAGTTTCCTTAACGGTAACATAAAATGGACCGGCACGAGCCAAGTATTGGAAAAATCTTGGCTCGGTATTTGGTCAGAGTTTGACGTGACCGTAGACCACTATAAGAAAATCAAATCATACTTCACGTTGCATAATCATTTTTTAAATATCATTATCACTAAGCTGTATTGCAGACACTTGCTGTGTATGGAAAAAATATCAGACGAAACGCAGAAATTGAGTTACGCGACACAACTGACTACCTTACTCGACGACTACAAACACATGTTAATAATCCAAGACGATCCCAATGTGAATTACTTATCGAAGGCTGTCGAAGAGATGGCCACTAAAAATGGAGATATAATCAAAACGACATCTCAGCTAAAGACAAACATTGAATCCATGTGTTCGGTGCTGGAGTGCTCGGGGATTGGGCATATTACTTTGACAGAATATGATAATGAGATCATTAATGCACTCAATACTAATAAAAAAATTGATTTGGCAAACTCTCAGTCTGACGAAATTGACCCCCTGCAAAACGTGAAAGATTTTTTGGACCTTCTTCAAGAGTTATTCAACGGCTTGCGCTTAGATGTCACGAGGACATTCCTTTCTCATATTGATCATATGTTGTCTGCACCAGATGAACAGATTATGCAAAATTGACCTTTTCAAACGTTTAATGTAATTTGTTTTGTTTTTGGTTGTTCAGTTATATTAAATTATATTTATCCCTTCAGATCTAGTTGGTATTAAAAAACTAATTAATTCAAAAACTTTTCATCAAATATTATTATTTTTATCATTAAATATAATATTAAAAAAAAATGTATTGAGTACATCTAATGTAATATATGGATTAAAATTTTTAAATACCTGATCAGTAGTTGTTGTTGATGTAGATTTTTTCAGAGATACTTCAGTAATAACTTGGTGACTTCCACCGATCGTAACAATGTTTAGGGATTGATAAAATATTTTTAAAAATGTGTATTCTTAACTTTAGGAATAAATAAAATAGAAAACCGTTTTTTTTTTTTTTTATTATTATTTGCTGTGTTATTATTATAACCGTAATTTAAGAAAATAGCGACAGACAAGTTGCATACTAACTATATTTGATAAATAACAGTTTTAGGGGGTGGGGGGGAACGCTATGAAAAATCCTTACCTGACTTCAGGTTAGTTTCACATAAGTGACTTTCACTCAGCCAGCTAAGACTGAGGTTTTCGTAACGTCGTTTTCCTGCTACTACCCCCAATAACGTTATATAAATTAAATAATTATAATATAAGAGGAAAACAATAAATAAGTATATAATAATAAAAATGATAGGTCCTGTGATAGAAAAAATATGTATATATATAATTTTTATCATAGCTCAACGTGCTTTTGGCAATCGTTAGACGCTATGTAGGAATTCAAGTTTTCAGGAACTTTTGCACCGTCCAACAGGTTGGCCAACGCCCAATATCTTTTCCTCAGGAGGTGAGCCGACGCTTTTGGCTCGCGCTGTCGCGTGAATATGCCTTTTTTGTTTCCCCCAACTCTCATGTAAGCTGAAACACACACAAAAAAAGGATGGTCGTTATTGTCGACCTCGAGGTGAAGTTCTTAATTAATCGGTTCCAAAAAAAAAAAAATGTTTATCTGTATCCCTGCGTTTCCCTGTTTTTGAATAATGTTGTAAAAGTGATTAAATACGTTGGCATCACTGATACCGGCAAACGACACCACAACAGACGACGTAGGTGTGAGTAAAATTCAAAATTTTTTAATTATTTTTCAAAATCGTATAACTTTTTAATGAATGAGTAAAAGTACACAGTTTTTTCACCAATTCTTTTTTTAGCTTCGATGCAAAGCGAGAAGGTATTGGTTTTACTCTGATGTGTGTTTTTTTTTTATCTGTATACACTGTAACTTTTTTAATACTGGACCAATTCCTTCGAGTAGCAACTCTATAAATCGCAAATTTCATCTAGTTGGTACTTTGGAGGGGGGTAAAAGTTGAAAAAGTTTAATTCTTCACAGACGAAAGTTGAAAAAACAAAAAAAAAACCGTACGAGTTTTTAAGTTAGAACTTTTACTGGCTATAATTTCGAGAAAAATAGTCGGATCGAGTTGAAATGTATAAGAAATAATTATTTGGTATGCCCGCACACGTCAGTTGTGTCAAACTTAAACTATACCCATTTCCCACGCCCCTAGGGGGGGTACAATTTTTTTTGTTTTTCGGGGTTTTTAGCGGTAATTTTGAAACTTTTGGGTTGAAAATTTGCCAGTAGTTGGAACTCATATGTACCCATAACATATTAAACGGGAAAAAAATTCGGCACTACAGTTTTTTTTTTAATTGCCGGGAAACTGTGTTTTCGCAGATTTCGTATATTTTAACAAAAACACCTAAAATCTTTAAAAAAAATTGATCAAATCATTAAAACAATTTTATTTATATCTATGCAGAATGATACTATTAGGTTTTGTGCTCAAGTACCACTTTTGACTTAAAGTTTACACAAATTCAATTTTTTTACTTAAGTTCTTTCCGGATGATTAAAATTGAGAACTGATAACAAATTCGTAATCACCGACCCCAAAAACATATAATTTGACCACTTTTGATGTCTTTTACACAAAAATCCAGAAAAATGTTTTAGCTTCGATGCAAAGCGAGAAGGTATTGGTTTTACTCTGATGAAGATTCTGTACTTACAAATGAGCATCAAAGCGTTTATTTGAAAGCGATTTTATTCAATTTTATCACTTTTGTTTATAATAATTCTTGTAGACCTGTGACCTCTCCGTTTCCTCATTGCTTTGATTACATTATGCCAATACTCTACTGTACTAGTCCTCTCGGATAAAATCACTTTCAAATAAACGCTTTGACGCTCATTTGTAAATACAGAACCTTCATTTAAAACTTTCTAACTTTGCTGGTTTATACTGTGCTTGGTTTGGACTGTACTGGCTTGAAAATACTAACTACCGATTTGCATCGAAGCGTTTTTTCGAAAGTGATTTTATCACTTTCAGATTTAAAAATTCCAGGAAACCTGTGACCTCCCCGTCCCCAATATGCACCGACCCCACTGTACTGGTTTTTTGTTCTTAACGTTTAGGTGGCCTAACAAATGTGCCACCATATCAACAACCGGGTAAGTATTATCTAGCAATTATAGGACAGTTATAAAATTACTTTGTTACTTTTTATAAACAAGTTTGAATTGTAGAAAATTTGTATGTGTACTAAGTTAACTTTTATGGTGTATTATATAGCTAGAAGTTGATAAATTAAATTATTTTTACTCATTGGCTTCACACACTTACATAAAATATATGCAACTATGAAATAAAATTGATTTCTATTTATTTTACTCTTTACGTTTAGGTCAATATCCACCACCAGGTAAGTGACATCTAACAATTAAAGGCTCTTTATATAATAATTTTGTTTTTTTTTAAACATTTTAAATAAAAGTTTGAAATTAAGTACATTTTTATGCGTACTTAGTAAACTTTTCTAGAGTATTGTATAGGTAGAAGTTGATTTATTAAATTATATTTACTTATTGACTTCACACTCACTTTGATTGTAATTGATCACTTGGATGCGTTGTACATAATGAATTCACTAACCTAAATACGCAAGTATGAATTCACATTAATTTTAACTTTATTCTTTATATTTAGGTTATCAACAGCGGGAATAGCCAGCTGGTAATTAACAACTAACTACTAATTATCGAAATGTTAATAAAAGTTGCAAAAATTTAAAAAGTTTACCCCTTCCCCTTCAAAATCGAGAAAAATTCCAACTAAAATAATTAAATTAGTACCAATAAACGTTAAAAAATCTATTTTGTTTGAGTGTTGTTCAATTTTGAAGGAGAAGACGTAAGCATTTTAAATGTTTGTCCCAATAAAATGCCTTATAGGTACGACTTTTAATACATAAAATTACTACACAAAGATAGCGGTTTAAATGATATTATGCAGACACAAAAATAAAAGCGCGGCATTGTAAAAACAATACTTTCTCCTGCATCGAAGCTAAAATGAAAATATTTCATTAGCTGTTTATAATACTATACTGAATATATACACATTTTTCAAAAAGAAAAAACTTTATATTTGTAGTTATTATACAAGTGTCTAATGTTAAAACAATTTCTCTGAATACATATAATAGTAATTTATATTTGAGTAACAAATGATGATGATGTTTTTTTTTAATTACAGGGCGGATCCAAAGGAGCCAAAAATAATCCAGTTTTATTTTAAATACAGAATAGTTGTCATTAAATTGTGTTTACTTTTCCACTAACCTCAATATATTTTCATTAAATCACAATAAACTTACTTTCTTGCAAATTTAAAATGTCTTGATTCTCATTGGTTCTACCAATTTTTGTACGCTTAATAAAAAAATGATTTATCGTTAAAGAAAGATTGACTGGAGGAAGTAAATTATTTTATGTAATTGTGATTGGCTGAGCACGCATTGAGTGCTGTGTTTGTGACAATAAGATGTTAATGGAATAATTGAGGTGTATCAAACATATCCATAACACCATGACCGTCAAATGTCAGTAATCTTGAAGCGTATGAAACACTAGTCGACTTAAATTTTTAAAAAGCTAGCCGGTGTGTTTAATCACTGCTCATTTTGTCTGAAAAAATTATTCTAAAAGATTTGTTGCCCACCACGTTATCAATATGAGTGTTTAAACTAAATATTATAATTTTATGAGTGGTTTTGTTTTAAATAAAAATAAAATATATATTATATAATATCCTTGTGTATACATAATAATAAATTGTGTGTCGTTAAAGGTAAATTGACTGGAGGAGGAATTAAAAGATAATTATTGTAATTGGCTGAGGCACGCTTGGAAAATATGTAAATTGTTTGGGTGCTTCTCTCGATTTAGAAGAGGGAGGGGTCACTTTATTAAAATTGTTGGCCCATCAAAGTAACTTTTAGGTAAGATTTTTGATCTATAGAATTGCTACACGAAGAAACCGGTTCAGCAGTTTAAAATATATTTTGAAATCAGACAAAAAAAAAATCACATCATTGTAAATTTAATACCTTCTCAACTCCACGTCGAAGCTAAAATAACAAACATTGTTAATACACCAAACATAATAAAATAATATAAATTAATCCACAAAAGCATAAAAAAATCATAATAATATTAATAATGAAAAATCAAAAATAATAATAACGTAACATTATTATTTCATTTTAACGTGATAAACAAAAAAATGAATTTAATAAAATAAAATATATTTATAGTTTATAATAAGGATATATTGGTGAATAGTAACTTCTTATTATATTAAAAGCAAGATTCATGATTGTATTGAGGGGATTGCATGCGGTCGGTTTTTTTCAGTCAAAACATCATTTTTATTCTATTGCACAGACCGAACCAGTGATCCAATAGGCAATCTAATAACAGATTTTAGTTTGCCACGAAGTTTACTTATGATAGGTCAGGGTACTTTTTTCAAATTTTTAATTTTAACCCTTTCCAAATTTGATTTTAAAATTTGAAATTTTATATAATGTTCAAACGTGTTTTATACATAGTAGGAATAAGATACCAAAAAAGTACTCTGACCGATCATAAGATACTTCATGACGAATTAAAATATGTTTACAGATTACATCGGATTACTGGTTCAGCCTGTACGATGGAACAAAAAATGTATGTTATATTAACTAAAGTGGTTTTTATTCATGGACAAAATAATACAAATTAAAAATAATACCATGAAGCTAATACAAATTAACCGGTAAATTAATTGACATGATCGAAGTTTATTAAAACCATTTTTTTCTTAAATATTGCCTATACAATACTCCTTAAAAACCAACCGCATGCAATTCCCTCAATTTATACAATCATGCAATTTATGCAATTCCTTAAGATTTCTTATGAAAGAAAAAAATTCTTGGTATTAAGGGAATTTAAAAAAATAGATTTTGAAAATATAAAAAGACTGTATTAAGGAAGAATACGTTATTATATTTCAGTACTTCAAGTATGTATTTGTAATTTATTTTGGGGTTTTTTTAATTGTGGAATTTTGTTTTTTGTTACGTATTAGCAGTTCATATAAATATTATATGGTGGGAATGTCCACCATACCATACGCGAGTGCTACACTGGCACAACATGTCATTCGTGTAATTTGGGTTTCATAATAAAGATCAGCGAATATTATTATTTATATTAATCTAATTGTGTTAATACCTCCAAAGTCCTACTGAATGTCATCCATGCATGACTAAAGTATTACGTAGACAGTCAGATACCGCCAGAACAAACTGGATTTGTCAAAGGTAGAGGAACACGTGAACAAATTTTGAACATACGCCAGCTCATAGAGAAGAGTAGAGAATTCAATTAACCATTGGTCATGTGCTTCATTGACTATAAGAAAGCTTTTGACTGTGTTCAGTGGAGGAAACTATGGACGGTCATGGCAGATATGGGAGTCCCTGATCATATCATCCACTTAATCTGAAATCTATACGCTGGGTCAAGGGCAGTAGTCCGAGCAGAAGATGCATATTCAGATCAGTTTCAACCTACCAAAGGTGTTCGACAAGGCTGCATTCTATCACCTATCCTCTTTAACATGTACAGTGAAGCAGTGTTAAGAGAGGCACTCCGGGAATGGAATGGTGGAGTGGTTATTGAAGGTAGGAAGATCAATAATTTGCGGTTCGCGGATGACACCACGTTATGTACCAAACTTGAGCCGGAGATGAGCCAATTACTAAAACGTGTTGAAGAAGCAAGCAACAAGTATGGACTGACAATTAACAGGAGCAAGACCAAGGTTATGGTTATAGATCGAGCAGGAGTATTATACCACCCACCACTGTATTAAACGGCTACCAGAAAGTGGATGAGTTTACATATTTAGGTTCAATAGTACAAGCAGATGGCGGATCATCCAGAGAAACTAGGCGTCGTGTTATTCTTGGGAGGGAAGCAGTCAGCAGGCTAATACCAATTTTGAAGGACTGCCATATCTCCAGGAACACCAAGTTGCGGCCGCTTAAGGCGCTTACCTTCTCAGTGATGCTTTATAGATCTGAAACATGGACACTCAAAGTGGAAGACGTAAAACGCATAAACGCCTTTGAGATGTGGGCCTACAGACAGATGCTGAGAATCTCTTGGATGGAAAGGAGGACCAACTTCTAAATTCTGGCCATGCTAAATGTGGAAACAAGACTGGCAGTGGTGTGTAAACAGAGGATTCTAAGGTTCTTTGGCCACACCATAACAAGGGATGAATCGTGTCTGGAGAATCTGATGATCGAAAGAAAAATAGAAGCGAAAAGGAGCCGTGGTAGAACACCAATGCGTTGGATAGACCAAATTTAGAACATCTCTGGTTCTCCCCTGATCGAAAATATACTACCATTAACACGCACAAAGGTTTATTCAGTTACACACGAAATTCATTTGGTATAAAAAATTCAGTAGGTGAATTTCAGAAAGCTATTGAGCTTGCCACTGCTAATTTAGAAGGGTTAGGTGTATTTCAAGATGATGTAATAATTGCGGGTAATACGATAGAGCAATAAAATATATACTATATATAATATATAATGTTCTTTCAGAAACTGGTTTAAGAGTTAAAAGAAATAAATGTTGTTTTCTCATAAAAGCAATTGAATATCTAGGTCATAAAATTGATGAGCAAGGCTTTCGCCTTACACACATTGTCAAGACACACTGACGCTAATTCTTCATCTCAAATTTCAGAAAATAAAACAATGCTGAAATCGTTTATATGTATGGTAACATATTATAATAAATCTATACCTAACGCAGCAGATATTTCAAAACCACTTTATTTGCTTCTACGTAAGGATATTAAATGGCATTGGTCACCAAATTGTGACAAAGCGTATAAAAAAATTAAGGACATTTTTACATCTAAACCCGTGTTAGCACATTATGACCACAAACTTCCTCTGAAGCTTATTGTAAATTCATCATGTCATGCTTTAGGCGCAATTATTTCACATGTATACCCAGATAATACTGAAAGACCTATACAGAATGCAAATTTCCACAAATCGAAAAAGAAGGGTTAGCTATTATTTTCGGAATTACAAAATTTTATGATTACAATATGGTAAGAAATCTCTATTGGAAACGGATTACAAACCATTAATATATTTTTGGTGATAAAAAAGGCATTCCGATATACGCGGCTAATCGTTTACAAAGGTAGGCACTTGTTTTATCATCTTTTGATTTTGAAATACTTCAAATCTGAAAACAACGGGGCTGATTATTTATCTCGAATAAAATCTGGCCAAAGTCATACGGATGATGATATTGAAGAAAGTACTCACATTAATTTTATTTATGAGGAATCCCCATTTCCCATAAATAGGTCAAACATAAAAATAGGTACAAACAGAGATCTAATTTTGTCTAGAGTTCTAAATGCTGTGAAAACCAATGAATGGGGTGACGGTTTTTCATCAAATTCGGAATTAAAATCGTTTAATTCACGCTAAGTAGAATAACAATAGAACAAGGATGTCTTTTATAGGGCTAACGTGTACCTCAACAATTTCGAAATTCTATTTTAACGGAACTGCATTCATGCCATATAGGCATGTCAAGTATGAAAAGCTTAGCAAAGTCATATTTTTGGTGGTCCCCGTTAGATAAAGAAATTGAAGACATCGCACGTAACTGCAACGAATGTTTAAATGCTAAACCAAATCCACCTAAGGCAGTCATAACGCCTTGGAAATGGCCCCAAAGGCAATGGACTAACATACATATGGATTTTTTAGGCCCATATCAAAATAAAACATTTTTAATTAATGTTGATACAACAACAAAATGGCCAGAAGTATTTCCAAAAGATGCGATGATAGCAGAAACAGTCATTACAAAAATGTCTGAGTTAAATGCACGTTTCGGAATCCCAAGAACAATAACAAGCGATGACGCAAAATTTTTTTGCGGTGTTGAATTTCAGGCGTACTGTAAAAAACTTGGTATTAGGCATTTAACAGGTCGCAACGTTAACCGAAAGGTTGTTATTGCTGAAGAATTGTTTACTTTGTCAGTGTTTACTTTGCCAATGTATCATTTTTTTTTTTGTAATTAATCAAATAAATCGCGATATTTTGCGTCATACTTCAGAAAAACCGTTTCCACAAAGTCGCTAAAAAATGTATATTATGCTGTTCAGATAGAGTTTTCTCTGTACGTTACTCAGTTGTCTATTGTAGGTATAACTTAACGGTGTTATTCAGAATCAGAAACATTCGTTCGTCCATTATTGCAAGATGGAAAAAATCACCATTTTCTTTATAGCTGCTATCATCATGGAAATTTCGCTGGGTAATTTTAGAATTTTTTTTTACAATACTTTTTTTTTTTAAATTAACAATAATATAGTTGTGGCTTAGTTATTTTAAATGACATAATAATATTGTAGTATTGGAAAAAGTTAATTTCTTGAATTTATAATATATAATTTCCTCATAGACTTTTGTAATCGGTAATGAATTTATGTATATCGACAACTAATCTTATTATTCATGTATTTTAGTCACACAAGGTCGTCCAGGTCCAGGTAATTAACGATAAGCAATTAACGACCCGGTTGAGTCAGATAAAAATATTTTTACTCTCCACACTTTCTTCCGTCTTAAATTTTAAACTTTAACAGAAATATATTAAATTTGTACCAACTAGTAACTATAAAAGTAAAAAAAAAGTCTAATATCTTCTAAGCTATTGACTCGGTCATAGTTAACCAATCACCCGGTACACTTCTATCGTGATGCAGTATAGTACTATAAGTAGACTAACGGAATTATATTTATACACGGCACCAAAAACTTCAAATAAAATTAAAGATTTTTTTTTCTGAAAGTTGCACCAACATAAAATATATGTAAATGCTATAAATATGTGTAAAAAATGAAATTACTCAATTATTATTTTTCTATTAATTATTATGAGACTTTTAAAGGTGGAATACATTAATTTTATTTGTATAATTTTGTTAAATAGTTGGAGAACAACCGAACGGTCAGTATAAACAATATAGTTACTCTATATATTAGTCGGTAATCAACTAAGAACAAAACTTTTATTATATTTACTGGAAAATTTTTTTTTAAAAAATGACTTATTTTTTTTACAATAAATCATGAGTGGTAATGGTAGGTTTTTGTATTTAGAAGACGCTTTGCTTAATGGGAGGGGACAGTGGGAGATTAGAAATAAGAACGTAAGAAGGGGAAGGGGGGAAGGTAAGAGGTAAAGGGGTGGGGAGATGAGGAGATGGGAGGGGAAACAGCAACGCGAAAATAGTATCGTGAAATTGATGACGCAAATGAAATGTACTCAGCCCAACGATTTTTATTGTTATTAACAGTTTTACTTTTTAAATTTTTATTTTTTATTTAACATGGTCATTTTATTAAGAATAATTTGCTGATAATTTTGATTAGAAAATTTTCTTAAAACAATCTTGAACATATTCAATAGAACAAAAGTTATATTGTTCCCATACAATAAATGGTATTCATTTTTTTTTTAATTTTATAATTATTTAAATTAGAACTCGTATCTTATTAAATAATTGTCCAACAAAAAAAAAAAAATTTGCAAATTTGAAATCAAGAGAAAAAATCTTGTTGAATTGTTATGTAACATGATTTTTTGGTATCTGGCCTCACATGCGTCCACGGGGTGGCCACTGAGTGGCCAGCATGTGATCAAAATTAATATATGACATGCGTATCTCATTTTGGGTTATAATCATTTTATTCTCAATTCAGTGGTGACCTTAGAATTATTTTATATTCAATATTTTAGAAATTATCACCATTTTTTTGGTAAAAATGTAATTTTTAATTAATAAGTTTGTTTCTAATTATTCTCTAGTGTTCTCCGTGTAGGACCATCGGTATTTCTTCCGCAATCAGATACAAACTATAATTAGGCTTTGTTTGATTTCATTTATACACTTTTTTATTTTTAAATAAATTAATACGTTAGGAGTAATTTTTTTTATTGAATATTCTTGTAAAAGTTTTTACACCTTATTTGTTAGATGTACTATTCAAATTTTATATATTGAAAAATAATTAATACATCTACGAGAATAAAAGGTGATGCATGATTAAACAAGTATTTGCGACTTAAAAAAGTGTTATTTCATAAATTAAAGTACCGAACAATAGTCAGCGGGCAAACGTACTATAAATATTATACATTTAACATATTATAAATATTCATGACAACAGTGATACATTTTTATTGATAATTATGTTACAAAAAATACAAAACTTAATTTTTTAATACCATTTTGGATGATGGTCGAAAATAAAATTTCTGCGGACGCTGAAAGTTACCATCAGAAATTTTTGTATACTTAAATTGATATTTACTCGGTCATAAGACATTTCTATGGTCCTTATATATCCGCTTATATGGTGGATAATGTTTTTTTTTAATATTATTAATTTATACAGTAGAGACCAATAACACATATTGGGGATCACTATTTTGAAATCGCCAGTATGCTAAAAACAACTACAAATCATTTGAAAAAAATAAATTCATATAAATAATCTTTTGAACATTTCATAATCTAACCCATTTTTTAAATTATACTGAATTGAGTTGGATGCGTAAAATACACGTTTAACAAACGTACTATGCATAACTGGAAAAACTTAAAACATGAAAATTTAAAAGAATTAGTACAACAATTAAAACTTTTAAATAATATGTATATTTTTTCAAAAAAACATTCGGTTGAAAATGAATATTGTAACTTTTAATTTAATGTAATTAGTAATTACTTAAGGTAACCACTGAATTGAGAATAAAATTCTAACCATTTTGGGTCGCATGCCATATGGCGATTTTGATCACATGCCGGCCACTCAGTGGCCACCCTGTGGTCGCATGTGTGGCCAGATACCAAAAAATCATGTTACATATCAATTCAACAAGATTTTTTCTCTTGATTTCGAATCTGCAAACTTTTTTTTTGTAAGACTATTTTTAATTGAAATACGAGTTCTATTTAAAATAATTAAAAAATGAATACCATTTATTGTACCCATAGAGCATCCTGGATGTCTCATTTGAAGCTCGGTAGAACTTTTCATGACACCCTGTATATGTATATATATATACGAGTATATTGGTAGGTATAGTTTGTAATTTACAATTCTTTTAAAAATGTACCACTAACCTAACGTAAATTTTAAAACCTATATTAGAATAAAACTTAGCCAAGTTAAAAATAAATTACTTGGTATGCCAGATCCTAACTTATAATATTTTTGAATTGAAATTACTAATCTTATAAACATAACATTTGGAATATCGGAATTGTTATTCTTTCGAAATGGGAAATATTAGTTAAGACAAGCTAATTTTTTGTAATTCATACCACTGTGTGATGATCCAAAATCTAGATTTTAATTGTTTTATTAGAATAAAAGCAGCCTTGATCTTTGGCATCATAATATAATAGCAATAGATTGACTACATCAACCAGTTGTGTGAGATTTTCTTTATTCTCATTCTTATTAGGATATGCCATGGGTATTTAATGAGGAGTATATCCAATTTTTATCATCTTATAATATATGCTAATACAAAGTAATATTAATAACTTATTATTTTATTTTTTTTATGCCACAAGATTCGTTATATCCATGTGGTAAGTACCAACTATGAAGTAAATACACAGATAAAAATGTTTTTGCTACTACATTGATTTTGAACGATACTCAATACTTGTACATTCTACCGATTCGCATCGAAGCGTTTTACTTGGCATGTTTTTATGAATTATAATTTATACACATATTAGCTTCAATGTGAAACTGTGAAGGTTTGATTGTTCTTATAATGTTGTGCTTTATTTTTTATTATCACTAGAAATTATTGCCACTAAAATTATTTTATTTATTTTTGACATATTTCTACAAATCTTACTTAATTTTTTATAAAAAGTTTTAATAGTAGAGCTTTTAAATTCCATTGATATAACATGAACATTAGCATTTTTTTCTTGCTTTATAAAGACAAATTATTGTTAAAAAATAATGAGAATTCTTAGATATTGCCTATTTAAAACTCCTAAATATTTATGGAGTATTGCATAAAAACAAGTTGTTTAATTAAATAGATTATACTTACTTTCTTCACAAACTTACATAATATTTATACCACAGTAAAATCATATTAACTCCTCATTTTGTTTAGTCGACGAATATCCGCCAGCATATCCACCACCACCAGGTATGTAACTTCTTACAATTATAGACACGTTATAAAAGTACTTTGTTTTTGACATTTTCATGTCTTAGCTCTGGCACATAACCGAAAAAAGTATTACCAAAAAGTTATTACGAAAATTAATAACGAAAAAAGCGTTATCACACGGAGATGGGGTTGTGGGTGGGAATGGGGTTGGAGTTGAGGGTAAGAATAGCGGTAGGGGTAAGATAATTGTCTTAAGACAGATATTAAACACTTCAATATTAGCCAGAAACTTGATGTTTTAATGTACTAGCATGTTACTGCTTCTTAATATAGTATATCATTATCTATTCCTTATTTTATTCTTTACGTTTAGGTCCATATCCACCACAAGGTAAGCGAATAAAGGAAATATATACATATTTTCTTGTTTTTTATACATTTTATTTATAAGTTTGGATTGTAGATTTTTTTTTTATCAATTTAAATGTTTTTTTTTAACCATCTTTTATCACTTTTTTAAAAATTTACTTATTATTTTATTATTTTAATCTCAAGTTTATTAAATGAGAATCGACTATTTATCTATATTATGTATTAGAGAATAAATTCATACTGATAACTAATTTTGTTTCTTAAATTTAGTCGCAATTGGTGTACCAATGTACCCAGAAGGTAAATATAACCTAGTTATAATTAAAGGCACGTCATAAAACTTATGTAGATTTTTGTACATTTTGTATAAAAGTTTGAATTGTTGAACATTTTTACTACGATGGGGGAAAACTAAAATGGAGTACTTTAATGTACACTTAGTAAACTTTCATGGTGAATTGTATAGATAGAAGTTATTAAATTATATATTTTATTATACTTATTTTCTTTATTCACTAACAGAATACAGGTTGTGAAGTATTGGACCTACAGCGCTCTGGTAAGACTTAAATAAAAGAAGAGTTGTCATATTTCGAATGAATTCCACTAGATGTCTTTTACACGCCCAACTACATGAGGTCGGCCGTCTTAGTTCTACACCTATCCATCTTTTCTTCGGTCTTCTTCTTACCCTCTTTTCCTCTACAATCATCTTGATAACGCCCATCATTGCCTCTGCATCATCTCCTCTCATAATATGACCAGACCATCTCAACCTATTCTCTCTCGTTTTCTCTAAAATTGATGCAACCCTTGTTTCATAGCCGTAACTAAATTACGCTTCGCGAACTCGATTACTTCTCTTGTGAGGACACTATCTTAAGAAACTAAAAAATGAAGGCGGGAACGTAGAGAGACATTTAGTGGCAGTCATTGGAAACTTGACAACTTCCTCTTCCATTCAAGCACTACCAGAACGCTGTAGGTCCAATACTTCACAACCTACAATCGTTTGTAAACCCCACCATTTTTAACCCCATCATCTTTTTGATACATCCTGAATATATGCAACAATAAAGTAAAGTTGATTCCTTATTTTATTCTTTACGTTTAGGTCCATATCCTCCACAAGGTAAGTAACATCTAGCAATTAAAGGAAATATATACATATTTTCTTTTTTTTTTTGTACATTTTCTTTATAAGTTTGGATTGTAAATTTTTTTTTTAAATTAAATGTTTTTTTTAAACAACTTTTTCAAAAATTTACTTTTATTTAGATGTTAAATAGCTGTACCTAATTTTATTAGTTTTTCCAATCTTAAGTTTATAATGAGAATCGACTATTTATCTATATTATGTATTAGAGTAAAAATTCATATTTATAACTAATTTTGTTTCTTAAATTTAGTCGTACCTGGTGTACCAGTGATGTATCCCCCTCAAGGTATGTTTTACCCAGTAATAATTAAAGGCACGTCATAAAACTTAAGTAGAACCTTTATTACGACGGAGGACAACTTAAATGGAGTAATTTTTATGTATACTTAGTAAATTTTTTGGAGATTGTATATATAGAAGTTGATAAATAACATATTTTATTATACTTATTTTCTTTATTCACTAACATAACATATATGCAACAAATTGATTCCTTATTTTGTTTTTATCGTTTAGGTAGTCTATCCAATTTGGTACCAGCTCAACAATCGGGTCGTAAGTATTATATAGCAGTTAAAATTACACAATTCTTAATTTATTGATATAATTGGTTACCTTGGATAGAAGTTTATTAATTAAATTTATTATACTTTTTTCTTCATTCACTTACATTATAAAATAAGGTTTTTTTTATACAATTTTTTTGTAAAAGTTAGAATTGTAGAACATTTTTATTCTGAAAATATCAAATATTTAATTAAGTAGAACCTTATTACGACGGAGGACAACTTAAATGGGGTACTTTTTATGTATACTTAGTAAACTTTCATAGAGTATTGTACAAATAGAAGTTGATAAATTATATTTATTATACTTATTTTCTTTATTCACTAACATAACATGTATGCAACAATGAAGTCAAATTGATTCCTTATTTTGTTTTTAACGTTTAGATAGTCTATCCGATATGGTACCAACTCATGCACCGGGTGGTAAGTATTATCTTGCGATTATAGGCACGTTATAAAATTACTTTGTTTCTTTTTATATAAAAGTTTGAGTTGTAGGACATTTTTATGTGTACTTAGTAAACTTTTAGGGTGTATTGTAATAGATAGAAGTTGATAAATAACATATTTTATTATATTTATTTTCTTTATTCACTAACATAATACAAGGAGTATCAAAAATAATGGTAGGGTATCAAACGGCTGTAGGTTGTGAAGTATTGGACTTACAGTGGTCTGGTAGGACTTAAATGAAAGAGGGAGTTGTCAAATTTTAATGACTACCCCTAGATGTCTCTTACACACCCAACTACATAAGGTCGGCCGTCTTAGTTCTACACCTATCCATCTTTTCTTCGGTCTTCTTCTTCCCCTCTTTTCCTCTACAATCATCTTCATAACGCCCATCATTGCCTCTGCATCATCTCCTCTCATAACATGACCAAACCATCTCAACTTATTCTCTCTCGTTTTCCCTACAATTGATGCAACCCTTGCAAAATTTTGTATGCGGCTATAAATTCATATTGATATACATTATTTTGTTCTTTACAAAATAGTTCTTTAAAAAAACTACTCCTCCCGTTCTAACCCTAAATATGGGTTAATTTTAAAACGTGTATTAGAATTGAAATTACTGATCTTATAAACATAATATTCGAAATATCGGAATTTTTTTTCTTTTGAATTGGGAGATATTAGCTAAGGCAAGCTAATTATTTGTAATTCATACAACTGTGTGATGGTCCAAAATCTAGATTGTAATTATTGTTCTATTGGAATGAAAGCTGCCTTGATCTTTGGCATCATAATATAATAGCAATAGATTGGCTACATCAACCCGCTGTGTGAGATTTTCTTTATTCTTATTCTAATTAGGATATACCATGGGTATTTAATGAAGAGCATATCCAATTTTTATTCTCTGATAATTTATGCTAATATTAAGTGATATTGATGTTTAATTTTGTTATTTTTTTTATGCCACAAGGTTTTTATCCAATTCATCATCTGGAAGGTCCGCAAGATTATTTACCACCATTAGGTAAGGTATCTTCTTACAACTATATGCACGTTATAAAATTACTTTGTTTCTTTTTATATAAAAGTTTGAGTTGTAGAACATTTTTATGCGTACTTAGTAAACATTTATGGAGTATTGAATAAATACAAGTTGATTAATTAAATTATTTTCACTCATTGGCTTGTTAAATAGTAGCTGTCCCTCATTTTTATCGGTTTCTTCAATCTCAAGTTGATTAATTAAAAATAGACTATTTATCTATATTATGTATTAGGGTATAAATTCATAGTGAGAACTAATTTAGTTTTTTTAAATTTAGTCCCACCTGGTGGACCAATGTATCCTCCCCAAGGTAAGTATACTGTACTTTATTTCTTCACACACTTACATAATATATATGTGACTATAAAATCATATTGATTCCTTATTTTATTATTTACGTTTAGGTCAATATCCACCACCAGGTAAGTGCCATCTAACAATTAAAGACGCTTTATAAAATTACTTTGATTTTTTTTTTACATTTTAAATTAAGTTTAAATTGAAGTACATTTTTATGCGTACCTAGTAAATATTTATGGAGAAATGCATAAATATAAGTTGATTTATTAAATTATTTTTACTCTTTGGCTTCACACACTTACATAAATAATATGCAACTATGAAATAAAAATTAATTCCTTATTTTATTCTTTACGTTTAGGTGCATATCTACCACAAGGTAAGTAACTTCTAGTAATTGAAGGAACTATATAACATTTTTCTTGTTTTTTATACATTTTTTTAATAAGTTTGAATTGAAGAATTTTTATTTTTATCAAATTTAATTTATTTTTAACCTATTTTTATCACTAAAAATTTACTTATTATTTTTATTTCTTCACACATTAACATGTTAATAGTTTAGTTGATACATTTAATTATTTTTATTCATTGACTTCACACATTAACATAATATGTATGTAACTATAAAATCATATTGATTCCTTATTTTTTTTTTTACGTTTAGGTTCATATCCACCACAAGGTAAGTAACATCTAGCAGTTGAAGGAACTATATAACATTTTTCTTGTTTTTTTATAAATTTTCTTTTGAACTGTAGAACATATTTTTTAAGTGTACTTAGTTAACATTTTCTAGAGTATTGTATAGATAGAAGTTGATTTATTAAATTATATTTACTTATTGTCTTCACATTCACTTTGATTGCAATTGATCACTTGGATGCGTTATACATAATTAATTCACTAACCTAAGTACGCAAGTATGAATTCACAGTAATTTTAACTTTATTCTTTATATTTAGGTTATCAGCAGCGGGAATAGCCAGCTGGTAAGTATCAACTAACTACTAATTATCGAAATGATAATAAAAATTTCAAAAGTTCACCCATTCCCCTTCAAAATCGAAAAAAACACCAACAAAAATAATCAAATTAGTATTAATAAACGTTGAAAAATCGAATTTGTTTGAGTGTTTTTCTATTTTGAAGGAGGAGACGTAAACATTTTAATAGGTACGATTTTAATATGTAAAATTATTACACAAAGAAAGCGGTTTAACCCTTTACTGGTATCGTCGGGTCAAAAATGACCGATTTTCATTATAATCAAATGGGAATGAAAATGACGATACCGGTTAAGGGTTAAATGATATTATGCAGACACAAAAATAAAAGCACGTCATTGTAAAAACAATACCTTCTCCTCCATTGAAGCTAAAATGAAAATATTTCATTAGCTTTTTATAATACTATACTGAATAAATACACATTTTTCAAAAAGAAAAAACTATATATTTTTAGTTATTATCCAAGTGTCTAATGTTAAAACGATTTCTCTAAACACATATAATACTAATTTATATTTGAGTGACAAATGAAGATAATGTTGTTTTTTTTAATTACAGGGCGGATCCAAAGGAGCCATAAAATTATCCAGTTTTATTTTAAATACAGATTAGTTATCATTAAATTATGTATACTTTTACCCAAAAAAACAACATTATATTTTCATTAAATCACAATAAACTTACTTTCTTGCAAATTTAAAATGTCTTGATTCTCATTGGTTCTACCCATTTTTGTACGCTTAATAAAAAAATGATTTATCGTTAAAGAAAGATTGACTGGAGGAAGTAAATTATTATATGTAATTGTGATTGGCTGAGCACGCATTGAGTGCTGTGTTTGTGACAATAAGATGTTAATGGAATAATTGAGGTGTATCAAACATATCCATAACACTATGAGCGTCAAAACGTCAGTAATCTTAAAGTGTATGAATTACTAATCGACTTAAATTTTTAAAAAGCAAGCCGGTGTGTTTAATCGCTGCTCATTTTGTCTGAAAAAATTATTCTAAAAGATTTGTTGCACACCACGTTATTCAATATGAGTGTTTTAACTAAATATTATAATTTTATGAGTGGTTTTGTTTTAAATAAAAATAAAAATATATATTATATAATATCCTTGTGTATACATAATAATAAATTGTGTGTCGTTAAAAGTAAATTGACTGGAGGAGGAATTAAAAGATAATTATTGTAACTGGCTGAGGCACGCTTGGAAAATATGTAAATTGTTTGGGTGCTTCTCTCGATTTAGAAGAGGGGTGACTTTATTAAAATTGTTGGCCCATTAAAGTAACTTTTAGGTAAGATTTTTGATCTATAGAATTGCTACACGAAGAAACCGGTTCAGCAGTTTAAAATATATTTTGAAATCAGACAAAAAAAAAATCACATTATTGTAAATACAATACCTTCTCAACTCCGCATCGAAGCTAAAATAACAAACATTGTTAATACACCAAACATAACAAAATAATATAAATGAATCCACAAAAGCATAAATAAATCATAATTATTTGAATAATGACAAATCAAAAATAATAATAACGTAACATTATTATTTCATTTTAATGTGACAAACAAAAAAATGAATTTAATAACTTAAATGCTCAGAATTGTTTCCTATAAATGGTTAATGCCATAATTGACGCACTGGCCGCTTATATGGACATTTCCCAAAGTTTTGTACAAATGGGATTAAATGGAAGAAAAATAATAATTAGGCGTTTTCAAAAAACATCAACAGTGAAGGCGTTTTTAAGATATATATGGATATATTAGGATGTATAAGGATAGTCAAATTAATTTGTTAGGTAGCCATGTATTCACTGGCGAATCGCGGAAATTGATTTATGAGAAACGGTAATTATTGATAAATGTTGCCAGTAAATCGATCAAGGCCAGATATTATGAAACTACTATAAAACGTTTGGCCAGAACATATTATAATTAAGACTATACTATCATCATATCCACGTATTGATGTACCTAACTGCATGAAGTGTGTAACAAAAAATAAACACTCATACACTGGCATAGATGGGCGTTTCTGAGTAGTTTAAGATACTAATTCGACCAATATCTAAAAGTATATGACGATATACCAAGTTTGAAATGTTTCATGAATAATTGTACCGTTGCGCTGTTACCGTAATTTATGCCTTAGATACTTCTTTCGCGTGTCTCGTGACACAAGCTGTTTTTCAAAAGATAAACAGTTTTCTGCTTCTTATGTACTTAAATGAAATCATTTCTATCCGGGCCAAACAACACTCGCAAAAACAATACCATGTATTGTATTCATTTGAAATTTTCCCTGCACGTTACTGCAAGTTCTCTATTGAAACAACTCAACGGTGTTCATTGTGACAAGATGAAAAAATTTGCTATTTTTTTTCTAGCTGTCATCGCCATCGCGATATCATTAGGTAAAATGTATTTGTATTTTGTACAACACTGCTTCACTTTCAAGTCGATTAACCCAAATCAACTTTATACCATAATTTATGGTATTGAAATAATTCATCATCGCTTGAACGCAACGTATAAATTGAAATTAATACCGAATTTTATTCTTTATATTTAGTTTCACAAACTCAGCCACATTCACCTGGAGGTACGTAACAACTATTAACTGCACACGTTAGTAAATATTACTCAATTTGTTTTTTTAATTACATTTTTTTTCTATAATGCAACAAGGTGGTGATAGTTCAGATGAATATAAAGAAACTCGTAAGTAAAAACTAACAAATCAATTTAAATTACTACAGTAGGTAGATTTTTAATATCTCAAAGAACATCATTTTACAAAGAACTTTGAAACATCAGTATCTCTCTAAAACCAACAACGTCGTGTAGATACGTCGTTCTCATCATCATATGATAATCTCTGTGCTTTTAGAGTAGTTCTATCATACTCAGCCATTACTAAATTTCTATTGACCTGAAACTCATCCCACCCCCTATGGCTCGGTTCCTCTGTGTTGGTTCATTTTTGTAGGTTACACGCAGATTTCCATTACATTGCACGTATTATAGGTGTCTTAAAACAACAAAAAAAAAAAAAAAAATAGGGCAAATATCACATGTTTCAAATTTGTTCAAATAATATTGTAACGCACAATATGAGTAATAGTCAATACCCGTTTTCAGTATTACAGTACGGAAAAATACTTATGGCATTTATTTTCTAATATAATTTCTAAAAAAGTACATTTGCGGTATACTAGATGTGCGAAAAGAAAAGATTATTACTTTTTTCGGTTGGCATCATCGCTTACCCAATCGTCCTGGTGTCGCAACGCTATTTACTGCTTTGAAATGAATTAGTTTCCAAAACAAAATTGAATAACAAAGATAATAGTTATTATTGCTAACTTAGTAGTTAATTTTGTTTAAATCATGTTTACTCCTTCCACGCAACGCTTTTACATTACTTCTAAAAAGTATTCAACTATATAATCGAGGTTAAATGTAACACTCTTAGATTTCTGCTATCAGTCAAGATATGACATTATTTATATTTAACTATAAAAAAATAGGATACTTTGCTAGTAATCTAGTGTCAGTTTTTTTTATAACGAAATTCCATACTTAATAGAAAAATATATATTATAACACATTTAGCAGCCAAAGGGAGTAGGATATAGCATTCAAATACCATACTTGTTGTAAAAGTTCAAGTGTAATTTGTTGTAGAAGGTGTCTGTAAACAGTCTACGTACAGTGTACTTTTATAAATGCAGTTGCTTAAAACTTTAAAGAGTAGTTGACTGTTACATTATGTTCAGATCACAAAGGTTTACTGTAATGGAAGAATAATGTATAAAATGTTATTCTTGTTGAGTACAACCGGTTACATATAAATCATCGACCATTCCAACAGAATATAACAAATTCAATTATTTACAAAGAAATGCTTTAATGCTAATTGTAAACACAGCACCTCACTACAATACTTTGTTAGTGTGCTGGTTTGTACTGTGCTTGGTTTGTACTGAAATGTTTTGAACGTACTAACGATCGATTCGCATCGAAACGTTTATTTGAAAGTTATTTTATCAATTTCAGATGTAATAACTCTAGTAAACCCTTGCCTTCCCGTGTTCACTGTGCCCCCCCCCCCCACTGTTCTAGCTGTTTTTGACATTTTCATGTCTTTGCTCTGGCACATAACCGAAAAAATGTTACAAAAAATCGTTACACTGTTATCTGATAAGAGATAAGAGATGAGGGATGGGGATGTTACATTTTTTTTAAAAATGTATTCGGTACTTCATCGAGACATAAAAATGCTCATTTGTCAGTTGCAGACTCGTCTAAAAAATGCTTTTATAGAAGAAAATTCCAAGTATAAATTAGTTGACAACCTGTTGATAAAGCATTAATTATTGTGTCTGCTTTGGAATTATGCACCTCGTGTTAACACATACATTTCATATTAAATAAACTAAATATCTAATACTTAAAAATTTATAATTATGTCAATCATCCTAACTTTATGTGTATTTTTTTTTTTTTAGATGGTAGAGTATTATGTTTGTTAAGAAGATTACACAGAGGTATGTTTTTATCATCATCTCATATTGACATTTTCATGTCTTAGCTCTGGCACATAACCCTGGCAAATAACCGAAAAAAGCGTTACCATAAAAGCGTAACGAAAAAAGCGTTATCAAAAAAGCATAACGAAAAAAGTGTTACCAAAAAAGAAATGGGGTTGAAGATGAGGTTGGGGGTGGGCGATAGGGGTGGGAATTAGCTGTAGAAAATAACCGAAAAATGTCAAAAAGCGTTACCACATGGAGATGGGGTTGGGGTTGGAATGGGGTTAGGGGTGAAAGAGGGGTTGGGGTTGGGGAGATTACAAGATAGGGGTGGGATATAGGGGTAGTAGATGGGGTGAGTGATAGGGATGGGAGATAGTGGGTAAGCCAGATATTAAACACTACAATATTAGCCAGAAACTTGATGTTTTAATATACTAGCTTGTTACTGCTTCTTAATATACTATATCATTATCTATAACTCCACCACTACTCTAAACTTAATCGGTACTTCAACGAGACATGAAAATGTTCTTTCGTGGTTGCAGACTCGGCTGAAAAACTTTTTTATTTCAATTTCTCCAATTGGGGAATTCCCAGTGTTTGCTTATTCACAGTGGTTTATGTACAATGTTCTATTTAATTTTTGCCTACATATTTTTAATTATGAATGAATTAATTTAGTTAACAATACATCACTGTTTTGAAAAAAGAGACAAACCGCTTTTGTAACACTGGTTAAATGGGAAAAAATCTTGAATACGTTTCGTATACTTACATGAAATCATGTGTACTATAATTTGTTTGCACTATTGTGTGGTGCATTCAAATTTAACACTTAAGTTGGAATTATAATTATTATTGTACTAAAACATTTTAAAACGATCAAATTACTTTACATGTTTGTATAGAGTTCAAGCTGAAGTTGAAGAGTTTCCAGTGTCATCGTTGTCCTCGTGTTGATTCTCGTTGTGGCCAGGCATGTGCTCCTGACTGTCCTTCTAGCTGTTCTTCTGATTGTCCTCCTCAATGTGCTCATGACCATGCTTCTGAATCTTCTTCAGAATCAGATGGTCATTGTCATGGTCCTCATCAATGTGCTCCTGGCCGTGCTTCTGTAGTGATTCCTCAATGTGCTCATGACCATGCTTCTGAATCTTCTTCAGAATCAGATGGTCATTGTCATGGTCATGCTGGATTTTTTATTCCAGACACTAGATATAATAAAGAAAAAGAAATAAGGGAAATATTGAAACCTAGAACAAATGAATGGGTTCTTTATAACAAGAAAAATTTGGAAGATTGTCATAAGGAAGGTGATCATCAGGACCTTTACTGGGATATCACACGTGGAACAGTGATTGTAAACAACCATGCTGCCAGACCTCATCCTTAACACATTATATATATATATATATATATATACCAGGTGATTATTTTAATACAAGACGTTCATTTTATCGTAAAATAATCAAAATTTTATAGCTTTTTTCTTTTTAAAAAGTTTTTATTCATGATACTTGTCAATTGCCAAACATATACCTTTTTTAGTGTTGACCAAAACGCAATCAACTTTTGAATCTAAAATTGTAACGTGTATATTATGATATTTTATCATATTTTTCATGGTTTGCTTTTTTTTATTCCTCCAAACGGCCGTTTTGGGGTGTTTTTACAGCTTGCTACCGACTTTTATATTTTATTACGGTGATCCTCAGTAATAGAGGTAATTTTTCTCAAAAATTTGCAACACAGAGGTCCTAAATTTGTTATTAGACCTGTAATAATGTGTGTAACATTTAATCATGATTTATCAATCCTAACACGTGCCCCAGTGTATAAATAGTCTGTGCTAGTTTGGAACTAATTCAACTATATTCAAAAAATGTATAGAGCACCGTAATTTTTAGTAGAAAAATATGTATTTTTTTGGGTGTTATTCTTAATTTTAAACATTCAGGTGAACTTTTAAAATTCTTCATCAAAAAACGTAATTTTCATGTACAATTCCTAATCTATAGAGTTGCTATACAAAGAAATATAATATACTATATACTATATTTATTTATTTATTATTAAATTCATTATGTAACATACATATAAATTGTACTTATTTTAATAAAAAAAACATTATGAAAACAATTTATACTTGAGCTACGAATCATAATAACGTTTTTTTTTTTTTTTATTACAGGGCGGATCTAAAGGAGCCATAAAATTATCGAGTTTTATTTTAAATACAGAATAGTTATCATTAAATTATGTATACTTTTCCACTAACCACATTATATTTTCATTAAATCACAATAAACTTACTTTCTTGCAAATTAAAAATGTTTTGATTCTCATTGGTTAAACTCATTGGTGTACACTTAGTAAAAATTGATTTGTCATTAAAGATAAATTGACTGGAGGAATTCAAATATTATATGATATTGTGATTGGCTGAGCACGCATTGAGTGCTGTGTTTGCGACAATAAGATGCCAATGGAATAACTGAGGTGTATCTAACATGTCCATAACACTATGGCCGTCAAAATGTTGTCAGTAATCTTAAAGCGTATGAAATACTAATCTACTTAAATTTGAAAGAGCAAGCCAGTGTGTTGAATCATTGATAAGTTTGTCTGAAAAAATTATTTTAAAAGATTGTTTACACACCGCGTTATTTAATATGAGTGTTTGAACTAAATAATATAATTTTATGAGTGGTTTTGTTTTAAATAAAAATAAAAATATATATTTTATGATAAGGATATTTTGGTGAATAGTCACTTTATATATTAAAAGGATGATTGTATTAAGATTTGTTATGAAAGAAAACAATTCTTAGTGTTAAGGGAATTTAAAGAATAGGGTTTGAAAATATAAAAAGATCGTGTTAAGGCAGAATACATTATTATATTTCAATACTTTTTTTTAAATTGTTGAATTTTGATTTTCTTTTATTCTCAGTTTGCTTATCTGAAATAAAAAATATACTATAACTATAACTTATGGTATCTAATAATTTACTGATGTATTATAGTGATACAAATGTGTTGCTTGAATGCATTATACATATTTTTCTCACAAAGCAGTGTATGCTAGTATGAAATAATAATATTGACACCAAACTTGCTTCATGGTCAACCTAAAAATTACTTTTAAGTCTATTATTATAGTTATTTTTTTATTCAAGAATTGACATTTTCAAAGTTAAAGGTCAAAACAATCATAATAATAACAAACAACTTTTTACTACGTCCAACTAGTATTTTGTTTGACATGGATGGATATGTCTTATGGCTGAGGGTCATTCTGAAAATTTGTCTGTCACCTTTTTGAGCGACATGATAAGTGTCACTGAGGATGATTATGGATGGGAATTAATAGAGATAGTGGATTATAGGTAATAAATTAGAGATAAGATATTAGAGATCCTAGATTGCAGGACACATCCATGTATTGCATGTATCTGCATGAAGTGTGGATACTCTTAACTTTTTGTTAGTACACAAAGAGATCAAAATATGTCCTATATACTACAACACAAGTATCGATATTACTTATTAAATATTGTTGTTTTGATTGAATGAGGGTGCTTAAAAAGAATTAAATGATTTTCTGCCTTAGGGTTCAATATACCGATGTGTATTTAAAATTTTAGTTTCAACGATAAGCCAAATCGATTCATATTTTGACCTAGATATTTTATTTAAAATATTCAAAATCTAATTTTACTTAATATTTTCAATAACAATACATATTGAAAATACAATTTTAATTCTTTCGTGTGTCTCGCGTTATACTCAGGTGGTTTTTTATTCAACAGATGTAAACAATATTTTGCGTCATACTTAAAAAGAAAAACATTGTTATTTAGGTCGAACAACACTTGCTAAAATAATATGTATTATATGTTCATTTCGAGTGTCTTCTGTACATTGTAAAGTTCTTTTCGTACAATCTAACGGTGTTTTACAGAAACATTTGTTCATTTCGTACAAGATGGAAAAAATCACAATTTTTTTTATAGCTGCCATCTTCATGGACACATCATTGGGTAATTAGTTTTTCTATTTTATTGAATATTTCTTAACTTTCAACTCTGATTACCGTAAATTGACTATACAGGTACCATAGTTATGATTTTATGGTACCTAATAGTAACTGTCTCACGATATTGTTTTGATTGAAATTTATCAATTGAATGCAATTTACATAATTACCTCACAAACCTAAAAACGCAAGTATGAGTTAACATTAAAACATAGGTTGATTATTCCAAATGTACTACAATTATGGTTTTAAAGTATTAAATTAAATGGTAAAATTTATTGATAAAAATCGATTACTTGGTAGTCATACCTAATTACTGTGTTTTTTTACATTTAGTTACACGAGCCCGGCCATATCCAAACAGTATGTAGTAATACAACATAATAAATTACTCTAATGTTTGTTTTGTACAATTTAAAACGTTTAAAACCCAAAATGATGTAAGTCACATTGACGTTAATAATTAGATAAAAACAAGATTTATATAAAACTCTGGTGTTGTGCTGCCATCTGGCGGTAGAGGTTACTTTCGATAAATTTAATTTTTAACATGTGCCTACATTAATCGACTCGACATTTAGGAAAATGTGACTTACATCACTTTTGTTTTAATCCTTCTTATTTGTTGGATTAGGTGGAAATGGTTCCAATGGACCAAACGACGCAATAGGTCAGTATAGACTATGTATAGCTACTACTAACCGTTTACATAATTGTTACTAAACTAAAGGTAGTACAGCTATTGGTTTTTAGGCATTTGTCTAAAATTGAAAATATGTATTGACTATTTTTTTAACGTTTAAAACAGTATTTTCTCGGTTTTTCATAAATTAATAGATTCTATATAGATTAAAATTTATAGATTAATATATTGTTCGAATTGAACAATATACCATAGTTATGCCTTTAAGGTATCTAATCAAATTACACATTGCGTTTTACTTGACATTCGTTCTGTGAATTATAGTTTCATACATATTAGCTTTGATAACTAATTTTGTTCTAATTTGGTCACCGCACAAGCTGTGCAAATGTATCCAAAAGGTAGGTATCGCCTAGTCACGACACTACATTTTATAGCTTATTTTTCTCCTTATAAAATATAACTTCCAAAACTTCCATGTTTGTTGTCCGGTCTATCTGCTACTAATTAAATTATATATTATAACGATCAAAATTGAATAATTCAACGCAATGTACTCTTTTTTCACACATTTATATAAGCCACTATCAATATATTATTTTACTGTTGCCTAATTTTAGTCTATATATTCGGACCCACTAGGACATAAAACAAACTTAGTTACAACTATGAATTAAATTCACGTTATACATTTTACTTCATTTTGTTTTTTTTTTTTGTGACATTAACGTGTATAATTGAAATAACGCATTATAATATATTGGATAATATTATACATGTTATTTGTGTATGCTTAAACTTATGTATGTGGCTAACAATTAATATTGATACACAATTTATGTTTATATTAGACTCAGAAAACGTAGCACATCCACAAGGTAAGCTAAAACGATAAATTATTAAAGACAAATCATACTTAGTTTCAGACATAAATTATACACATTTTAGCTTCAATGCAGAGCTATTACTATGTTAATTATTCCAAATAATGCTTATTATTCAGTTGATATTTTTTCACTTTCTATTGTGTCACTTAAAAATTAATCACCAATATTTTCATTTGTATACCTAATTTGTTGAAGTAGGTGGAAATGTTAAGTATAATCCGTTCATGGACCCAAGTGGTAAGTACACGGTCTAGAGTTAGTAGTTACCCTACTCTATACATTAATCGATACTAATTTAAGAGTAAAACTTATTACGTTTTTTGGTTAACATTAAAAAAAAAAATATTATTTTGGGTTCTTGATATTAATTTCTTAGATATTGTTATCAATAGCTTAATACAAATATTATAGTTTCTCGGTACCGAGTGGGAAAGAGTACTAAGGAATTTTTAAGGAGTATGTTGGAGTATGATAGTGGAGGGATTATCACACACACACTTATATAAGCTACTATGAATCTATTATATTCTTGCCTAATTTTTGTCTGTATATTTAGATGAACTAGGATATCCACAAGGTAAGTTACAGCTATGAGTTAAATTCAGGTTATAAAATTTACTAATAAATTGATTTTAATCCATAGTTAATACTTCTACCTGTTTTATTAAATATTTAATACTATATGATATTTAGAAGTTGATTACTAGTATAAATTATACATAATGTATTCTTCGCATACTAGTACATATCTATGCTAATATAAATTTATGTTGATATTTAATTAAATTTTTTATATTTAGCTACTCCAAGTGCTCAAAATTTTCCAGGTAAGTAACAGCTAACAATTTAATATACTTTAAAATTTATGTGGAGCACGAGAATATATTGTTTTTTTACAATGATAGGTTCACATAGGAGCTGCAACCATCATTGCACTTATAAATTTATATTAATACAATAGTTGTCTTTTATATTTCTAGTCCCTTCGGGTGCACCTTATTCTCAAGGTAAATATCATCTAAGGGTCTGAGATTTTTTTACAAATTCATATCGTTTTATTTTAGAGTGATTTTTATAACACTCAGTTATAACAATGAAGGCTACGAAATTAACAATGAACTTGAGTTATTTTAAGTTGTATACTTGAATGCATTAAACACATTTTTCTCACACACTTATTTATATGAGTAAGAATTTATATTGATACCTATTTTTGTTCTTTAGGTTTAGATACTCTAAATACTTTAGCTACTCCAAGTGTGACAAATTTACAACGTATGTTAAACTTAAATAATTTAATACATTTTACATAGTTTTTATATAATCCTCGCATATATATATCTATGCTGATATATATTTATACTGATATCTAATTTTATTCTTTATATTTAGCTACTTCAAATGCACAAAATGTCCCAGGTATGTAAAAGCCAACAATTGAATTTATTAAAACTATTTTAACATATATTTTTATATATAATTTGTTCAAGTAGGTGGAAATGTTAAATATAATCCATTCATGGACCCAAGTGGTAAGTACACGGTCTAGAGTTAGTAGTTACCCTACTCTATACATAAATTGATACTAATCTAAGAGTAAAACATATTACGTTTTTTGGTTAACATTAAAAAAAAATCATTATTTCAGATTCTTGATACTTATTTCTTAGATATTGTTATCACTAGCCTAATAAAGTCATTATAGTTTCTCGGTCCAGATAGGAGTGTGGAGGAGTACTAAGTGATTGTAGAGGAGTATTATGGAAGTAAATTAATAGAGATAGTGTATTAGATATAAGATATTTTCTTGAATTTGTAATTTTGATTTAACTAGATGGATTTCAGAATGAATAGACTTAAGTGAGGCATAATAATATTCTTTTAAGTGTTATCATCCATACTATTTTTCCCTTCGAGACCTGAAGAAGCGTTTGATTTAGCTGGACGAGATCGAGACATTGTAAACATGAGATATTATTGGAATAATGAGATGGTAGGTAGTCATTTGAAAATGCAACAGTAACAAAAAAAGAACTAGATTGGCTGTTGAACGATACTGTTATGATTATAGTTTCTCGGTTAGTTGTTGGAAACTTTGAAGAGTTTTATCTTGCTTGACTTCAAGGTGTATAATTAAAATAACGCATTATAATACATTGACAAAACATTATTATTGGATTATATTATATATATTACTTGTGTATGCATAAACTTATGTATGTGGCTAACAATTAATATTGATACACAATTTATGTTTATATTAGACTCCATAAATGTAGCACATCCACAAGGTAAGCTAAAACGATAAATTATTAGAGACACGTTATACTTAGTTTCTAACATAAATTATACACATTTTAGCTTCGACGAGGAGCTATAACTATGTTAATTATTCAAAATAATGCTCATTTTTCAGTTGATATTTTTTCACTTTCTATTGTGTCACTTAAAAATTAATCAGCAGTACTTTGATTTGTATTATTTGTGCAAGTAGGTGAAAATGTTACGATTAATCCGTTCACGGGCGCAATTGGTTAGTACACACTCTAGAACTGGAGGTTAACCTACTCTATACATTAATTGATACTAAACTAAGAGTAAAACTTATTAGATTATGTAATAAGGTAAATGCATTTTCTAGATATTGTTTTCACTAGCTTAATAATAAAGGCATAGTTTCTCGGTCCGGATAAATTCTCGCCAATTTGCTTTTAAGAAGTTATATTGCCTTCTAAATGGCATTCTTATTGATTTTACTGCTGCTGCTACTTGTATCATAATATATTGGTCTATCCGTCTATGTTGAGATTTTTAAGTCTAGCTAACCCAGTCATGTGAACATTCAATTAGTCGATATTTTGAATTGTTTTGTTTTTGTCACTTAGTTTATTATTAAGTTTTGGGAAATTAGAAAAATTAAAAATTTCAAATAAGCAAAGAAAAGTAAACTCAATAATATCCACAAGTTAAGTTACAACTATGAATTAAATTCACGTTATACAGTTTACTTAATTTTGCTTCTAAATTAATTTTAGTCCATATTTAATACTTCTCCTTGTTTTATATTATGATTAAAAGTTGATTACTAGTATGAATTATACATAATATATTCCTCGCATACATGTCTATGCCAAATTTAAATTTATATTGATATCTAATTTTATTCTTTATAATAAGAAGTAACAGCAAACAATTAAATATATTTTAAGTTTTATGTGAATAAATTAGTTTTGGGTAAATTACAGGGCAACAAGTCTAACCGAATTATTATAATATACTAATAGAGATTTTTTTATTTATATTGTAAAAGCTGCACTACTATGAAAACCTATAAAAAATAATACCTCCTCAATCATTATTTTCCTAGTATAAATTTACATTAATACATATGTTTTGTTCTTATTTTCTAGACCCTCCAATTGCAACTATTTCAGAAGGTAAGTAGCATCTAAAAATTCTCATGTTGTTCCCAAATAAATACTATAGTTATGTTTTTGACATATTTTACGGATATACTTATTTAAGCGAGTATAAATTCGTATTGTTTTAAGAGATTTCTACATATAAATTGTTCATATTTCCTTACATACTTATCTTTGATAGTATAAATTTACATTATCACTTATTTTTGGTTTTACATGTTTCTAGTCGTTCCAAGTGGGCCAGTTCAAAATGCAACTTCACAAGGTAAGTAGCATCTAAACATTGTCATGTTGATTTTTCAAAATTAATTTGGGAAATATGGTGTAGACTTAAATGAATAATCATATTATTATTACTCAATTTCATAATCGTTAATATTATGCATTTTATTACAAAAAATATTTGTTTATAATTCAACATTAGCTAGCTAAATTGATAAAAAAACAATATTTTGGATCTGTATACATTGTTTTCTTCTTACTATTAATAAGTTGCAATTAAAGAATTCGTAAGAAAATAAATAAAAATAATGTAGATAGGTCTTTGACATATTTTACTGATATATGAGGCGCTCAGATTAACTGCACTTTTTTTTAAATTGCTAATTATAGCATGGTTGGATTAAAAAAGTCTATAATTTTCAGTGGTCAACATAAATAACTCCATAGTTGAGTTTTACACCACAAGTGTGCGCTAAGGAAATTGGCAATTGTACTTACATATATTGTTTCAAATAACTTTAACCGCCTGTCCTAAAAAATGTAATTTTATGGAGTTTGTCATCTGAGCGCGCCTCATATTTATGTATTCGAGTATAAATTCATATTGTTACCTTATTTTGTTCATTATATTTAGACCAACAAATTGTGGCACACACACCAGGTAAGTAACCAGATAAGAGTTTGAGATGGTTTTGTTTTTTAAATTAAGAACTTTCTTATATTTTTGTATCTAGAACCCCAAAAACCAATAAATGGTATAATTCAAAATTATTTTAATCGATAATTAATTTTTTTAACCATCTACGAATTCATATAGTTTTATTTTGAAGTGATTTTTATAACACTCAGTTATAACAATGTAGACCCCGAAATTAAAAATACACTTCAGTTATGGCCTTAAGTTGTACACTTGAGTGCATTAAACCAATTCTCTCGCCCACTTATTCATTCGAGTAAGAATCTATATTAATACCTATTTTTGTTCTTTAGGTTTAAATGATCTACTAGACATGGATTTGTCATTTCGCGATCGCGATGGTCAGTAAAATTCTAATGCCATTATGGCCATTGCAAATACAATAGCACAAACACGTTTTAACCATGAACTTTAATATATATTTTTTTCTTTGTACTTAGTCCCTCCAAGTGCACCAGACTCACAAGGTAAGTAACACGTTCTAAATTTTACTTAGTTTTCTTGCACAAATAAAATTAATTCAGCCCTTTGGGGTGTAATTTTTGCTGCATAATTATAAAATTAGTCTCGAGGGAACAAAGCCCTATACGTGCATCTATTAATATAACATGTAATAATAAAAGACAATCTTGGGCAACACCGCCGATAATATAAACTTGTATTAATGCATAGAAATGTTTTCTTTATATTTAGTCCCTCCAAATGCACCAAATTCACAAGGTAAGTAACAGCTTGTTTTAAATTTTACTTAGTTTTTTTTCACAAAAGAAATAAATTCAGCTTCTATCCGGAGTTGAGAAGATACTGTTTTTACATGATGTCTTTTAATGTTTGTAAAGTGCCTCTACGGTAATTTTAATTGAATTTGAGTAGAGTTTTATTTGATATTTGTATTGATTCATTGTATACCTACTCTTTGTGTAGGAATTAGAAGTAGACTAACGGTATGGTTAGAGTATACATTTATTTATTTTTTTTTTTTTGGAGTGTTACATGGACATATACGATTAACCAAAATATATTAGATACAAGTAAAGAGTTATTCATTTAATAGGTTTCATTGAGTTAACTATGAAAACACTTTTATATAAAAATTATACCTAATCGTCTTTTTTAGTATAATATCATATTACTTATTACATATTTTCTTTACACACTTATGTGTATGTTGTACAAATTCATTGTTACCTAATTTTGTTCTTATTTTTAGCTCCAACAAGTGTGCCAGAAACACAGGGTAAGCAACAACAGCTAATAATTGACGATCAAATAGTAATTTAACACAAGTTTGGGTTTTGAAAACCATATTCAATATCAGGGAAAAACTAATAACTCTTGTTTATATCCTAATTAGGTATATTTGTATATTTCCATTACAATTTTTAATTACTATTTTATATACTATTAAAAAATGATTATGGATAAGAAATGTAACGACTACACACATAATAATACACTTAATATAAAATATAATAATTAATAATAATAAACGAATAGTATAAGGCATAAGGTGCTCAATATTTTAGCGAATAAGCGCTATGATTAGTCATGTGTTCATTTATTGGGTTTAAGTCATAATCTAGAAGTTAATCATTTGTTTTACCTAAATAGTTGTACCTCGTTTTGTTCGTTACTTCAATCTCCGACTGTGTAAAAATAACGTTATACTATTAGACAATTTTATTTCTAACATTCAAATATATATGTTATATTTCTTGCGAGATTCCTCTTCAATAGGCAATGAAAAATTATAGCTCATTATTGGTTTTTAGGCAATCAATAAGAACCTGGACATGTGTACTTTTGTTTTGTTGAACTACCGTTTTGGGATATTTGTAAAATAAATAGTTATATCTCGTCTCTTCGTTTTCGGGTTGATTATTTGAAATAAAAAATATTACTATAGTCTATACTTAAAAGTATCTAATAAAATGGCATAGGTATTGTATTGATAAAATTTGATATCTTGAATGCGTTATACTTACTTTTCTCATAAACTTATGTATGTGAGCATAAATTCATATTAATACCTTATGATGTTCTTTATTTCTAGTCCAACCAAGTGTGGCAAATTCACAGAGTAAGTAACGGTACAATTAGCGATTACATATTTGATTATGCATTTCTCTTTGTGTAATACACAGTATCGACACTAAACAAAATATTAAATTTATTTTTTTTAATATGTGAAATTTGCACCGACATAACAATATGAAAACGTGTAAAATAAAGATATTTCTCAATAATTATTTTTCAAAATTTTGCAAAAAATGATTGATAACTTGAATACATTTTATATATTTTCAATTGTACACCTTCTTTTCTTCTTATGTATGATAATGGGTCTTATACAATTTGTAATTGTTTTGTTAAATGAATTTGATAATTATTTGTTTTTTTATATATTTTAGTCTCAGTTGTGCCATATGCACCGGGTAAGTAACAACCAACTGTTTATCACAGCAGATTCCTTCAAGTATATCTTGCGAATTATTCTTCTACTATTATAGTAACAGCCATATACTGTATTGATAACTAATTTTTTCCTTTTTATGTAGTCCCACAAGGTCAGGCATTAGGTCAAGGTAAGTAAAAACCAACAGTTAAATTTGTATTCCTCCTTCCCTTACATTTTTAGAAGGAATCTTCTATGAATAAACTAAATAAAGCTTGGGAGTAACCCCATTATATCCCATATTTTTTTACCATAATTTCTTCCCATCTATTACTTTGTTTCTCATATATCACAGCAAATTCCTTCAAGTATATCTTGTAAATTATCCTTCTATTACTATAGTAAAAGCCATACACATATATTGATAACTAATTTTTTTTTTATTTTGTAGTCCCACAAAGTCAGACATATGGACAAGGTAAGTAAAAACCAACAGTTAAATTTTTATTTCTCGGGTACCTGCATTTTTTAAGGAGTCTTAATATTTTTCGATCATAACTTCTTCCCATCATTACTTTGTTTACCATTTATCACAGCCAACATCTTCAAGTGTATCTTGTGATTTATCCTTCTATTTGTATAGCCAAATCCATACATATGTATTCAATATATTGATAGGGGCAATAGGTCAGTATAGACTAACCTTAATGACGTCATAATGCATTGATAAAAGTTAATAACTCGAATGCATTATATATATTTTCTTATCTACACACTTATGTGTAATTCGTTTTATAAAATGTATAACTGTTTTATCAAATGCATTTGATAATTATTTGTTTTCTTTATATTTAGTCCCAGCTGCGCCAAATGTACCGGGTAAGTATTAACTGAATATTTATCACAGGCAATTGCTTTGAGTGTATCTTGTGTATTTTTATAGCCAAATATACGTATATTGATAACTAATTTTGTTTTTTTTTTATATAGTCCCACATGTTCAGTCATATGGATTAGGTGAGTAACAAAGAACAGTTACATTTTTATTCCTTGTGTACCTATATCCTTCATTTACTTATTTTAAGGGGTCTTCTATGAATAAACTATCAAATATCACTTATATACTCTCCATTTTATAAATAATTCTTTATGAATTTACACTGATACTTAAAATTTTGTTTTTTAGGTTTAGTTCAACGGCCAAATGTACAAGGCAAGTAATAACTAATGATTTAAGCACTTTATGAAACTAAACTAGTAAATAGATTTTTGTGAAAATTACATTGTCTGTCGCGATGAAGATAACTACGGTCACTTCTTTTTAATGTCGCTTGTGTACCTATGTAATCTCATTTTACAAACGATTCTATATGAATTTTCATTGACACTTAAAATCAGATTAAAATATTAGTGTGCTTATATTTTGTAATATTAAAACTGCAATAATATCACTATGAAAACGTGTAAAAAATTGTATCCACTCAAATATCAGGTTAGGTAAAATGTGTTTGTATTCTTTTTAACACTTCCTCCTATTAATGTATTTACCTATTAATAACTGTCATAATGAGGGTCTGATTGAAATTTATCACTTGAATGCAAGTACAACAAAACAAAATTCACATTAATACTTAATTGTATTCTTTATATTTAGTCCCACAAATTCGGCCACGTCCACATGGTGGTAAGTAACAACTAACTATTACTGAATTTTATTTTTAATTAAATTTGTTTTGTAATGCACGTATGTATTATGTAATTAACTCACAAACTTAAACAAGTAACTATGAATTCACATTAACAGTTAATTTTATTTATTATATTTAGTCCCACAAAGTCACTCATCTCCTTGTAAGTAACAACTAGAAATTAACTACGTTTATAAGTAATACTCGATTATCATTTTTACATTTCGTAATACAACAAGGCAGTTCAGATGAATCAGAAGAATGTGTGCAACCTCGTAAGTAAAAACTAACAAATACATTTTTATAAATTATACCTACTAGGATTTTCATATAAAAAAATAACAATAGAAAATTAGTTGTATTCCTGTTTATCTATTATACACTTCACTCGGCTTCAACTGGTAATGCTGCTTTATAAAATTTTGATTTTGTAATAATTTGTAATAACTGTTTGTAAAATTGCTGTAAAATGATGCACCTCTTGTGAATAAGTAATCACATACTTACATTTAATTATATATAAATGAATTAATACCGAAAAATGTGTAATTATCTAACCATCCTAACATTTTGTGTATTATTATTCTTAGATGGTGTAAGAGGTTTGTTAAGAAAATTAAAAAGAGGTATGTTTTTATCATCAACTCATGCTTTATTTCAATTCCTCCAACTGGGGAATTCCCGGTGTTTGATTGTTTACATTGGTTTATTTATGTGTGCACAATGATCTATTTGATGTTTGACTAAATCCTTTAAATTATGGAAGAATTCATTTTGTTCGCACTATTTAAGTGACAATATCAAAAAATTCCCCCCAAAAAAAAAGAACCCATTAATCTTGGATTGCACTTTTTGTTTTGAATTTTTTTGAAAACGTTTTATAGTAAAAAAATCTCAACTGTAATAATCTTTATTAATTATCAATATATTTTTAATACCTAATTATGCTACAACATATCACTGTTTTATACACAGGTTAGACGTGATAAAATCCTTGATACGTTTTGTACACATACATAAAGTTATGTGCACAATAACTTGTTTGCACTAAAATTGTATGGTACTATTAAATTTAACGCATAAAGTTTGCTTAATAATTTTCACTTTTCATGTTTGTATAGGATTGAAGGGTTTCAACTGTATTCGACCTCACCATCATTCTCATTGTGACCTTCACTGTTCTTCTGAATGTGACGTTGAATGTGTTCCTGACTGTGCTACTGAATGTGGTCCGGATTGTGCTGCTGAATGTGGTCCTGACTGTGTTGCTGAATGTGGTCCTGACTGTGCTACTGAATATCATTCTTCTGGATCAGATAGTCATGATCATGGTCATGCTGGTAGTCATGATAGTAGTCACGATGGTAGTCACGATGATAGTCACGATGGAGGTCAGGAGCATCATCTTGGACTTCATGAACACAATCATGGAGCTCATGAAGTAGTTGATCACGAAGCAATATTTATTCCGGACACCAGATATAATCCAAAATTAAATATAAGGGAAATATTGAAACCTACATTAAAAATATGGGTTCCTTATGACGAGAATACTGCTGATTGTAAAAATGACGGTAATCATCAGGACGTTTACTGGGATAAAGAATGTGGTACATTGATTGTAGATGACCATACTGCCGGACATCATCATTGAACACACACATATGACGTATACCAGGTGATTAATTTAATGCAAGACAATTGTCTTATAGGAAAATAATAATTACCATTTTATAGCTTTTTTTCTTTTTGAAAAGTTTTTATTTATGATATTTGTCAACTATTTGAATTTACATTATTTCATCTAAGAAACCTAAACTAATATACTGGCGATATTTGAGCAAGATAACGTTATTCTAAAAAAGTTAGGTAGTTGGGTTAGGTTAGGTTTATATATATTTATTTTTTATTATTACATTCCCTTGTGTGACATACATATAAATTGTACTTGTTTTAATAATAAAAACATTATGAAAACAATTTATATTTGAGCTACGAATATAACAACGTTTTTTTTTTAAATTACATAATGGATTCAAAGGCGTCATAACAATATCCAGTTTATTTTAAATACAGAACACTTGTCATTAAATTGTGTATACTTTTCCACTAACCACATTATATTTTCATTAAATCACAATAAACGTATTCTCTTGCAAATTTAAAACGTGTTAATTCATATTGGCCATACCCATTTGTGTACACTTAGTAAAAATTGATTTGTCATTAAAGATAAATTGACTGGAGGAATTAAAATATTATCATATGATGTTGTGATTGGATGAGCACGCTTTGAGTGCTGTGTTTGCGACAATAAGATGTCAATGGAATAACTGAGGTGTATCAAACATATCCATAACACTATGACCGTCAAAACGTCAGTAATCATAAAGTGTATGAAACACTAGTCGACTTAAACTTGAAAGAGCAAGCCAGTGTGTTGAATCACTGATAAGTTTGCATGAAAAAATTATTCTAAAAGACTGGTTGCACACCACGTTATTCAATATAATGTTTTAAAAATGACATATTGAAGAATTAATAGAATTTTCGATACTTTACATCATGTATAACTTATCGTTTTACATTTTCTTGAACTGATTAAATGGGAAAAAAATCATTAGTAAGTTCTATTTCCATACATAAAGTTTAGTAAATTATGTTCACTGTAATTTTGTTTGCACTATTGTGTGGTACATTCAAATTTAATATTAACTAAGTATGATTGTCTATTTTCATTGTACTTTAAAGTAATATAGTGTTCAAATGTTTTTTTTTTCAAAAATATGTGGGCTATCATCATCATCATTGTTCTCATGAATCTCATAGTTCTCGTGAAGCTGGTATTTCTCATGGCCATCATCATAATTGTATTGGTCATGAACTAATTGTTATTCCCACAGCAAATGGAATCCTGTGTTTCAACTATTGGTTGATTGGGAACCTTGTTTAAATTATTGGGCTGATGCTAACGTCACCCTACCCTAACTTACATGTATGTTATATATACCAGCTGATTAATTAATTAATGGAAGACATTTATTTTATGGGAAAACAATATTACAATTTTTATAACTTTTTTGAACGTTTTTATTTATGTTATTTGTAGCCTATTTAAATTTACCTTATTTTAATTTTTTGTTATCATGATCGCTATTAACTTTTGAATCTCAAATTTTAACGTGTAAATTATAATATTTTATCATATTTTTCACACTTTTAAAAATAATGTGTTCAATTTGACTATGGTTTGTCGGTCCTAAAACAATATTAAAATTGACCTACTAGATCACTAATCCCATTCGATCAAAATCAAAAATACACCTCCTGCGTGGTTGATCGTCTGTCACATTTCGCTGATAGTATTAGATTTGACAAGTCACACTTTGTAAGTCACTATTTGTAATTTTTTGGGTCCCCTATTTCTTAGTCATCTTTTCGCACCTGTATATTAGGTATTTCGGTTTATCACAAGGTTTGATTCACAACAAATACTTGAAACATTTGAAATTTTAAGCAACAATTATTAGTTTTAACGTTAACCGAATTTGTTTACTTTGTCAAACAAGTGTACAACAACAACAACCCAACCATATGTGTCACACTATGTTAGAACTATTTTTATTGATTCGCTAAACTATGTATGTGTAATGTTCAAACTAAGTGTTCTCTGTATGTTGTTACGTTGTCTATTGTCTAACTTAACGGGATTTTTCAGAATAAAAAAATAATCATTCGCTCATATTATTACAAGATGAAAAAATTCACTATTTTTTTTATCTCTGCCGTCATCGTGGAAATATCATTGGGTAATTATTGTTTGTTTACAATACTTCATTTAATATAGTTTGATTATTTAAAATTATCTATATACTACCTACAGCTGTTGTGGCTAAGGTATTTCAATTAGCTGACATGTTATCATAGTATAGCATGTTAAATATAGGTAACATAGATAAACAACACATATGGAACGGTTGGAAGCTCTTTTTGTAGTTTTTCTGTCAACAAGGTTTAGAATGGACTTCAAACAAATGCTTGTCGGTTGGTCACATATGTTTTGTTCTGTCTTTAGCTATGCCACACGTTTCCACCACCCTAAATCCACAATAAAATATTCGTGTTGTATGCGTTTCCTATCATAACATGGGCATTGTTTATCTATAGTATATTTAATAAAATAAAATAAAGTTAAAAGAAGTTAAATACAGCTGAACGCATATTACATAAGTTCCTCACAAACTTAAGTATGCGATTATGAATTTTTATTGATACCTAACTATTCTGTTATTCATGTTTAGTCACACAAGGTATGCCAATCGCAGGTAATTAACAATTTTGTATGCGACTATGATACCGTACTGTTCATATTGATACCTAAATTTATTTTTATAATTAGGCGTGGGTGTTAATTCATATGAGTATAATCCTTCTCTTGGTAAGTATCAAACAACAATAATTATAGACACATTACAAATTGTTTTTTTAGATATCCGCGACAGTGCGAGGTTATTTGTTTCATTATCTGGGCTTTTGCACCACAATTGCAGCGGCGCCAGCAAGTCTAAACTTATAAAACATATAGTTACATTATACGTGCCCCGTTCCAACTCTTTAGCAGTAAATATAATTATGGGTTTTTTGGATATCTAAATTAGCACCGGCCTATGTTGTCTATGAAGAAATTGCCCTCTCATCTATGGTCACTATGCTAAAGCTTGATTGTAATCATTCTACTAGAATAGCAGATGCCTTGATCTTTTGGATCATGTTATAGACATAGATTTTCTACATAAATTCATTGAGTGAGATTTTTGTTTTTCTCATAATTATGACAGTTTACTCTATGTTACTGTTTGTCATCAATAAATAGCCGGATGAATCATTTTTTAAACGGCGTAACGTATATAGCTTAGATTACTTTAAATCTTTGAATAATTCTTTCAAGCTATCGTTTAAGAGATGCATAAGTTTCTTTTAGGATGAGCATGCTCACTTTTCATTCTCTTAGCATTTCTAATATTATGCTAGTATGAATTCATATGGATAACTAATTTATTTTGCTGTTTATTTTGAATTCCACAAGGTGGTGTTTCATATCAACCAATTGTTCCATATCAACAAGGTGGGTCATATTCACCTGATAAGTAACCACTTTAAACTAAATGCTCGTTAAAAATGTTTTTGATTTTACATTAATTATTTAAAAAATCAACTATTTAACTATTTTGATGACATATTATACTATATATACTATGAAAAAATATTTCTCAGTAATTATTTTTTCCATTTTTTCCATACAACTTTAATATTAGCAAACAATCGTTTGATTTATATTTAGTCCCAGTTGCGCCAAATGCACAAGGTAAGTAGGTATCAAATAACTATTTATCACAGGCAATTATTTCAAGTATATCTTGTGAATTTGTATAGCTAAATTCTTATACCTATATTCATAGCTAATGTTGTTCTTTTTATTTAGTCCCACCAGGTCAGGGATTTGGACAAGGTAAGTAACCATTAACGGTTACATTTGTATTCCTCCGGTACCTACATTCTTCATTTAAATCTCTTAAGGAATCTTTTATCAATAAACTGTATAAGGCTGGGGAGTTACTCCATTCTTTTCCTTTATCACAGCCAAAGCCATTAAGTATATCTTGTGAATTATCCTTCTATTATTATAATCGATGCCATTTACATATTATATTGATAACTAATTTATTTTGCTGTTTATTTTGAATTCCACAAGGTGGTGTTTCATATCAACAAATTGTTCCATATCAACAAGGTGGGTCATATCCACCTGATAAGTAACAACTTTAAATAAAATGCTCGTTAAAAATGTTTTTAGTTTACATAAATTATTTAAAAATCAACTATTTATCTATTTTTATGACATATTATAATGATCAAATTTGATTCATCCAATGCCTTATATTATATATAATATGAAAACGTGTAAAAAAAAATATTTCTCAATAACAATTTTTTTTACAAACCATTATACCAGCTTTAATATTAGCAAACAATCATTTGATTTGTATAATTTGTTAAATAGGCGGTGCTTCGATTGAATCGAGTGGGGCAATAGGTCAGTATAGACTAACCTTAATGACATAAAGCATATTTTCTTTTCTACACACTCATATGTAATGTGTTTTATCAAATGAATTTGATAATTTTTGGTTTTCTTTATATTTAGTCCCAGTTGCGCCAAATGCACAAGGTAAGTATCAACTAACTATTTATCACAGGCAATTCTTTCAAGTATATCTTGTGAATTTCTATAGCCAAATTCATATACCTATAATGATGACTAATGTTTTTTTTTTAATCCCACCAGGTCAGGGTTTTGGACAAGGTAAGTACATTTTTATACCTTTCGGTACCTACATCCTTCCTATAAATTTCTTAAGGAATCTTTTATCAATAAACTGTATAAGGCTGGGGAGTTACTCCATTCTTTTCCTTTATCACAGCCAAAGCCATTAAGTATATCTTCATATAACTATAACTTCTGTATCCTTCTATATTTATAGCCTATGATAAATGAACTCATATTGATACCATATTATGTGCCATATTATTTATCACAGGCAATTCTTTCAAGTATATCTTGTGAATTTCTATAGCAAAATTCATATACCTATATTGATAACTAATGTTGTTCTTTTTATTTAGTCCCACCAGGTCAGGGATTTGGACAAGGTAAGTACATTTCTATACCTCCGGTACCTACATTCTTCATTTAAATCTCTTAAGGAATCTTTTATATAAGACTGGGAAGTTAACTCATTTTTCTCCATTGTGAATTTATGTAACCTAATTCATATATGTATATTGATAACTAATAGTGTTCTTTTTATGTAGTGCCACAAGGTCAAACATATGGACAAGGTAAGTAACAATTAATAGTTAAATGTTTATTCCTTCTGTACCTACATCTATTTTTTACATATTTTAAGGAATCCTCTATGAATAAACCAAAGATAGCTGGGGAGTTGCGCCATTGTCTTCCTTATTTTTCGATCATATCTTCTTCCCATCTATCATTTTGTTTCCCATTTATCACAGCCAAATCCTTCATGTATATTTTGTGAGCTATCCTTTTATTTGTATGGTCAAAAATAAATAACTTATATTGATAAATGTTTTTTTGAATTTATATTTTTTCGCGCAATATTTTTCACATGAACAAGGTAAGGAACAACTAATAGTTATAGGCTAATATATTTCAATTCGTTTTTTATATACCTACTTTTGGTTAATTATCTGAAGTTAACCACAGAGGTATTAACTATAATAGTCTTGGCTTTAATAAATCGAATTAAATGAAGCATTGTATAGATAGAATTTGATTATTTATGTATAATATTATTCTTACTTTCTTCACATACTTAAATTATATGAATGCGAATCATATTCATTCCTTATTTTTTTCTTAACGTTTAGGTTTACAAAATATGTCATCATATTATCCACAACAAGGTAAGTATTGTCTAACAATTAAAGTTCGTTATACCATTTGGGTGATCCGTTTTCACCGGCTAAGTAACAACTATGAATTAAATGAACGTTAAAATTTGTTTTTGCTTCTACATTGATTACCAATATCTAATACTTTTATGTTCTACTGATTTGTATCAAAGCATTTTACATGAGATTTTGTATGAATTATAATTGATCCACATATTAGCTTCGATGAGAAACTGAGAATGTAAATTGTTATTACAATGTTGTGCTTTTGTTTTATGTGACTTGAAAATATTTTCACAAAAATAATTTTAATCAATATTTCCTACATATTTAAAAAAAAATTACTAGGTATGTGTTTTTTTTATGTCAATTGTATAATAAAATGAAATATTAAATTGTAGAACTATTTATTCCAAAAACTCTATCAATTATTTTATTATACAGAACCTTATTATCATTGCCTACGCAAAGCTCATTAAAAAAAATTCATATGCGACCCTCTTTTAAGTAGAACTTTTATTACAATGGGGGAAAACTTAAATGGAGTAATGTATAGCTAAAATTAGGTTATATAAATTTATTATACTTATTTTCTTCACTCACATAATATGTATGCGTCTATGAAATCATATTCATTGATTTTACGTTTAGGTGGTGCATCAAATTTGTCATCATATCCAACACAAGGTATGTAATATCTAGCAATAATTGACAAGATATAAAATTTCACTGGTTTTTTTAAAATTTATTTTGTATAGTAGTTTAAATTGTAGAATTTTTTTATTATTAAATTAAATTGTTTTTTTTTAAATAAATTTGTATTTAATTTTTTCAATAATTTACTTATTATTTTTGGGGTTTACAAATATTCATATCTAGTTTTTAAGTAGATTCATTAAATGCCTTTAATTATACATTTTCTTCATACATTTAAATGTATTCGAATGTGAATTCATATTTATCAATAATTTTGTTCTTTTTTTTTTTGTAGGACTAACTATGCCATTATATCAATCACAAGGTAAAGTATCACCGACTAAAATTAACAAATATTAATAGTTGTTTGAAAATAATTAGTTATTTGAAATTTGATTAATTTAATTTATTACAATTCTTTTTTCACACACTCACATAATATGTATGCAACTATGCAATCAAATTAATTTTGATAATCTCTATTATCAATAAAATGATATCTGTATTACTTTACAAAGACAAATTGAGTTTTCTTAATTATTGCCTATACAAAACTCCTTAAAAACAAACCGCATGCAATCCTCTTAAGTAGAACTTTTATTACAATGGAGAAAAACTTTGATGGGTTACTAAACTTTTATGGAGTACTGTGTAGATACAATTTGATTGTATACATTTATTATATTTCTTTTCTACACTCACTTATATAATATGTATGCGACTATGAACTTTATTCCTTATTTTGTTCTTAATGTTTAGGTGGTGTATCAAACATGTCACCATTTTCACAAAAAGGTAATTATCATCTAGCAATAACTGGCAAGATATAAAATTTCACTGTTTTTTTTTTAAATAATGTTGTTTTTCCTCGTTCTACCTCGTTTTTATTCGTTTCTTTGATTTCATATTGAATATTTAAAAATTAACTGTTTATGTAATTTAAAGGCATATTGTATTGATAAAAGTCGATTCATTAAATGTCTTATATTATATATTTTCCTCACACATTTATCTACTCGAGTACAAACTCATATTTATAAATAATTTTGTTCCTTTTTTTTTTGTAGCACAAATTATGTCATTATATCCTTCACAAGGTAAGTATCAAGTGAAATTAACAAATAATAATTGTTTGAAAATAATTAGCTATTTGAAGTGTAGGTACTATTAATTTTTTTTTCACATACTTACATTTATTAATATGTATGCGATTATGAAATCATATTGATTGCTTATTTTGTTCATTACGTTTAGGTGGTGCATCTAACATGTCACCATTTCCACAACAAGGTAAGTATCATCTAGCAATTAAAGTTACGTTACATCATGTTACTTTAAAGTATCTAATTTCATAACATAATGTACAATTAGAAGTTAATAAACGTGAATACATAATACATTTTCCCACTTATTATGTATGGGGCTATGAATTAATTTTGTCAAAGATGTATACCTATATTAATAACTAATTTTGTATTTTGTATGTAGGCCAACAAATTCAAGCATACGGACAAAGTAAGTAACAACTAAAAATTAAAGACTCGTTATACATAATAATTCGTTTTTTATATACATACTTTTGGTTGATTATCTGAAATTAACTGTATCAATATTATTATAATACATATTTTCTTTACACACTTACTTAATATGCTAGTATAAATTCATATCGAACACTAGTATTGTTCTTTATATTTAGTCATACACAATTCGCCTCGTGGAAAAAGTACATGAGACACAACTAACAGTTACATTTAGTTCCCCTAGTATATTTTTCCCTTACATCTATGTAGTAATAGTATAGGGCATCTTCTATGGAAAAATTAATAAAGCTGGTTGTAAATTACACCCTTGTCTCACTACTTATTCGATCTTACTTTATTTTTATTCCTAACTTTGTTCCTCTTATTCCAGAGCTACTTTATTCAAGTATAACTTCTGTATCCTTCTATATTTATAGCCTATGCTAAATGAACTCATTTTGATACCATATTATTTATCACAGGCAATTATTTCAAGTATATCTTGTGAATTTGTATAGCCAAATTCTTATACCTATATTGATAACTAATGTTGTTCTTTTTATTTAGTCCCACCAGGTCAGGGATTTGGACAAGGTAAGTACATTTTTATACCTCCGGTACCTACATTCTTCATTTAAATATCTTAAGGAATCTTTTATCAATAAACTATATAAGGCTGGGGAGTTACTCCATTCTTTTCCTTTATCACAGCCGAAGCCATTAGGTATATCTTGTGAATTATCCTTCTATTATTATAATCGAGCCCATTTACATATTATATTAATAACTAATATATTATGCTCTTTATTTTTAATTCCACAAGGTGGTGTCTCATATCAACAAATTGTTCCATATCAACAAGGTGGGTCATATCCACCTGATAAGTAACCACTTTAAATAAAATGCTCGTTAAAAATGTTTTAAGTTAACATAAACTATTTAAAAATAAACTATTTATCTATTTTAATGACATATTATAATGATCAAATTTAATTCATCCAATGCATTATATTATATATACTATGAAAACGTGTAAAAAAAATATTTCTCAATAATTATTTTTTTTACAAACCATTATACCACTTTAATATTAGCAAACAATCATTTGATTTGTATAATTTGTTAAATAGGCGGTGCTTCGATTGAATCGAGTGGGGCAATAGGTCAGTATAGACTAACCTTAATGACATAAAGCATATTTTCTTTTCTACACACTCATATGTAATGTGTTTTATCAAATGAATTTGATAATTTTTGGTTTTCTTTATATTTAGTCCCAGTTGCGCCAAATGCACAAGGTAAGTATCAACTAACTATTTATCACAGGCAATTTCTTCAAGTATATCTTGTGAATTTTTATAGCAAAATTCATATACTTATACTGATAACTAATGTTGTTAGCTAATGTTGTTCTTTTTATGTAGTCCCACAAGGTCAGGGATTTGGACAAAGTAAGTAAAAACTAACGGTTACATTTGTAGTGCTCCGGTACCTACATCCTTCCTATAAATCTCTTAAGGAATCTTTTATCAATAAACTGTATTGTATGGCCGAAGCCATTAAGTATATCTTGTAAATTATCCTTCTATTATTATAGTCAACGCCATTTACATATTATATCAATAACTGATTTTGTTCTTTTTAAGTAATTCCACAAGGTCAGGCATATGGACAAGGTAAGTAACAACTAACAGTTAAATTTTTATTCCTCTTGTACCTACATCCATCAAGTATAACTTGTGTATCCTTTTATCTTTATAGTATATGCTAAATGAACTCATGTTGATACCTTATTATGTTGTTTATATATTTAGGCCAACAAATTTTGCCGAATGGACAAGGTAAATAACAATTAACAGTTGAAGTCATGTCATACATTTTTCATAGTTTTTACAACGATTTTAATCGATACTTGACATTTGTAACGTATACAGATTTGCATTGAAGGCTATGAAGTTAATAACTTGATTGCCTTATATATTTTCCTACTTACTACGTATGAGACTATGATTTATTCTGACTTCCAATTTTTTTTTTAGTGTCACAAATCGCGCCATTTTGTCAACAAGGTCCGCCTATTTATCCACAACAACGTAAGTATCATTTCACAATAAATTACTCGTTGTACAATTTTTCTTGATTTTTTTTATGAATTGTATATACAAGTTTCAGTTATAGAATCGTTTTATTTACTCTAGAAAGTTAAAATATTTTATATAATGGAACATTTTTAAGATAACTTGTTGCTAAATTATATAGTAAAAATCTGGATAGCTTTTAAAAAATTAACAGATACTAATAATTGTTTGAAAATAATGAGTTATTTGAAAATTCTAATTATTTTGTTAAATCATTGTTTATTTTCATAGGTACATAATTTGATGTACTTTTTTAAGTATGACCTTATAATTATCTGTTTTTTATTTTATATTTGTACGCGGAAATTAATAGTATAGTTTTTTTAGTTATAGATTTTGCGCTAGTTACTTGAATGCAAGACATTAAAGCCTGACATAATTAGGCCCGACTAGGCTTTTAAGTTGATTACTCGAATGCCTAATACATATTGTTCTCACACATTTACATATTATGTATGTAAAAACCCACATTGACACCTAATTTCGTTCTTTATATTTAGCCCCAAACAGCATGCCGCGTAAACAACGTAAGTTCTTGTGGCTTTTAAGTTGATTACTTGAATGCCTAATACATATTGTTATCACACATTTACATATGTATATAAAAATTAAAAACCCATATTGACGTCTAATTTTGTTTTTTATATTTAGCCCCAAATAGCATGCCACATGAACAACGTAAGTACTTATGGCTTTTAAGTTGATCACTTGAATGCTTAATACATATTTTTCTCACACATTTACATATGTATGTAAGAACTCATCATTTTTTTTTTCAGTAATCAACCCTGAGGTTGGTTTTACAGCATTCTTCCACGTTCCCTCCACTCTTCTCTATTATTGGCCTGTCTTATTAGTTTCCTGTAGGTTCTCAGTCCGGCATCTTTAATAGTTTTGTTGATTATCGTTGTTCTAGGGCGTCCTCTGCCTCTCCTGCCTTCTATTTGTCCTTCCTATATTCAATTAGTCTCCAACGTCTTTATTTGATTGATCTTAATAATCCTAGACACCCGAGACCCTGATTCATTTTGAAATGTGAAGAAACCCTTTAATACGTTTTTTATACATGCATAAAGTTATGTGCACAATAATTTGTTTGCGCTATTATAATTATTGTGTGTTATATTCAAATTTAACACTAATAAAGTTTGATTAATAATTTTTACCGTACTTAAGATTTTCAGAATGTTCAAATTACTTTACCTGTTTGTATAGGGGTCGACATAGAAATTGAATGTGAATATTCTTCTTCTGAATCGGATGATAGTGATGAGGAACATCATGGACATTTAATTCCAGACACCAGATATGATCCACATTTAAAGATAAGGGAAATATATAACCCTAACTTAAAACTATGGGTTCCTTATAACAAGAAAAATTTGGCTGATTGCCAAAAAGGCGGTGATCAAGAGAAAGTTTACTGGGATGCCAAATGTAATAAAGTGATTGTAAATGACCATACTGCCACATCTCATCATTGAATACATACATATATATACACCAGGTGATTAATTTTATGCAATACATTAATTTTATCGGAAAATAATTACAATTTTATAGATAAACACAATTCTACTTACGTAAATAAATCAAAAAAATATCTTAAGCTCTTTCCCCTGAAAGGGGTAGAAAAGTTTTCTTAAGTAGATCTTAGCAGAGAGAGTTTTAGAGTTTACGGTCTGAACATAGAAAATATAGAATCCGATTTATCCGGCTATAACCATTCAAGTTTTAATAAATTTTTTTTATATAATTTTCTTAAAAATATGTAGCCGAATATTTGTTTTATTAAGTTTTTATATAAACATATATATATTTATTTATTATTACATTTTTACATTTATTATGTAACATAAATCTAAATTTTACTTTTATAATAATAAAATCATAATAATAATAACAAACGAATAATAATGGGTTATTTTCAAATTACAGAATGGATTCAAAGGCGTCATAACAATATCCAGTTTATTTTAAATACAGAACACTTGTCATTAAATTGTGTATACTTTTCCACTAACCTCATTATATTTTCATTAAATCACAATAAACTTACTTTTTTGCAAATTTAAAATGTTTTGATTCTTATTGGTCATATCCATTTGTGTACTCTTAATAAAAAATGATTTGTCGTCAAAGATAAATTGACTGGAGGAATTAAAATATTATAATATGATGTTGTGATTGGCTGAACACGCATTGAGTGCTGTGTTTGCGACAATAAGATGCCAATGGAATAACTGAGGTGTATCGAACATATCCATAACACTATGACCGTCAAAATGTCAGTAATCTTAAAGCGTATGAAACACTAGTCGACTTAAATTTGAAAAAGCAAGCCGATGTGTTTAATCACTGTTAAGTTTGTCTGAAAAAATTATTTTAAAAGATTGTTTACACACCGCGTTATTTAATATGAGTGTTTGAACTAAATATTATAATTTCATGAGTGGTTTTGTTTTAAATTAAATAAAAATATTTATTATATGATAAGGATATTTTGGCGAAAAGTAGCCTCATGTATTTAAAGGATGATTCATGATTGTATTAAGATTTGTTATGAAAGAAAACAATTCTTAGTATTACGGGAATTAAAAAAATTGTTTTTGAAAATATAAATGATTGTATCAAGGCATGATAAATAAAAATGTTATTGGTATACCAAAATGTAGTAAATGATTTGTAAGTATATGGGATTATTGTGAATTAGTTAGAATAACACATAAAAGTATATAAATTAATATAGTTAAAAATATTATATTGATTATATAAGGTTTTTAAAATGACATATTAAAGAATAAATAGAACTTTCGATACTTTACATCATGTATAACGTATTGTTTCACATTTTTTTTTTAACTGGTTAAATGTATAAAAAAAAACAATTTATAAGTTTCATTTCCATGTATAAAGTTTAGTAAATTATGTTCACTATGATTTGTTTGCACTATTGTACATTTAAATGCAATTCTAAGTTTGATATTAACTATTTTCATTGTACTAAAGTATACAATGTTAGTGCTCTAATCAGAAGCAATTTTAGGTATATTCAAATCGGATATTTCGGTGTGGCTTTTGTCAAATGTGTAATTTAACATCACCATTATTATGAATTAAAAAAAAAAGAAAAATCCTAATGAAATTGAATAAATAGATTTCATTGCCATCTTTTTATTTTATTTTTTTAAACAACCTTTTTTGGAGACGCTAATGCGCGTTTCTAGAATTTGCACATCAAGTTTTTATTCAATTTATGAAAATATGTGAATTCGGATAAGTATTTAAAATTCGCTTATTGCTGACAATATGTTTGGTTCTTCTTGCAAGTTTTTTAGTACCACATTATGAACTACATATTTTTTTTGCAAATATTCAAATTATTATTATAGGTACTTAATATATTGTCAATAACAGTACTTTGAAGAATACAATTTTAACTCTTTTTGTGTGTCTCGCGTAACACTCAGGTGTTTTTTTTTATTCAACAGATGTTAACAATCTTTTGCGTTATATTAAAAAAAACATTGTTATTTAGGTCGAACAACACTTGCTAAAATAATGTGTATAATGTTCATTTAAAGTTTTTTCTTCAGTTATTAGGTTTTTTATTGTAAAACCAAACGGTGTTCGACAGAGTTGGAAACAAGATGGAAAAATTTAATATTTTTTTTCTAGCTATCACCATGATGGAAATATCAATAGGTAACACGTGTTTGTAACTTTATTTAACGTTTCTTAATTTTCAAGTTGTTTATTCGGAAATTAACTATATAATTACCATAGTTATGATTTTATGGTACCTAATAATGTCTTAATATTGTTTGAATGAAACTCATCACATGAATGCATTTCATCGATAAAAGTTGATTAATTGGATGCCATATCTAATTGTGATCTTTAAATTTAGTAACTCTACATAATAAATCACGCTACTTTAATATTTGTTTTGTACGATTTAAAAGGTTTCAAACCGTTGTGGTGTAAGTCACATGAACCTTCATTAAATAAAAACAAGGTTTTTGTTAAAACTCTGGTATTGTGCTGCCATCTGGTGGTCGAGTTATGAATTACTTCAACCGACCTTTCGATAAAATATTATGTACTTTTTAAGATATGTCTACACTACTTCTCAAATCAACTTTTAGGAAAATGTGACTTCCACCACTTTGGTTTTAACCCTTCTTAATGGTTGGATCCATTTATGACACCTCCGCCTTTGTTTCAAAAGTTGCTATAAGTCCCTATGAGATATTGAGTGGCTCATGATAAAATAATCACCCTGTACATAAAATTGTCTATGCATAAAATTATGTATGTGGCTAACAATTCATATTGATACACGATTTTCTTTTTTTATATTAGGCCCACAATATGTAGCATATCCACAAGTTATTTAAAAATGATAAATTATAAAAGGCAATTTGTACGCTTAGTTTCTAACATAAATTATACATATTTTAGATTCAAAGCGGAGCTATTACTAAGTTAATTAATCAAACAAATCTTATTACTGAGTAGATATTTTTTCACTTTCTATTGTGTCACTTAAAAGTTAATCAACAGTACTTTGATTTCTATTATTTGTTTATGTAGGTGGAAATGTTACGAATAATCCGTTCATGGACGCAAATGGTTAGTACACACTCTAGAACTAGAGGTTAACCTACTCTATACATTAATTGATACCAAACTAAGAGTAAAACTTATTAAATTATGTAATAAGGTAAATGCATTTCCTAGATATTGTTTTCACTAGCTTAATAATAAAGGCATAGTTTCTCGGTCCGGATAAATTCTCGCCAATTTGCTTTTAAGAAGTTATATTGCCTTCTAAATGGCACTCTTATTGATTTTACTGCTGCTGCTACTTGTATCATAATATACATTTACGTTGTTGTTCCAAAATAAATTAAATACTATAGTTATGCCTTTGACTTAATTTACTAATATAAATTAAAATTGTTACTTTGTTTCTGCTTTATGTTTAGACCAAATAAATGCGGCATATTCACAAGGTAAGTAACCAGATAAAGGTTTGAGACGGTTTTGTTTTAAGAGATTTCTCTCTTATTTTATTTTATTTTTTGAGATTTTCATGTCTTGGCTCTGGCACATAACCGAAAAAGCGTTACCAAAAAAGCGTAACGAAAAAAGCGTTACAAAAAAGCTTAACGAAAAAAGAGTTACCGCACGGAGATGGGGTTGGGAAATTAGCCGGTACATAACCGAAAAAAAGTGTTACCAAAAAAAGAGTAACGCTGTTATCTGATATAAGATAAGAGACAGGGGTGAGTGATAGGGGTGGGAGATAGGGGGTGAGTGCTAGGGGTGGGAGATAGTGGGTAGGGGATAGGGATAAGATATATCAGATATGAGATAAGATAAGATATGTTGTACGTTCAACGTTCAAAATAGAAATGAATAATACATTTAAAATAGTTTAATTCTCTATGTCAAGTTACTTTTGGCCAGATAATAAACACTACAATTTTAGCCAGAAACTTGATAGTACATAATTTTTTAATCTCCTTGGCTTATGCTGTAACTGGAAGCTCCATGTAATTTTTTTGACATTTTCATGTCTTAGCTCTGGCACATAACCGAAAAAAGCGTTACCATAAAAGCGTTACCAAAAGAGCGTTACCAAAATAGCGTAACGAAAAAAGCGAAAGGGTTGAAGATGAGGTGGGTATGGGAAAGGGGTGGAATTAGCTATGGCAAATAACCGAAAAAAAGCGTTACCAAAAGAGCGTTACGACACGAAGATGGGTTGGAGGTGGAAATAGGGGTAGGAGATAAGGGGTAGGGGTGGGATAGGGTTGGGGTTGGGGACAGGAGATAGGGGTGGGAGATAGAGGTGAGTGATAGGGGTAAGATATAGGAGATAAGAGATATGATGTACGTTCAACGTTCAAATTAGAACTAAATAATAAATTCAAAACAGTTTAATTCTCTATATATTAAACTATGTTAAGTTACTTTTGGCCAGATAATAAACACTACAATTTTAGCCAGAAACATGATTGTACATAATTTTTTAATCTCTTGGCTTATGCTGTAACTGGAAGCTCCATGTATTTTTTTTTTTTTTTAATTATAATTCCACAACTAATCTATATTTATTCGGTACTTCAACGGGACATGAAAATGCTCTTTCGTGGTTGCAGACTCGGCTGAAAAACTTTTTTTTTAAATTATAATTCCACAACTAATCTAAATTTATTCGGTACTTTAACGAGACATGAAAATGCTCTATCGTGGTTGCAGACTCGGCTGAAAAATGGCTTTTTTGTACCTGGAACCATAAAATACTCTCAATGGTTTAATTCAAAATTGTTTTAATCGATAATTCATTATTTAACCAACTACAAATTCATATCGTATTATTTGAGAATGATTTTTATAACTCTCAGAATAACGCAGGCTCCGAAATTAACAATAAACTTTAGTTATGGCTTTATTGAATTTTAAGTTGTATACTTAATGCATTAAACAAATTTTTCTCACACTCTTATATATAACAGTAATAATTCATATTATATAACATAGACTTATATTTAGTCCTAGTTGCACCAAATGCACAAGGTAAGTATCAACTAACTATTTATCACAGGCAATTCCTTCAAGTATATCTTGTGAATTTTTATAGCAAAATTCATATACTTATATGATAACTAATGTTGTTCTTTTTATTTAGTCCCACCAGGTCAGGTTTTTGAACAAGGTAAGTAACAATTAACAGTTACATTTTTATTCCTCTGGTATCTACATCCTTCATTTACATCTCTTGAAGAATCTTTTAGGAATAAATTATAAGAGAGAGGAGTTACCCCATTCTTTCTCATTTGCATATACCTATATTGATAACTAATATTGATCTTTTTATGTAGTCCCACAAGGTCAGGTATTGGGACAAGGTAAGTAACAACTAACGATTACATTTTTAGTTCTCCAGAATCTACAGCCTTCCTTTACATCTCTTAAGGAATCTTTTATCAATAAACTATATAAGGCTGGGGAGTTACCCCATTCTTTTCCATTATCACAGCCGAAGCCATTAAGTATATCTTGTGAATTATCCTTCTATTATTATAGTCAATGCCATATACATAATATATTGATAATTAATTTTGTTCTTTTCAAGTAGTTCCACAAGGTCAGGTATTTGGACAAGGTATGTAAAAACTAACAGTTCAATTTTGATTCCTCCGATAACTACATCCTTTTTTACATATTTTAAGGAATCCTCTATGTATAAACTAAAGAAGGCTGGGGAGTTGCGCCATTGTCTCCCTTATATTTCCATCATAACTTCTTCCCATCTATTATTTTCTTTCCCATTTATCACAGCCAACTCCTTCATGTATATCTTGTGAGGTATCCCTTTATTTTTATGGTCAAATATATATACCTATATTAGTAACTAATTTTGTATTTATTATGTAGGCCAACAAATCCAGGCTTACGGACAAGGTAAGCAACAACTAAAAATTAAAGGCTTGTTGTACCTATTTATTCGTTTTGTATACATACCTACTTTTGGTTGATTATCTGAAATTAACTGTATCAGTATTATTATAATATATACTTACATCCCCCATTTACATATTTTAAGGAATCTTTTATAAATAAACTATTAAGTATAATCTGTGTACGGTCGTTGTCAGATAAGTTGGCACAGCAACTTGGAACGACTATACTTGTATACTCTGCATTTTATAAATAATTTTATAGGAATTTACATTGATACTGTTTTTTCGTTTAGTTCCACTGCAAAATTTACAAGGCAAGTAATAACTAACGATTAAAGCACTTTAAGCGGATTTTTTTGAAAACTACACATTGCATATCTGTTGCGATGAAGAAAATGTTCTCAAATTTTTAAAACTATTTTGGCAATTGTCGTAAAAAATATTTTGAGTTTTTGTTTTGACCAACTTTTTTATCGTTTTTTTTATCATTTCTTTGGCAATCGAAACAAATGATCAAAAATTAAACAGTGATCCACTTATTATGAACCACTCAATATTCTATAGGGTTTAATAAGAAATACAATTTTTTTTTTGTATTGTTTTTATACAATGTGATCTCAATTTTTCACAATTTTTTTTTTTGTTTTTACTCCCCCCCTCCCAACTTGGTTTTTTTTATAGAAACTTTTGAAACTTTTCGATAACCAGTTTCGGATAACTATTTTTGAAGTTATTGAAGTTTCAAGTTTAGGACAGGAGGGACGGTGGAGTATAGTTTTATTTTTATCTGCGTGCATTTTCTAACCACACTTCCGCTCCCATCCTAACTTTAAAACTGTTAAACTTTAAAAATAGTTTTCCGAAACTGGTCGATAACCAGTCAAAATGTTAAGTAAATTATTCTCAATTTAAAATGTAAAAAAATATATACCATTATACATTATATATTATCATTTAAGTTTCAAATGTCGCTATCAAGAAAACTAAGTTGGGAGGGGGTAAAAACCAAAAAAAAAGGCGAAGGGGCGTGGCCGTGGAAAACAGCTGGCAGTAGAGAATGCGGTGGGGGATATGGTATATAACCTACGCCCACAGGTGCGAATCGGTCAGTCTGCAGGAGAGCGCGGTACGAGCAACATCGAACCACAGCCCTGAAGATGGAACGTGCAAGTGTTCCGAAACTAGTCAAGACATCCAAGAGGGAGTAACTTCAAATCATGTAAATAGTGTAAATATAATACCCCACTCGATTTTTAATAATTTTGTTTTAGAAAAATGTGAAAAATTGAGATCACATTGTATAAAACAATATGAAAAAACGAATTGTAAACCCATGATTAAGTGGTTCATGATAAGTGGATCACCCTGTATGAAGTCGTATTGCTACTTAATTTTGTTCTATATTTTTAGTCTCACAAAGTCAGTCATATCCTTATGGTAAGTAACAAATAACAATTATCTGCACGTTAATAAATATCACCTAATTTGTATTTATACATTTTGCTCAGTAGGTCCACAAAATCGGCTATATGCTCATGGTAAGTAACAAATAAGAATTGGCTGCAAGTTATAAAATATTACTCAATTTGTTTTTATACATTTTGTTTGGTAGACATACAAAATCAGCCATATCCAAATGGTGAGTAATATCTAAAATTTATCTGCAAGTTAATAAATATTGCTCAATTTTTTTTTTTATACATTTTGTTCAGTAGACAGTAGTCGGCACCGTATTATACATGGTATGTAACGACAAACAATTAACTGCACATCAATAAATATTACTAAATTGTTTTATACATTTTGTCTGTAGTACAACATTGTCAGCCAAGTCCAGTTGGTAAGTAACAACAAACAATTAACTGCACATTAATAAATATTACTCAGTTTTTTTTATTATATTTGTCTGTAGTACACCACTGTGAGCCAAGTCCAATTGGTAAGTAACAACAAGCAATTAACTGTACATTAATAAATATTACTCAATTGTTTTATACATTTTGTCTGTAGCACACCATTGTGAGTCACGTCCAATTGGTAAGTAACAACAAACAATTAACTGCACATTAATAAATATTACTCAGTTTTTTTTTTAATACTATTTGTCTGTAGTACCACATTGTCAGCCACGTCCACATGGTATGTAACAACAAACAATTAACTGCAAATTAATAACTTATGCAATTTGTTTTTTATATGCATTTTGTTTTGTTATGCAACAAGCTCATTTGCATGAACATCGTCAACCTCACCACCATCATCATCATCATCATCATCATCATAATGATCATCATCACAATGATCATAATCATAATGATCATCGTATGTAAAAACTAACAAATTAATTTTACGTTACTATTTTTATATAAAAAATAGACCACTCGTTTTACCGTTATATCATATCATTATGGTAGGAACACTTTTAAAGTTTTCAAAAAACATGAGTTAACAAAGAAACTGTTCTTGAGGCCATTATTCAACGAGTAAGCAGCTAAGGACTTGAATGAAGTATTTAAAAGTTATTTTATTAATTAAAAAAAAAGATAAAATATTTTCAATAACAGTCCAGGCCTTCTTTTTTTTTTATAAATAACTAAAAACAAAATGTTTGCTGAAATTATACTAGCAGGATCAATATCAAACATTTTCAAATTTTAAAGTTCACAAAAAAAATTAAAAAACGAATACTGGTTAGTAGGTACTTTGTTGTTTTTTTTTAAGATCAAGAGGCTCTTATTGATATTTTTCTGTTTTATTCTAAGCGTTATTGATTTATGTGGTGGAACAATATTGAAAAATGTGTAATTATGGAACCATCCTAATTTTTGTTTTGTATTATTATTTTTAGATCGCTTAGGATATTGGTTGAGAAAAATACGAAGAAGTATGTTTTTGACATAACCTTATACTTTTATCAGTTCCTCGAATTGGGGAATTCCAGTGCTTAATTATTTACATTTGCTTATTTATGTGTAGGCAATGATCTATATTTAACGACTAACTACATTTATTTTATTATGGAAAAATTCGTTTTAGTGTCAATATCAAAAATTGCCCAATTAAAACTCATAAATCTTGGATACATTTTTTTCAATTTGTATAAAATATATAAAAAAATAACTAATAAGTTTTGTATCCACTCATAAAGTTTAGCGAGTTATGTGTACACTATTGTGGGGTAAATTCTTAAGTAACACTCATTGTGAAGTGCGATTAATACATTTCATTGTACTGTAAAACTATATTGTGTTAAAATTACTTTACAATGTTTGTATAGAATTCAAACAGATGGGGGAACATCATAGCCATGGCCATCATCATAGTTGATTGTCATCATAAAGATTTCTAATGTTGACTTGGTTGTTGTTAACCATCTTGACTAATAAGGTACCAGGTCATTTATTTAATGCAAGACATTCACTTTATTGGAAAATAATTATAACTAAATAGTTTTTTCTTTTTTTAAATATTTTAATCATGTTATTAGTGTTAATTATGATTTCCAATCTATAGAGCCACACGAAGAATAATCGGTTGAGTGGGTTAAATGATATCAGAAACAAAACAATTTGTTTTATAATACTTTACATTAGAATAAATAAACAGGAAAAAAGAAAAACTATACATTTATAAGTATTATCCATATGTCTTTTTGTTAAATCGATTTCCGGAAAATTGACTTATTGTAATATGAAAATATTATGAAAATAACGTTTATTTTTTTTAATTACAGTTTATATCCAAAGGTGTCATAAAAATATCCAGTTTAATTTAAATGCAGAATAGTTATCATTAAATTGTGTAAACTTTTACACAAAAACTTTATTATATTTCCATTAAATCACAATAAACCATTACTGCCATGCAATTTAAAAAGTTTTGTTTTTTATTGGTCATACCTATTTGTGTACACTTAATAAAATATTATTTTTTCATTAAAGATACATTGAATCTACAGTCTGTACGACTTACTTGGCTGTTTCCAATGTGAAAATTGTTTTTCGCTCCATCCACACATTTTTTTTTTTAGATTATTTATTTTTCTCACAAAACTTATAAAAGCGTTTGCGAATTCACATTAAATACCTAGTTTTGTTCATTATATCAAGTCTCACCTTGGTCAGCCATATTGGCAATGTAAGTAACAAAAAACCGTACAAAACTTCATTTCAAGATTTCTTTCTTATTAAAATTAAATCTCAATTCTATTCGGTCTTAGGTTTTTCACATCTATTACTTGATGAAGAAGTTTGAGAAGCAGAAATTCACACAATCATTATTGAACATCAAAAACTTAGGTTGGTTTTAGGACTAGGATTTTTTCTAGGACAATGACGAACGCGATGCTGAATACTGTTTATTCGTTTATTAAGCAAACTAACTTAGGCGATTGTTACTAGTTATGTAAGCGAATCACTAAAATTAATTACATTTATTTATAAATTAACTACTACTTTACAACAACCAAGGCGAAGGCAATTACAAACACGACTTCCCGCGCTTTTGACCGCTACGAAAACATTAAAACAATTTCAACATTATGGGTATATAAATATAAATGTACGTTTACAATATTGTTTATCATATTTAATTCTGGTTAAATTTACCTTTTGTACATTTTCCAGCACAACCTGATAAACACGAATAAGCAAAAAAGTTTGGTGTGTTTCAATAATTATAGAATTCATCATACTAATTAGTTTACACTTGAAGGAAATGTATTTATTAATTTATCTGGATCAGAATATAATGTATAGGTATGAATACATTTGTTTCAAATTGAATTATTATTACCTTGCTTTGCGGGCGTATTATCTTGTGGCGTTTCATCATCTAGTCAAACAAATTATACATATCAAAAATTACTATTTCTAACATTAAATGTCTATAAGAAAAGTAATAGTTTTAAAGATATAATATTTCTCACACGATTTTATAATAATACAGTTTTGTTGTTCATATTTTAATAATTATTAGAGTAAGGCTTTTAGCTTCGATGTGGAGCTGAGAAGGTATTTCTTCGCGAAAATGTTACAAAATAAATCAGTAAAAATTTAGATGAAATGTATGACCTGACGTTAATATTTGTTTGTTACTTACCTGCTGGTACGGGCACACCTTGTGCGACTAAACCGAAAAATTAGATATTAATAAATTTAGGACAATCAACCTGAGAATTTGTTGTGTTGAAAAAAAAAAAAATACAAATAAAAATTACCCAAAATTATTTCCATGATAATTATGGCTGTAAAAAAGATAGCGATTTTATGCATAATGTATTATTAATGAACTTTGTTATTCTGAAAAAACCCTGTAAAGTTTTACGACGGAGAACCTTAAAGTGTACACGAAAATGCTTAAGTGAACATGACATACATTATTTAACAAAGAGTTATCCAGACTATGTAGAAACCGTTTTATTTAATTGTGACTCATAAGACTATATGTTATTACTTATTTGCACAGCAACAAAACGATAAGTGTGTCTATAACACCTGCGAGACAGAGTAAACGTTATTTTAGCAATAAACAATTTAGGTCAACGTTGAAAGAAATAATAATCCAACACATCAAATATATTTCCAACAGAATGAATCAAAATTTTCAATAATATGTCATCACACTGAATCTCAGCCCTCAAGTCGAAAAATCATTGTTGATAAAATCCCTTATTAAAAGCAAAATTCCTAATCCTTAGTATCAAAAAGACATATGTTATACCTATATTTTGTTAAACTTTTGAAACGATATCGTTAAGTGCATTCATTGTATTGTTTTTACAGTGGTGTGTTTCTGATGATGATTTCTTCGTATAGCAACTCTATAGATCAAAAATCGTCCCTGTAAGATACTTTATGTGATCAAAAATTTTATTAATGTCTGTTTTTAACACTTTAGTATTGATTGGAGAGCATACAATATCAATACCCGGAAAAAATAGGCACAGCGTGAAAAATACCACCAAGTTTCACAACACTTGCATGTGGTATAACACACACGGACTTTTATTTTTCTAGTAAAAATTATTATTTACAAATGACAAAGACTCGGAGTTCTACTTTAATAAAACTGTTTCTGTATTCCTCGAACCTACACTACTACCTGAAACACTATAATTTGTGTTCATTTAAAGTTATTATTATATTATTACAATATGCGAAAAAACGCTATATTTTTTATAGTCCTCATCATTACCTTGGACATGTTAACGGGTAATTTGTAGTTTTATTACACTGCTTAATTTTCAGATCGGTATGAAATTACCAATTAATTTATATGACTTTGCAGTATGTAGTTAAATGTCATAATATCACATTGATTCGAATTTATTACTAAAACAAGTTATGCACAATTTCCTCACAAAATATATATCAATACTTTATTTTGTTGTTCTAGTCGCACAAGGGTTGCCATATCCAAGTAAGTACAATGTATAAGCTGAGAATTAAATCATGTTATTCCTACTCAAAGCAAACTGTATGTTGATTTGTATAATTTGTTGGATTAGATTTTAGTGAGTCGGAAGAAGCCGAGAAACGTAAGTAAGACTAGAGAGTATTAACTAAAAGGAGAACCTACAATTTGAAAAAGTCACTTCTACATTAGTTTATATAGATATACTTATTAATATACTGTAAAACTGTTTGAAGTGGGGAACTTTCGTTATTTTATAACAATACAAGCAATATGATAATAATAACAAGATCTAGAATTAAAATAACTGTACAGTTAAAGATTACATTAATTATACATTCTGCTTGTGTATTACACGGTACCAAAGCCAACAGAAATATCTAGTTAATTGATTACATACTTATGCATTATACGGGGTGTCTCATTTTAAAATACTAATCGATTTTCCTCCAAAAATGCTAATGCAATCAAAAAGTTGCTTATTAGAGACTTTTAGAGTACAAAGGCGGACGTTATAAAAATTAAAAAAATATGGCCCCAAATTCAAAATGGCCGACTTACGGTCAAAAACCTTTTTTTTTTTTTTTATGGAAACCATGTATTTTTTGTTAACCAAACAAAATTAAAAACTTTTGTAGGAAACATTTTTTGGTAAAACCCATAATTTGTAAATTAAGTATCTTTAGCTGTTTTTAGTTTTGTTATTTTATTTTGATGCATAAGGTAATCGTGCCATGTGTGGTAACCTTAGTATGTGTGGTAACTGTGATAACTTGATATGTGGGGTAACCTTTGTTTGTGAGGTAACCATGATATGTGTTGTAACCGTGGTACGTGTGGTAACCTTGGTATGTATATAATTTCCTAACCTAACCTTACCATTACACACAGATATATATATATATATAATAAACTAGATTGCTAACTAGCGATAAGAATTGAAGCCGACGGTCCGCCATTCTGGTGGGTTTATGTGTGTTATCAATGCATATAATATATATCTGTATATATTATTATATCAATATAATATTATATATGTGATTGTTATAAACATATATTATTCTCACGTGATAAGGTTCTAATTCCCATCGAAATGGCGGAAATTGGCTGCTTCAATCTTCGCTATTGGTGGCATATACAATCTATGCAATCTAGTTTATTATATATATCTATGCCATTACATTATCATTATCTTTATCGTCAACGTTATCCTCTTTTCTGTGTATCACAAAGACAAAAACTATGGTTACCACACACACCATGTTTACCACAAATGACACGATTACCATATGCATCAAAATAAAATAACAAAACTAAAAACAGCTAAAGATACTTATTTACAAATTATGGGTTTTACCAAAAAATGTTTCCTACTAAAGTTGTTAATTTTGATAAGAACATTTGTTTAGTTACAAAAAATACACGGTTTCCATTTAAAAAAACATGTTTTTGACTGTAAGTCGGCCATTTTGAATCTTGGACCCTATTATTTAATTTTTATAACGTCCCCTTTTGTACTCTAAAAATCTCTAATAAGCAACTTTTTGATTGGATTATTGTTTTAAAATGGGACACCCTGTATATTATACTCTCTTCACACACTGATTATTATAAACGAGAATAAATTCATTTTGAATTATGTTCATTAGATGTAGACGCACTAGGTTTGCCAATCACAAAAGGTAAATAACAGCTAACAATTAAACCATGTTGTACCTATAGCATACTGTATTTTAATTTTTTGGATCAGGTGGGAACGAATTTGAAGCATTTAAGAATCTAAAAAGTCAGTACAGATTGTAGAGTTGATTTTGACGCTTACACGACAAAAGCGTCTGAGCGACAATTTTAATAGTTTCCAGGAGAGCCAATAAAACATTTTTGTGAGCTTATTAATTTCTTTTTTTTCAATCAGGAATACATTTTTTCAATAAAAATTGGGGTATTTTTATTTCGTTTAGATCCTATTTTTTAGACAGACAAAACCTAATGGCATTTATACCGCAAACCGATTTTTCTCCGTCCAATTATAATATATAGCTTGTCGCTTAGGCCCTTATGCCGTTTAACCATTTAATTCATATTGATACCTAATTTTGTTTTTTTATATTCAGTGCCATATTCACCTGGTAAGTAACAGCTAACAATATTAAAGGCGGGTTATACATTTTACTTGGCTCTTTTTAAAAAATATTTACATTTTTTCGATTAAAAAGTTATGCCAATTTTACTTTGGAAGCGTGTGAAAAATGATGTCTACTTAATTATTAATTTACTACTAACAATTATTGGGTACTAAAGTAGTATTTTAATTTGAAATATTTTTTGGATTAGGTGGAAATAGAATATATACATCGCAAGGTCAGTATAAACAGCTATAGAGTTAGTAGTTATAACTACTGTATAAAATTAGTACAGAAATATGAACAGAATTTTCGTTTTTTATGTAATTAGTGATTAGGTTTTTTTTGGGGGGTTTATCAATGATTGATTATCCGGAATTGTCAACACATCATTATTATAACTTCAAAGTATCTGAAAAAAAAGCCATATTGAAATGATATAATTTGATCACTTGATTGCATTATGCAATATATATTTTTTCCCCTCGTAACACTATAAATATGAGACTCATTTTGATACCCAATTGTGATATTTATAGCAAACTGTATATTGATTTTGTATGATTTGTTGGATTAGCTTATGGTGATTCGGATGAAGTTTCTGAAGATGGATTGAAGATGAATTCGGTCTTGGCAAAGAGTAAGTAAGACTATAGAGTACTAAACTAAAGGAGCGTACACACTAGGCCAGTAATTTAGTCAAGTGGCGGGTATCTAAAATAGTCAAACACTTGTAACGATTTAGAATGATGTATAACTGGGTTCAAGTTGCAAAATATAAGTATAAAAGTGCCTGTAACTTTGTTTTTGCTAGAATCGCTTTTCTCAGTTGAGTATCACTGCGTTGAATTTATGGTGCCATTTTTTTTAACAGAAAATTAAAACAACTTTCAGTCATTCTCAGCGTTGTAGCCACTCTACTAAATTATTGGCTTAGTGTGTACGAAGCTTAAGAGCAGTAAATTAATTAATCTCAAAATTTTTAATTACATATTATACTTTCTTCACACACTAATATTGTATTCTATGGGTATGAATTAATTTTGATATCTAATTGTGTTCATTAGAATTAGACATGCTAGGTTTGCCAAAAAATATTAAAACAGGTAAGTACACTGTTAACAATGAAACCATGTTATACAAAAAGCAAACAATATTTTGATTTTTATCATTTGATTGTAGGATCAGTTTGGAACGATTTTAAAGCAGATGTAAAAGGTCAGTATAGATTACAGAGCTTATTTCGACGGTTACACAACAAAATTGTTAGAATAGATAGCAGGACATATCCATGTATTGATATGTATCTGCATGAAGTGTGGATACTCTTAACAGATAATTAAATTAATTGATTACATAATTATGTGGTATATACTATACTTTCTTCACAAACTAATATTACATAAGAGTATGAATTCGTTTTGATACCTAACTGTATTCATTATATTTAGATGTACCAGGTTTGCCAAATGATTTTACAAGAGGTGAGTAACAGCTAATAAATTAAACCATGTTGTACCTGCAGGAAACTTTATTTTGATTTTTATCATTTTTTTTTATCCAGGTGGGAACGGTTTTAAAGCTGTCAATGATGGAAAAGGTCAGTATAGACTGTGCAGTTGGTTTTGAAAATATATAACACAGAAAAACCAACTTATTATTATGAATATAAATATAATAATTTATCAAGTAAAACGTATGTTTTAAAACAGACGGACATATTTTGACAAGGACTACAGTAGCGAAAAACAAAGGGTTTATAAGTCCTGACGCTATCCAACTTGCGGCACTATAGTGCTGTTGTAACCATGGAACACATGGTTTGTAGATGATTTTCTTGTTTTCATTCTCTGAATTATCTTACTGTGGGTCATCTATTTCACAACAAATTGTCGGGTCCCGAAAGAGACCACGGTCTTTATTTTTTCCAATTACAACAGTGTAATGATAAATAATAAACTTCTTCAAACTCTTCCATGATAAAGAAATCACCCTGTATTAGTTATGATGAAAAAAAAAATACTTTCGAGTAAAGTCTAAATGAAACATATAATATTTAACTTTTTATTTATTTAAACAATTTTGAATTTAAGACAGTTAATCATAATAATTGAGTTATGAATGACAATAACTTTTTTTTTTGTTATTTACAGGAAGAATGTAAAGAGTGACAGTTTATTTTAAATAAAATATAATTATTATCATTTGATGTGTAATCTTTTACAAAAAAAAAAAAAAATTATATACTTCACTAAATTATAATAAACTTACTATGTGGAAAATTTAAAATTTCTTGTTCTTGGATAGTTATGCTTATCGATATTGGACTAGGAAAAAAGTTACTTGTAATTAAAGATAAATTTACTGGTTGAATTAAAAGATAATAATTATGGTTGGTTGGTTTACATAAAAAAAAATGAACTTTGAAGACCAACGTTGAAGGAATTTACTAACTAGATGACAAAAAATATGAGCTTATGGTCAACTTAGTATTTTTTTTTTAATAAATATCCTTCACTTTATGTTATAATAATATTGTAATATAATTAAAACCCACCAAACTGGGTTTGAAAATATTTTATAGGTATAAATTTAGAATGTTCTAAATACTTAAAAATATGCCCACAACACCTTAATTTTCAAAACTATTGAAAAATTCCGCCGATGACTCATATTTACTAAGCCGGATAAATTCTAAGATTAATGCTCGTGCTTCCCAATAGAATAATATGTTTGAGAATCCTAAAAATATTTTTTAAAAAAAGCAAAATAATATTATTATATTATCCCGTAAGACACATTATAGTGCGTGTTAAGCACCTTATTAAGCGTTTGATCAGTAATTTATAATAATTGTTTTATACGTTTTACTCATAAAACTAGCTTTTTGAAATTTAGTTCAAATTTTTTGCCCATTCAATACAGCATATTTCATGAGACCCGTGAAATCTAAACAAATAATAAACACCTGTTTGTTGTATGATAACAATTTTAGGTTTTAACGTTCTAAGAACAGTCGTATTGTACAAATAACCCAATTTTTATAGTTTAACAGTTAAAATATTTTAGCTTCGATGCAAAGCGAGAAGGTATTGGTTTTACTCTGATGTATGTTTTTTTTTTATCTGTATACACTGTAACTTCTTTAATACTGGACCAATTCCTTCGAATAGCAACTCTATAAATCGCAATTTTCATCTAGTTGGTACTTTGGGGGGGTAAAAGTTGAAAAAGTTTAACTCTTCACAGGCGAAAGTTGAAAAAACAAAAAAAAAACCGTACGAGTTTTTAAGTTAGAACTTTTACTGGCTATAGCTTCGAGAAAAAGAGTCGGATCGAGTTGAAATTTATAAGAAATATTTATTTAGTATGCCCGCGCACGTCAGTTATATCAAATTTGAATTTAACCCAATGCCCACCCCCCTAGGGGGGGTACAGGTTTTTTTGTTTTTCGGGGTTTTTAGCCGTAATTTTAAGACCTTTGGGTTGAAAATTTGCCAGTAGTTGGAACTCATATGTATCCATAACATATTAAACGGAAAAATAATTCGGCACTACAGTTTTTTTTAATTGCCGGGAAACTGTGTTTTCGCAGATTATGTATATTTTAACAAAAACACTTAAAATCTTTAAAAAAAATTGATCAAATCATTAAAACAATTTTATGTAGATCTATGCAGAATGATACTATTGAGTTTTGTGCTCAAGTAACACTTTTGACTTTAAGTTGACACAAAGTTCAATTTTTTTTTTTTTTTACTTAAGTTCTTTCTGGCTGATTAAAATTGAGAACTGATAACAAATTCGTAATCACCGACCCCAAAAACATAAAATTTGACCCCTTTTAATGCCTTTTTCACAAAAATCCAGAAAAATGTTTTAGCTTCGATGCAAAGCGAGAAGGTATTGGTTTTACTCTGATGTATGTTTTTTTTTTATCTGTATACACTGTAACTTCTTTAATACTGGACCAATTCCTTCGAATAGCAACTCTATAAATCGCAATTTTCATCTAGTTGGTACTTTGGGGGGGTAAAAGTTGAAAAAGTTTAACTCTTCACAGGCGAAAGTTGAAAAAAAAACAAAAAAAAAACCGTACGAGTTTTTAAGTTAGAACTTTTACTGGCTATAGCTTCGAGAAAAAGAGTCGGATCGAGTTGAAATTTATAAGAAATATTTATTTAGTATGCCCGCGCACGTCAGTTATATCAAATTTGAATTTAACCCAATGCCCACCCCCCTAGGGGGGGTACAGGTTTTTTTGTTTTTCGGGGTTTTTAGCCGTACAAACGCACTCTACCAGATGTGAGAAACGAAAAAAAAAAGTATAATTTTTTGTTCTATTGGCATCATCGTGTGTACGAACGGCATATTGATACGCGCTCTTATCTGCTCCGTAATGAATTATGAAATCAGTTATGATAGAAAATATTGTATGTCGTTTCAAATAGTATTTTTAAATCTCTACAAAAACCCTAGTTTTTATTCTGGTTGTAACTTGTATTGCGCTGTATAAAACTTTTATGACGTAGTTGATGTTTATTTTATCAATTTTCATTATTTAATAAAAAACAATTTGTCAACAGAATATAACTAACTGGGTGTGGATTTTATTAAGTCACAGTTGATATAAAATCGATTTGGACTTGAACTTTTTGCGGAATGACTGAATTTAATTTAAGAAACTAATTTAATTTTAATTGGCAGCCATTACGTGAGAAATGATAACATGAATTGTTTATACTATAGTGTATAGTTGTTTTAATTATCAATTTTCAAGACAAAATAATATTTGATCGTGACCATATAAACGCCCGATCGCGTTATCAACTGTCCACCGTCTTATGTACACGGTACAGGTGGGAACGAAAAACCCCTTATCGGCCCGAGCCGGTCATGGAGTGTGAGAGAGAGGTCGGGGGGTGATGACATTTGTAGGTAGTTGCCAGTCAGTATTCGATAATTCGATTATCAGTTATTGATTTAAAATTGATCCGGAGTGTCAATCCGCTGTCGTTCCGAGTATTATTATTTTTATTTACATATTGTAAAAAATATTTAATTATAAAAAAATATTTTCTTTACATAATTTTCGGTGTTAAATTTCCACCTTCGTATAAAACCACCTGCACACCGTCTTAATTGCTGGGAGTGTTTGCCGAGATTCAGCTTGGTAAGTGGCTTGTTATTTAGTATTTAGTAGCTTCAGTATTGCTGATTCGATTAAATTTATATTATTATTTATTTATATTTATCCGTATGTTACCTTATGACAGAAGTTAGAACTAAGTTGGTGTTAGAAACATCTGTCATGATTTATGTCTTGTATGCTAGGTATAGGTTAGGGAAGTAACGTATTAAACCTCAAAACTGTATGTTTATACGTACACAGTGTAGGTAATAACATGGTTGAAATGTAGAGGTTATTATTGCACATCGTCTCTAATTGTTATCTTTATGCATTACATTACAGTTACATATTGTTTATTATTAGTCAATGTAAAATGCAATTTTCCAGATACTATTTTTTAATATTTCAAACAAATTTGTATGATTTAATGAATTTTTTTTGTTTAAATTACTAAGATTTATAACTCAGTAGTGTTTTTGTCATTTTTTTGAGCTTTTGGTTTTTATAAATAACATTGCTATGTTTAATATTATTGAAAGAATAGTTTCATTTAAGAAATTTACAAAAAAAGGTACTTTTGTGTACTGTAATTTTTTGGGGGATTACTTGACAATAAAGAAATTAATCTATGTAATAAGTTGTTGTTGTTTTGTAAATGTTACAGGTAAATATTAACATTTATGTAAGCTTTTCATTTTATACTCGTGTGCAACTTTTTGTTATGATAACTTTGTTATATACCTGCAATTATTGTTATTAATACTATCATAAATTATGTTTGACGGTATGCTTCTATTATAAATGGGTATGTATTTTAATTTTTATGGACATGTTTTTGATGACGTTAAAAAAATTATTTGCATTAGTATAAAAATGTGTATTTAAGTCAAGAAAATTACAATAATAATATCAGGACTTCTATTAATCTAATATATGTGCTTTATAAATACATGGAAATTGTTGTATATACACAACAATTTCCATAATCATTATTAATCATATTGTTATGTGGTGTAATAAAGTTGTTTGACGTCTAGAGTTGTATCTCATGTGTCATAGTTAACTTTTTAATTTTTAATTTTAGGCATATTTTTTTTTTAAATTCATTAAGTTAACATGGGAAGGAAAAGTAAACGAGCCCTTAAAAGCCTTCAACATATACGGGATTTAAGAGGAAACAAAGAGTATTGCGCTGATGAAAGAGAAAAAGATAAGCAAAGAAAAGGAGTTGTACATTTAAATCCTGCAAATCATTACATCACAATGTCATAATGTTAAAAAAACCAGTACAGTGGGGTCGGGGCATAGTGGGGACGGAGCATAGTTGGGTCGGGGCATAGTGGTGACAGGGAGGTCACAGGTTTACAGGAATTTTTAAATCTGAAAGTGATAAAGTCACTTTCGAAAAAACGCTTCGATGCAAATCGGTAGTTAGTATTTTCAAGCCAGTACAGTCCAAACCAAGCACAGTATAAACCAGCAAAGTTAGAAAGTTTTTAATTAAGGTTCTGTATTTACAAATGAGCATCAAAGCGTTAATTTGAAAGTGATTTTATCCAAGAGGACTAGTACAGTAGAGTATAGGCATAATGTAATCAAAGCAATGAGGAAACGGAGAGGTCACAGGTCTACAAGAATAATTATAAATAAAAGTGATAAAATTGAATAAAATCGCTTTCAAATAAACGCTTTGATGCTCATTTGTAAATACAGAACCTTCATTTAAAACTTTCTAACTTTGCTGGTTTATACTGTGCTTGGTTTGGACTGTACTGGCTTGAAAATACTAACTACCGATTTGCATCGAAGCGTTTTTTCGAAAGTGATTTTATCACTTTCAGATTTAAAAATTCCTGTAAACCTGTGACCTCCCTGTCACCACTATGCCCCGACCCAACTATGCTCCGTCCCCACTATGCCCCGACCCCACTGTACTGGTTTTTTTAGCTTCGATGCAAAGCGAGAAGGTATTGGTTTTACTCTGATGTATGTTTTTTTTTTATCTGTATACACTGTAACTTCTTTAATACTGGACCAATTCCTTCGAATAGCAACTCTATAAATCGCAATTTTCATCTAGTTGGTACTTTGGGGGGGTAAAAGTTGAAAAAGTTTAACTCTTCACAGGCGTAAGTTGAAAAAAACAAAAAAAAAACCGTACGAGTTTTTAAGTTAGAACTTTTACTGGCTATAGCTTCGAGAAAAACAGTCGGATCGAGTTGAAATTTATAAGAAATATTTATTTAGTATGCCCGCGCACGTCAGTTATATCAAATTTGAATTTAACCCAATGCCCACCCCCCTAGGGGGGGTACAGGTTTTTTTGTTTTTCGGGGTTTTTAGCCGTAATTTTAAGACCTTTGGGTTGAAAATTTGCCAGTAGTTGGAACTCATATGTATCCATAACATATTAAACGGAAAAATAATTCGGCACTACAGTTTTTTTTTAATAGCCGGAAAACTGTGTTTTCGCAGATTGCGTATATTTTAACAAAAAACACTTAAAATCTTAAAAAAATTGTTATCAAATCATTAAAACAATTTTATGTAGATCTATGCAGAATGATACTATTGAGTTTTGTGCTCAAGTAACACTTTTGACTTTAAGTTGACACAAAGTTCAATTTTTTTTTTTTTTTACTTAAGTTCTTTCTGGCTGATTAAAATTGAGAACTGATAACAAATTCGTAATCACCGACCCCAAAAACATATAATAAACGCATATAAAGGCATATAAATAAACGCAAAATATAAGTACAAACGCACTCTACCAGATGTGAGAAACGAAAAAAAAAAGTATAATTTTTTGTTCTATTGGCATCATCGTGTGTACGAACGGCATATTGATGCGCGCTCTTATCTGCTCCGTAATGAATTATGAAATCAGTTATGATAGAAAATATTGTATGTCGTTTCAAATAGTATTTTTAAATCTCTACAAAAACGCTAGTTTTTATTCTGGTTGTAACTTGTATTGCGCTGTATAAAACTTTTATGACGTAGTTGATGTTTATTTTATCAATTTTCATTATTTAATAAAAAACAATTTGTCAACAGATTATAACTAACTGGGTGTGGATTTTATTAAGTCACAGTTGATATAAAATCGATTTGGACTTGAACTTTTTGCGGAATGACTGAATTTAATTTAAGAAACTAATTTAATTTTAATTGGCAGCCATTACGTGAGAAATGATAACATGAGTTGTTTATACTATAATGTATAGTTGTTGTAATTATCAATTTTCGAGACAAAATAATATTTGATCGTGACCATATAAACGCCCGATCGCGTTATCAACTGTCCACCGTCTTATGTACACGGTACAGGTGGGAACGAAAAACCCCTTATCGGCCCGAGCCGGTCATGGAGTGTGAGAGAGAGGTCGGGGGGTGATGACATTTGTAGGTAGTTGCCAGTCTAGTAGTTGTCAGTTTAGTAATATTTAACTAATAAGTAATAAATGTAGGTAAAATTTATTGTTTTCTCCATCACAGTAGCAGTATACGATTTATTTTAATTTAAATGTAAGAAAATCGATTTTTCTTTAGAAAATAACAAGAAATTATTATACAGGATGAGGCAGTAAAACGGCGATTTTCTAATGTATTTAAATGGTAAAATCCGTTTCACTATCCCACCCTTTACATTTTAAGGATCTATGAAAAGGTTTTTTTAGTTGCATTTTATTTTGTACATTGTCAATCTAGTAAAATAGAAGTATAATATAGCTTTGAAATAATATAATCTGTGAAGTATAAATAGTTTGTGTGTGATTGCTTTAATGGAAGTATATAATACATAAATATTAATTTTATTGAGAATAAGCGATTATAATTTAAACTATGGAGTACAAACGATTGAAACATGAATCGTCGACCATTCCAACAAAATATAACAAGACATTGTATATGTGTTATTTGGTCCACTAAGTTTTTGCAAAAAAAAAAAAAAACAGTACAGTGGGGTCGGGGCATAGTGGGGACGGAGCATAGTTGGGTCGGGGCATATTGGGGACGGGGAGGTCACAGGTTTACAGGAATTTTTAAATCTGAAAGTGATAAAATCACTTTCGAAAAAACGCTTCGATGCAAATCGGTAGTTAGTATTTTCAAGCCAGTACAGTCCAAACCAAGCACAGTATAAACCAGCAAAGTTAGAAAGTTTTAAATGAAGGTTCTGTATTTACAAATGAGCATCAAAGCGTTTATTTGAAAGCGATTTTATTCAATTTTATCACTTTTATTTATAATAATTCTTGTAGACCTGTGACCTCTCCGTTTCCTCATTGCTTTGATTACATTATGCCAATACTCTACTGTACTAGTCCTCTCGGATAAAATCACTTTCAAATTAACGCTTTGATGCTCATTTGTAAATACAGAACCTTCATTTAAAACTTTCTAACTTTGCTGGTTTATACTGTGCTTGGTTTGGACTGTACTGGCTTGAAAATACTAACTACCGATTTGCATCGAAGCGTTTTTTCGAAAGTGATTTTATCACTTTCAGATTTAAAAATTCCTGTAAACCTGTGACCTCCCCGTCCCCAATATGCCCCGACCCAACTATGCTCCGTCCCCACTATGCCCCGACCCCACTGTACTGTTTTTTTTATGGTTAAATTTGGTATGGTGCGTTCACGCATTGTATACAAATGTATTGCTTATCGATAAAAAAAAACGCTGTTGTTTTTAGCAAAAAGAACATTGTTTTGTAGTTTATGATTTTACATTTTTTTAGTATTTATTTTATTGGTATATTTGGTTAACTCAGGATTTATCGTTTTCTAGTCATATCAATAGTATTTATAAAAAAACCGACGAGGTGATTAAGTTTTATTTAATGGGGGAGTTCAACAATTTGTCTTGTTTGAAGATACTTTACTTCTCACTGGTTCGTTCTATTCTTGAGTATGGTTCTGAAATGTGGAACCCTATTCAACATGGTCTGATTAATATGCTTGAAAATGTCCATCAGAAATTCCTAAAGTTTTTAAGACGTACATTTTTTTTTACCTGAAAATGCCTAGAATGATGTTTTATTGGTTTACAATTAAATTTATCTTGCCACTAGAAGACTATAAAATGACACAGCATGCAATTTCAAGCTATTAAATGGATTTCTTGTTTGTCCTGAGTTTCTTATGACAATAGTACTCTACCCTTCCACGTCCCTTCCCATTGCCAAAACTACAGCTGTTGTAATAACCCAGTGAATAGAATGCTGAGGTTTTGTAATTTATTTTGTAGTTCAGATTTGTTTGTTTGTCTAAGTCTGATTTACGCTTGAGTGTTTTGAATTACTCAGGTTGAATCTTTTAGTGATTTTTGTTTTGTTTCTAAAACTACAAAATATCAATTATTTTAAGAGGAAATTGTTTTAGGGAGTTAAAAAAATCACCCGGTGTATAATACGAGTATATGTTATTTTAAGTAAATAACTATGTTTACAAATTGTACAGTCGTTTGTGGCATACTTAACCGGTTCTACTTAGCGTAAGTAACACTTGCTAAAACATTATTGTGTGTCATGTGTATAGGTAAATTATTTTTGTCTGTAAGTTATTAAATTCTCTATCGTACAACTCGATGGTCTTTTTTTAGTGACAAGACAACATCATTAAAATATGCGAAAAATGGCTATTTATTTTATAGCCGTCATTGTTTTGGAAATATTATTGGGTAATATGTTTTTTTAATTTATTTTTTTTTTTCATTACATATCATTCCCAGCTTGATTATCCTAAGTTAAATAAATATACAATAGTTTTGAATTTTTAGTTTTTTAATATTTAAGGTGATCCAACTAACGTAAGACACTCATTTTTTCTGAAAATATGAATATTTTAAAAAAAAATTTCCCCTAAACTTTTAGTTACATATTTGACTACATTTTTCAATATTTTGAAAATTTTTATCACCAATCCTTATACGTCAACGAGGGGGATTTTTGATTTTTTTTTAACGGCGAAATATGTTTTTAATTACATACATTTATTAACAAAAAATTTTAAAATATGTTAGCATTTGATTTATTTTATTTTAATTTATCTGTTCTTTAGCTATGACTTTGTAAAGATACTACATTTCATGCTAACATAATAAAAAAAGAAATTCTCTACAAATGTATGTAATTAAAAACATATGTTGCCATTTAGAAAAAACAAAAAATTGGTGTTAAAAATTTTCAAAATATTGAAAAATGTAGTCAAATATGTACCTAAAAGTTAAGGAAAAATAAATTCTCAAAATATTCATATTTTCAGAGAAAATGAAGAGACATGTTTTTATTATTTCGCTTATATTTTATGTGTCGTACAGAACTAGAGTCTGAATGTAAATACTAAAAGAACATCAGCTGTGACCCAAATACAATAACAAGTTCTTCGAAAATCGTAAAAAGATTTTTGAAAAGCTGTGGCCTATGCATCATAAAAACAAAAAATAATAACAAAAAAAAAACAACTGAATATTTTATTTTATTATGTGCACACCTTCCAAGCTAAGCGATAAGCTAACATGAAAAAAAAACAAATTGTGTTTTTTAATATTCACGCCTAGAATATAAACAAGCCAGTGCAGTGGGGTTGGGACATAGTGGGGACGGAGAGGTCGCAGTTGTTCAGGAATTACTTTAACTGAGAGATAAAGTGACAAATGTTTTTAAAATAAATATTGTTAAGAGTAACACATTTTTTTACTGTCTATTCAAAGGTTTTCTTGGCCATCATTCATTGTTGCTCGATAACCTTCCTTAAGAGACTTGCATTTCACAAAAAAATAAATTTAGGCTTCCTTTTGTATATTTCTATTATCCTTTACAAATCTCTTTTCAGCTAATCTTTTACTCTGTCTAAATTAATGAATATAATGATGAGGTCCAAAATGTTGGAGTGCATTATTTTTCCTTTGGTGGGTGTTTTGATAACTTACACATTGTGCCACCATTTAAATTCCAAATGGATGATGCCACTGCAAACAACTATGTTTAAAAATATGAATTCATATAATTACTTCATTTTGTTTTTTATACTTAGTCGCGCAAGGTATGCCAACAGTTCAACATGGTAAGTGACAATTGACAAGTGTATTACATGTTTTTCTTTATTTTTGTGCTAGACTCACTAGTCTAGAACAAAAGTAAAGAATCTTTTAAATATTACTTCTGCTAATTATTGTGGTCTAAAAATATAATTTTATACGTCTTGTACTCATAATTACATTTATTGTACATTGGTTTCTAGCTGGTTTATACAGTTAAAATTTTAGAGCAACTATTAGATAATAATAAAGATCCTTTTGTTTTTTTTAAGTAAAAGTTGCCCTGGGGTTATCATATTATGGAAACGTCTGACAACCAATTTGATAATTTAATACAAACAATTATACGATTTTTAATGTTAGCAAATATTTATGTAAAGAACTGTAGAGGGATATCCTTACTTAACACCGCATACAAGATTCTATCGAATACTCTACTAAACCGATTAAGACCATACGCCAATAACATCATAGGAGAATATCAGAGTGGTTTCATGTCAGGCAGATCAACAATAGACCATATATTCACGCTTAAACAAGTAATAGAAAAGTACTATGAGTTCAACAGGCCGTTACACTTAATTTTTATAGACTTTAAACAGGCATATGACTCCGTACAAAGAGCAGAAATATGGAGATGCTTAAAGCTGTTAGGAGTCCCCTCAAAACTAATATCGATGATAAGAGTGAGTACGGAAGGATCAAGATGCGGAAAGGAAATTCCTTAGGAGGATTTACGGACCAAAAAGAAAAGAAGACCAAACATACGAAATTAGGTCTGACAGAGAACTGCAGGAATTATTCGGAAGACCAGACATAATAGCGGAAATACGCCACAAGAGACTGAGTTGGCTTGGACATGTGCTAAGGGCTATATCAATAGCAAATGCTGTATTAAGCTGGATTCCTCAGGGAAGAAGGCCGATTGGAAGACCGAAACAGCGGTGGATGGACAAAAATAAAAAAGAACTAAATCAACTTGGAATAGACAATATTATTGAAGCAGCTCTGAACAGAGACAGATGGAAGGAGATTTGTTTTGTAGCGATGGGCCTTAATGGCCTTTAAAGCTGGAAGAAGAAGAAGAAGCAAATACTTGTTAGATTTGTATATTTTCCATAGGTGGAATGAGTATGAATGCAACGAATGACTTATGAGGTCAGTATTAAATTATAGAGTTACCTGCTTATACAAATAAAATAGTACAACCATTGAACATTCAAGTCAACAGTCAACATTGGACACATTATTTGTTTGACCTTTTCAATAGCTGTATTTAATTTTTTTCATCGAATGATTGATTGACTGATAATCTGATATTAACAATTTATAATCTAATTTATTTTTATGTATCATTTTTGCTTGGCTTATAAAAAATATTTTTTCAATATTTAACTGAGCAAAAAAACTAAACAAGTAATTAAGTAGATAACAATAATTATGGTACATTTTGTAATGTAAAAACTATTCTATAAGGAATCATTTAAATGTAATTGCCACAAATTGTGGCGAAAAATAATTTTAGTACTCTTACAATTTACTTATTCGCTTTAAAGCGTTTTATTTAACACTTGTACTGATTTATTGTACAACACTATCCCAATTTAATATAGGAATAATTATAAGTAGAACAACAGTATAGTTAGAAATTACATTTATCATACATTGGTTTGTATGTGTTCTACACAGTTACAATTTTAAAGAAACTATTAGATAAAAAAGATTCTTTTGTTTATTTTTAAAGAAATGTCTATCTACTTAATTGATAATTTACTACAAATAATTAAACGATTTCAAAGTCAACAAATACTTATTAGATTTGTATATTTTCTAGGACTAGATGGTATGAGCTTGAATGCATTCGCAGACTTTAAAGGTCAGTGTTAAACTCTATAGCTGTTAATAGTCGCCTGATGTATAAAAATAAATTAGTACTCGATTATGGGCGCAAATATTGCAGTACTTTGATTTGTATAATTTGTTGGGTAGGTGGAAATGTTACGAATAATCCGTTCATGGACCCAAGTGGTAAGTACACCCTCTAGAGTTAGTAGTTACTCTTCTCTATACATTAATTGATACTAAACTATGAGTACAAATTATTACGTTTAATGGTTAACGTTTAAAAAATATCAATATTTTAGGTTCTTGTTCTAATTAGTCTATGTTGAGATTTGGATAGGTGCTCAAGCACACTCTTCAATGCACATACTACTGTTTTTTCCGAGATAAAAATGTTATGGGAATCACAACTTTGTTTTACATCTCCCACTCTGGGTAATTTTGAATAAAAGATATAATTCAGTACTAATTTAACGGTTTTCAAAGGAAATGTTGAGTTTTGATCAATTTTTTACTTACTCAAAAGCCTCTAAGTACTGAAATTACAAAGTCTAGCTGACCCAGTCATGTGGGCACTAAATTTGTTTATACATTCTGTAGTTGTTTTTTTATTTACGAGGTTTACAAGTGGATATTAAATTACATAATAATAAGTGGATACTAAATTACATATTATTTCCAAAAATAGATGCATCTGCCTGTTACTAATTAAATTATATTCTATAAAGACCAAAGTTTACTTCTTGAGTGCATTGTACATTTTTTTCACACACTTTTATAAATTACTATAACTACTATACAATATTCTTGCCTAATTTTTGTCTGTATATTTAGATGAACTAGGATTTCCACGAGGTAAGTTACAGTATTATGAATTTAATTCACGTTATAAATTTTACTTAATTTTGCTTCTAAATTGATTTTAATACATAATTAATACTTCTACCTGTTTTTATTAACACTATAATATGTTAATAAGTTGATTACTAATATAAATTATACATAATATTATATTCTTCGCATACATATCTGTGCTAATTAAAATTTATACTGACATCTAATTTTGTTCTTTATATTTAGCTACTCCAAGTGCTCAAAATTTCCCAGGTAAGTAACAGCAAACAATTAAATATATTTTAACTTTTATGTGGAACTTGAGAATATATTGTCTACGTATCTCTCCTAGTATAAATTTACATTTACACATATTTTTTGTTCTTTATATTTATAGTCTCTCCAATGGCACCTTATTTACAAGCTAAACAGCATCTAAAAATTCTCATGTCGATTTTCTGAAATAAATTACATACTATACTATAGTATAGTAACTATAGCTCTTTGACTATGTCTGAAATATTGTACTGATATCCTATGTTAGAAAGTAAAAATTCATATTGATACCTTATTGTATTCTTTATATTTAGTCACACAAAATCCGTCATATTCACAAGGTAAGTAAACAGATAAAGATCTGAGAAGTTTCTGTTTTTAAATTTAAGAGATTTCTCTCTTATATTATTTGATTTTACACTGGAACCACAATAACCACTTAATGGTTAAATTTAATAAGATTTTAACCGATATTCAATATTTTTAATTACCTACAAATTTATATAGTTTTATTTCGGAGAGATTTCACAAATCTCACTATTGATTATGTAGGCTCTGAAAGTAACGTTTCAAATTTAAGGTATTTAAAGTTAAATACTTACATATTATATTTTCTCTCATAGGTGCTCACCATTGCACTTATACATTTCTATTAATACATTTTTTTTTATTTTCTAGTTCCTTCAAGTGCTCCTCAACCTCAAGGTCAGTAGTATCTAAAAATTTTCATGTTGATTTTCCGAAATTAATTTCATACTATAGTTATCTCTTTGACATATTTTTGTACTGATACAAGCGAATCACTTGAGGAGACATCATACTTGTTTTTCTCATTAACCTATGTTTGTGAGTATAAATTCATTTTAATACCTTATTTTGTTCTATATATTTAGTCCAACAAAAAGCGTCATATTCACAAGGTAAGTGACCAGATAAGGATCTGACATGTTTTTTTTTTAATTAAGAGATTTCTCTTGTATTTTTTGTATTTGCCACCACTAATAACATCAAAATGGTTTAGTTAAAAATTATTTTAGTCGATATTTAATTTTTTAATCATCTACAAATTCATACCGTTTTATCTGGGAGTGATTTTTTTTTAGCTCAGGTATAATTATATACTATAGTTATGTCTTTGACATATTGTACTGAAACAAGCGAATTACTTGACGACATTATACTGTATATTTTTTTCTCATTAACCTATGTATGTCAGTATAAATTCATTTTGATGCTTAATTTTATTTTTTATATTTAGTCCAAGAAAATTTGGGATTGGCACAAGGTAAGTAACCAGATAACGATTTGAGATGTCTTGTTTTTTAAATTAAGAGGTTTCTCTCTTACTTAATTTTATTTTTTTTTGCATCTGGAACCACAAAAACCTATAAATGGTTAAATTAAAAATTATTTTAATCGATAATTAATTATTTAACCATCTACAAATTCATATTGTATTATTTAGGAATGATTATTATGCAGGCTCCGAAATCAACAATAAACTTTAGTTATGGCTTTATTGAATTTTAAGTTGTATACTTAAATGCATTAAACAAATTTTTCTCACACACTTATATACACGAGTAATAATTCATGTTGATACCTGATTTTGTTGTTTAGGTTTGGATGATCTACTAGGTTTGATGAATTTGAATTTCACACCAGGTAAGCAAGGACATATAAACTGTTTATTTAAATTTCTTATGCTATTATGGCAATTACAAAATACAAATAGTAGAAACACTTTTTGATATGTAACCATGAACTTAAGCAATTTGTGAACCATTAGTTAATTTTGATCGTATATGATGAGTCAACTGTATAATAAACAATTTTTTTTTTGTATTTTTAATTCCACATGTTTACTATTGTTATTATTTTTTTTTAATTTATCTCTTCTCTTGCCATTTTGGGGTGTCCTTTTTTATAAATACATAATTAAGTCTCGATAGATTTTTGGGACGAAAGCCATATAATATGTCCATCTATTAATATAACATCTAATAAAAAAAGACAACTTATTAGTCATTAGCTGTTTAAAATACTTCGGTAATACAGGCAATAATGCATTTATATTTCTCATAACCTCATGATTGCTAGTAAAAATTTGTATTAATACATAAAATTTGGTTCTTTATATTTAGCCACTCCAAGTGCACCAACTGCATCTAGTGCATCTAGTGCATCGAGTGCACCAAATTCACAAGGTAAGTAGCAACACGTTGTAAATTTTACTTAGTTTTTTTTCCAAAAATTTAATATATTCAGCTTGTGGTTAAGAAGGTGCTGTTTTTACACGATACGTTTCAATTTCTGTGACTGGACCAACGATATTATTTAATTTATCACCTCTACGGTAATTTTAATTGAATTTGAATAGAGTATTTTATTTGATATTTGTGTTTATTTATTGTATACCGGCTGATAGTGTAAGAATTAGAAGTAGACTAACGGTATCGTTAGAATATACATTTATTATCATTTTCTTTAAGGAATATGGTGCTCAATATTTTAGCAAAAAAACACTGATCAGTCATGTGTTAATTTATCTGTATTTAGGTCTTAATCTAAAATTGAATAATATGTCTTAAATATCTCGTTTTGTTCGCTACTTAAATCTCTGACTGTATGAAAATAACGTTACACTGATATATAATTTTATTTCTAACATTCAAATATATATGTTATGTTCTTTGTACATTTTAGTATACCAGTAAAATTGTTAACCTAATACCTAATTTTGGTCTTTATATATTTTAGTCCAACCCACTGCGACAAATACACAAGGTAAAAATCAATTGAATGGCACGTTATACATTTTATTTAGTTTTTTTAATAAATATTTTCCATTTTAACTTTGATTCAGAGATGAAATGTTATTGTTTTTACAATAAGGTGATTTTTTTTTTAATTTCATTAATACATTTTTTTTGTATCTTGACCTACAATTAGTGGTTGCCGATCTAATAATTTTAATTGATATTTAATATCACAACAGCTCTCACTTTTGCATCGAAGTGTTTAATTAGAAAATTATTTCATAACTTTCAGTTATAATAATTAATACAGAAACTTTAATTTGACTTGAAATTCTCATGTTGATTTTCTGAAACAAATTATATGCTATACCTGCGTCATTGACATATTATACTGACATTCTTATGTAAGAAAGTAAAAATCCATATTGATCCCTTATTTTGTTCCTTATATTTAGCCACACAAAATGCGTCATATTCACAAGGTAAGTAGCCAGACAAGGATCTGAGATGTTTTTGTTTTTAAATTTAAGAGATTTTATATTTTTAACCACCTACAAATTTATATAGCTTTATTTAGAAGAGATTACCAAATCTCACTTATAAAAATGTAAGCTCTGAAATTAACTTTCTAAATTTAAAGTGTCTAAGTTGAATACTTATAAATTTATCTTCCATAATTGAACTTCCAAATTTGTGTAAATATAAATTTTTTTATATTTCTAGTTCCTTCAAGTGCACCTCAACCACAAGGTCAGTAGCACATAAAAATGACACTTTAATAGCAGCAAAATGTTGATATTGTCTTATTTCCCTTTTTTTCGGATATTTTTTCTCAGGTAAATATCCGAAATATCTACCCAATATATATTTTATGGTTAAGGTACCATATTAAATGATAATATTATAATGTGCTGATAGTAGTTACTTACTTGAATGTTTGTTAATACTGATACCTAATTTTGTTTTCTGTATTTAGTCCCACAACAAATGCAACAACAACAATGTGAGTAATATCTAACATTTTATGAACATAATATATTTTATGTTGTTATTTATATAAATTAGATATATTTAAATTTTAATGTGACCAGAGAATGTTTTTTTTTTTTGCTTCTGAAATTTATTAATCTTCACTGCATTTATGTTAATTGTAATTTCCTATTTGTACATTCTACAAAGTCGCATCGAAGGGCATTGCTTGAGAGCGGTTTTTCAACTCACTGAGATGTAATACTTCCCACAGTCCTAGAAGCTCAGAATATAATAGTTTTAACGCATGTGTTTAGATACAATTGCGTACAAATCCACGGTCTAATAATATATTCCCAGCTTATAAATCTATACTAACATACATTTTTGTTGATAACTAATTTTGTTTTATATCTAGCTACTTCAAATGCGTCGAATTTACAAAGTAAGTAACAGATGAACGATTAAATACATTTTACAAAGTTTTTAATATAAATTTAATGCATTTGAATTTTCATGTGAATTTTATATTCTTAAATATTACCTCCGCGATGATTTTAATCTGTATTAAATACTTAATAGGTACCTAACCTATCTACTAATTTGCATTAAAGATCTATATTTCACATTTGTACGATTTGTTGTATACTATTACCGACAAGTGACATAGGAGTTAATATAAAATAACGGTATAGTTAGAGATCAAATGTAGATATTTTTTTTTTTGACTGTTTTAACTAAGCAACGTATCTTAACAAATAGCTGCACTGAGGTTACTATGAGAATGTATAAAAAATAATACCTGCTTAATCATTATTTTCTACACATAAATTGTATATATTTCCTTACATACTTATCTTTGATAGTATACATTTACATTATCACTTATTTTTGGTTTTATATACTTCTAGTCGTTCCAAGTGGGCAAGTTCCAAATGCAACTTCACAAGGTAAGTAGCAACTAAGAACTCTCATGTTGATTTTCTAAAATAAATAATATATTATAATTATGTCTTTGTCATATTGCACTGATGTATGTGAGTATAAATTCATTTTGATACTTTATTTTGTTCGTTATCTATTTAGTCCAACAAAATGCGGCATATTCACAAGGTAAGTAACTAGATAAGGAGCTGAGATGGTTTTGTTCTAAAAGTTATAAGATTTATCTCTTATTTAATTTAATTATACACTTCTACTACAATAACCTCTTAGTGGTTGAATTAAAAATGTTTTGAACAAATATTTTAACCGCCAACAAATTAATACCGTTTTATCGAAGAGAGATTTTTTTCTCAAGTAGATATCCGAAATTATCTACCCACTATATATTTTATGGTTAAGGTATCATATTAAATGATAATATAATGTGTTGACAGTAGTTACTTACTTGAATGTATATCATTATTTATTTAACCGTGAGTTAGTATTGATACCAAATTTTGTTTTCTGTATTTAGTCCCACAACAAATGCAACAACAACAATGTAAGTAATATCTAACATTTAAAGAACGTAATACATTTTATGTTGTTATTTATATAAATTAGATATATTTAAATTTTGATGTGACCTGAGAAGGTTTTTTTTTTTTGCTTCTGCAATGTATTAATCTTAATTAATTAAAATTAGCAGCAAACACTAATTGAACTTGTACTATCTGTCGGATAAGTTAGAGGTAGTTTGAATGAAGCAAAAGACGCGCAGGGTGTGAACATATTAACTATACTGTATAAAAAAATATGTGCTCAACTAAAGCTGAACTTCTTACGTTTACTAGCTAACATTTTATATACAGGGTGGTTTTTTTTATCATGGGCCAGTCAATATCTTACTGAGTTTAATTAATAATAGAAATATATTTTTCCATAGTGTTTTCATAAAATGCGATCTCAATTTTCCATAAATTATAATTTTGAAAAATCGAGATTACACTATATTATATATATCATGCTTTAAAAATTGTTTTTCTTTAAGTTATACTTGTAAGTTGTAACCCACCATAATTGCTCGTTATAGTATAAAAGTAAGTTGAAAAAAATATTTTTTGTTATCACAAGCCAACAACTTATAATGTGTTTTTTTTTTCGAGATCTAATATATCGTTATATTTTCTTTGGCTTTTTAAACCTAGGCTGCTTTAAGGCCTAAGTTTGATTATTCGAAATTAACAATTTACTATAGTCTTGACTTGAAAGTATCTAATAAAATGCCATATTGTTGTAATGATAAAATTTGATTTCTTGAATGCATTATAATTACTTTTCTCATAAACCTATGTATGTGACTGTAAATTCATATTGATTACCTTATTATGATCTTTATATTGTTTAGTACAACCAAGTATGACAAATTTACAGGGTAAGTAACGGTACAATTAGAGATTATAATTATTATACATTTCTCTTTGTGTAATACACAGTTCCCACACTAAACAAAATATATATAATTATTTATTTTTAATATGTGAAATTTGCACAGATATTACAATATGAAAACGTGTAAAAAAAATTAATTTCTCAATAAAATTTTTTTTTACATACCTTTATACCACTTGAATATTTGTGGACAATCATTTGATTTGTATAATTTGTTAAATTAGGCGGTGCTTCCGTTGAAACAAGAGGGGCAATAGGTCAGTATAGACTTTATTTATTGACATTATAATGCATTGATATAAGTTGAGAACTTGAATGCATTACACATTTTTTTTTTCTTACACACTTATGTGTAATGGGTTTTATAATTTTTGTAATTGTTTTATCAAATGAATATGATAATAATTATTCGTTTTCTTTATACTTAGTACCGGCTGTGCAATATGCACCGAGTAAGTAACAACTATTTATCACAGCCAACTGGTTCAAGTATTTCTTGTGAATTATCGTTCTATTCTTTTTATAGTCCAACAAGTTCAGGCAAATGGACAATGTAAGTAACAGCTAACAGTTAAATTGTAATTCCTCCGGTACCTTTATCCTTTTTTAATATATTTTAAGGAATCCTCTATGCATAAACTAAATAACTTTGAGGATTTGCTCCATTGTCTCCCTTATTTTTCGAATATATTATATTCCCATCTATAACTTTGTTTCCCAATTATCACAGATAAGTTCTTCAAGTATATCTTGTGAATTTGATTAATAACTAATATTGTTCTTTTTAAGTAATCCCACAAATGCAGGCAAATGGACAAAGTAAGTAACAACTAACAGTTAAATGTTTATTCATCTAGTACCTACATCCTTTTTTTTTTTTACATATTTTAAGGAATACTCCCATTTTAAAGGAATCTCCTATGAATAAAATAAATAAGGCTGGGGTTGCCCCAATGTCTCCCATATTTTTCGATCATAACTTCTTCCCATATATTATTTTGTTTCCCATTTATCACAGCCAACTCCTTCATCTATATCTTGTGAGCTATCCTTCTATTTGTATAGTCAATGCCATATACATAATATAATGATAACTATTATTTTCTTTTTAAGTAATGCAACAAGGTCAGGCATATGGACAAAGTAAGTAAAATCCAACTGTTAATTTGTTATTCCTCCTACATCCATCAAGTATAACTTGTGTATCCTTTTATCTTTATAATATATGCTAAATGAACTCATGTTGATACCTTATTATGTTCTTTATATATTTAGCCCAACAAATTTTGCCGAATGGACAAGGTAAATAACAATTAACAGTTAAAGTCGTGTCATACATTTTTCATAGTTGGTATTAACATAGATTACATCCTTGGTACATCCTTCCTTTAATTTTTTTAAGGAATCTCCTATGAATAAAATAAATAAGGATGGGGAGTTGGCCTATTGTCTTCCATATTTTTCAATCATAACTTCTTCCTATCTATTACTCAGTGTCCCATCTATCACATCCATTACCTTCAAGTATATATTGTGAGTTGTCCTTTTATATTTACGGTCAAAAATTTATACCTATATTAATAACTAGTTTTGTTCTTTTTAAGTTATTCCACAAGGTCAGGCATATGTACAAGGTAAGTAACAACTAACAGTTAAAGGCTGAAATTAACTATAATGGTATTATTATAACGGTTATTTAATGTATCTAATTTAATGAAGCATTGTAAAGATGGAAGTCGATTAGTTAAATGTATTATACTTATTTTCCTCACACAATTACACAACATGAATGCGACTATAAGTTATTGGATATCATATTGATTCCTTTTTTTGTTCTTAATGTTCAGTTTTACAGAATATGCTATTATTTTTACATAATTGAAATTTAAAAATATTTACATATTTTCTTTACAAACTTACATATGCTAGTATAAAGTCATATCGATAATTAATATTGTTTTTTTATATTAAGTCATACACAATTCGCCTAATGGAAAAAGTACATAAGAGACAATTAACAGTTACATTTTAATTCCCCCAGTAAATTTTTCTCTAACTTTTCTAAAGGCATCTTCTATGTATAAATTACAAACAGTGGTTGTAAATTACACCCTTGTCTCACTACTTATTTGATTTTAATTTATTTCTATTCATATCTTTATTCCTCTTATTCCAGAACTACTTAATTCAAGTACAACTTCTGTGTATCCTTCTATCTTTATAGTATATGCCAAGTGATATTGGTGCCTAATTTGGTTCTTTATATTTAGGCCAACAAGTTATGCAGAATGGACAAGGTAAATAACAATTGACTGTTAAAGGCATGGCATACATTTTTCATAGTTTTTACAATGATTTGAATCGATATTTAACATTTTGTACCGTATACAGATATGCATTGAAGACTATGAAGTTCATAACTTGAATGCATTATACATTTTCCTACTTACTACGTATGAGACTATAAATTAATTATGACTTCAAATTGTGTTCTGTTTTTTATGTTACAAGTCGTGCCATTTTATTCACAAGGTTCTCAAAATATTCAACAATGTAAGTATCATCACACAATAAATGCAAATTAAATATATTTCATATATGCTTTACACTCTTACATATGCCAGTATAAAGTCATATGGATAACTATTATAGTTATTTTTATTTTTTAGTCCCCCAAAATCCAGCATATCCGCAAGGTAAGTAACAACTAAAGGTTAAGTAAGGAGACGTTTTAAATTTTCCTTGATTTGTTGTATAAATAGTATAAGTTTTAGTTTCTATGTGAAGTTTAAAAGGTAATGATTTTACAATGATGTTTTTATTTTAATTTTTCCAAAGAGAGCAAATCATTATTTAAAAACAATGAAATATTTAAAATTTGGTATTATTTTACCAATTACATTTTTATTTAATCATTTTTCATATATTCTTTTACTTCTGTTTTGGGGTAACTTTTCAATAATTTATCATTATAAATATTTCCTCACACACTTATTTATGCATGTAAGAATTCATATTTATAGTCCATTTTGTTCTTTATGTTTAGGTATGCAATTGCAAACTTATCCACAAGGTATGTAACAACTAACAATATTATTAGTAAAGTATTGTTTTCATAATGATACTATTATATTTATTTATATATTCGTGTGCTGGACCAGCGGTTTCTTCAAATGTACTGCCCCGATTTTGATCGAATTTTTTTCTTTACCATCTACCAACAGGATCACGTACAAAGCGTTCATAGTAAATTGATTCCTTCACTCTCAGTTACAATTTAGTAACTATGCATGTTCTGCATGCCGTTACCTCACAATGTAATGACATACTGTATTGATAGAAGTTGATTATGCACTATAAATATGTTTTCCACAAACTTATGTATGCGACTATAAATTCATAGTAATAACTCACTTTGTTCTTCGTATTTAGGTATGCAAACTGTGCCATATAATCCACAAGGTATGTAACAACATACAATTAAAAGCACGTTTTACAAGTTTACTTTTTTTTGTAACCTTTGTGATATGTACAAACGTTTCAGATTGTAGAACTATTGTTTATTCCGAAAAGATAAAATATAACGTTAAAGTGATCCCCTTTATTTTGAGGAAATAAAACAGAGTATTGTTTTATTCAATCTACAAAATATTTAAATACTGAGCGAGAATAATGAATTTTTATTTATTCTTTTACTTATGTTTTGGGGTAACTTTTAAATTATTTTATCATCATAAAAAGTTCCTCGCACTCTTATGTATGCATGTACAAATTCATATTGAAGCTCATTTTGTTGTTTATATTTAGGTATGCAAATGCAAACTTATCCACAAGGTATGTAACAACTAGCAATATTATTGGTAAAGTATTATTTTCATAATGATACCATTATATTTATCTCTATATTCGTGTGCTGGACCAGCGGTTTCTTCAAATTTACTGCCTCGATTTTGATCGAATTTTTTTTCTTTACTATCTACGAACAGGTTTACATAGAAAGCGTTCATAGTAAATTGATTTCTTCACTCTCAGTTACAATTTCATAGTACCTATGTGTGTTGTGTATACCGTTACCTCACAATTTAGTGACATTTTGTATTGATAGAAGTTGATTATGCACTATAAATAAAACTTCTTTATTTATGGTTAAGGTGTTATATTAGATGATAACATAATGTGTTGGTGGAAGTTAATTAATTAACCTAATTTTGTTTTCTACATTTAGTCCAACAACAAATGCAATTTCAACAATGTGAGTAATATCTAACATTAATTAAAGCACGTTACACATTTTATTTTGTTATTTATGAAAATTTGATATAATTAAACTTTGATGCGACCTGAGCACATGTAGTTTTTGTTTTTGCCATCAAACTGAGATATAATAATTCCCACAGTCCTAGTAGCTCAGAATAGAATAGTTTTAACGTAGGTGTTCAGAATGATTCAAAGGATTTGATATATCAAATAATATAAAAAACGATGAAAATTCTATACCAAAAGACGTGTATAAAAAATGTATGCATCCAATTTTAGGGTTTTTTAATTTTTTTTTTTTTTTCGGTTATTTATTCTCAGGTAGATAACCGGAATGATATATTTTATGATTAAGGTATCAAATTAAATGATAGTATAATGTGCTGACAGTAGTTACTTATTTGAGTGGTTACCAGTATTTGTTTAAGCGTGGGTTAATAATAATAGCAAATTTTGTTTTCTATATATTTTAGTCCCACAACAAATGCAACATCAACAATGTGAGTATTATCTACCCACTATATTTATGGTTAAGGTATCATATTAGATGATAATATTATAATGTGTTGATAGTAGTTACTTACTTGAATGTTTGTTAATACTGATACCTAATTTTGTTTTCTACATTTAGTCCAACAACAAATGCATTATCCACAAGGTAAGTAATATCTAACATTTAAATAAATTGTGTTTTGTTTTTTTTTTATAAAAATTAGATATATTAAAACTTTGATACGACCTGAGAAGGTTTTTTTTTTGTTTCTGAAATTTATTAATCTTTGCCACATTGATTTCAATTGTTATTTCCTATTTGTACATTCTACAAATTCGCATCGTAGGGTATTGCTTGAGAGCGATTTTTCATCACGCTGAGGTGTAATAATTTAAACAGACCTAGTAGCTTAGAATAGAATAGTCCTAACGCAGATGTTTAGATACAATTGCATACAAAAAAATTCGCGGTCTCATAATAATATATTCCCAGCTTACTAATCTATACTAACATACATTTTGTTAGGAATGATTCTATGTTTTTTTTTTTATCAGATACAATAAATTATGAAAATTATATATAAATAACATGTGAAAAAAATGTATTCATCCAATTTTGGAATTTTTTTCGATTATTTACTTTCAAGTTGATGTTCGAAATAATTATCTATCTACTGTATCATTTAAGATGATAATAAAATGTGTTAAAAGTAGTTGTTTACTTGAATGTTTACCAATATGCGTGTTACCGTTAGTTAATACTGATATTTACCTAATATTTTTTTTTATATTTAGCTCCACCACAACAAGTGCGTTATCAAGGTAAGTAACAACTAACATTTAAAACAAGTTACACATTTTATTTTGTTTTTTATAAAATTAAATATGTTTAAACTTTGATTCGAGCTGAAAAGGTGTTGTTTTTACTATGATATGTTTTAATATTACTTACTACTACTACTCACTGACATTTGTTACTTTCTTACTCTACTGGTTTATACTGTGCTTAGATGAATTATTAAAACTTAAAGTGATAGAATCAATGTGAATCTTTGGTTCAAACCATTACAGTCCAAACCAAGCACATTACGAAGGAATTCACTTACCAAAAGTACGTCTTAATAAATACATTTCAGATGTTGAGCCGCATTGCCATCACTCTACAATTGTCTATCATCACGACCCTCAACCTTCTCATCATTCTCGTCGTCATCGTTCGCATCATCATTCTCATTGCCATGGTTAAGGTAACGTAACATAACCGTTTCATTTCCATAAACATACACACATAATGCTTGATGTGTTACATAATATGACAAACTTGTTGAATGTTCATGTCCATTTTTTTTCCATAAAATAAATTGGAACTTAGCTTCACTCGATAAAACATGCACATAAACACAAAAGCCAGCACACATTTAGTGTGTATTAAAAATTAAAAGCCCAGTGTAAATATTTGTTAAATAAACGTTTTAGCTAAAAAAAATTGTACTCAAATTTTAATTTTATCAAAACTACCTAAAATATTATGTTCAATTAAGCAAACAAATCAATTAAACGATAGTTCTGTAGGGTAACTGTTAAAAGTCTTACTATGACACTAACACTAACAGTGTCCTTGTCTTAATAATGATGATGTATTTTTTTTTTAGCTACAGAAAACACTCAAATGTGTCGGAAGAATGCCCAGTTTTGTTTCCAGTACAATATAATTATTTTTTGTCTGTAAAAACTTTTAAAATTTCACTAAATTGCAATAAAATCAATAAACTTTTACTATTTGGAAAATTAAAAATATATCGTTTTACATTTGTTATACCTATTGCTATTCACCTGATAAAACATTTATTGTTGTTAAAGTTAGATTGATTGGTTGAAATGGAAAAGGCAATTAATGTGATTGGTTGAGGTGCGTTTTAAGTGGTTTGTTTTGTGACAATGTATTGCTTATAAGTGTTGCAAACATGTTCGAAACAACAGGCAGCAAAAATATTTCCTAAAGCCTTATTCCTTATTATATTGTTTTAAATTTTCATTTACAACATTTGATTTTTGACTAAAAATAAAAGCGTAGGCCCTATTTAACTAAGTCCCTAATAAATTTATGAGATAACATTTCAGATAATGTTTTATATTGTAAATTTCTTTGTAATTTGAATTCGGTTAGATATTAGTGTGTGACACATACTTTTCATAATACTTAGCTCAATGAATTTGGACTTTGTTGAATAGGGCCCACGCTTTTCTTTTTAGTCAAAAATTAAACATGTTTAACATTATTTAAAACTGTAGTTAATTTTCGGTTGTTTTTTAAATAATTGATATTTTAAAAAAAATGTGCTACAATTGATTGGTAAATTATTTTTGTAGTAAAATTATTTTAGCTTCGATGCAGAGCTGATGTACTTTTATAATACTGGAACAAATTCCTTCGAATAGTAACTCTATAAATCACAAATTTCATCTGGTTGATTCAACTTCAAAGTATATCATTTAATTAGACACAGTAAAATCATAATATGGTAGGGTTTGGTTAATTTAAGATAATCAACCTGAGATTTTATTGGAAAAAAAAAATACAAATAAAAATTACCGAAAAATATATCTATGATAATGAGAGCTGTAAAAGAGATAGCAATTTTATGCATAATGTATTAATGAGAACTTTTGTTATTCTGAAAAAACCCTGTAACGTTGTACGATGGAGAATCTTAAAGTATACATAGAAATACTTAAGTAATCACGACATACATTATTTAAGAAAGGGTTATCCAGACTATGTATTATGTTATTTGCACAAAAACAAAACGATAACTGTTTCTATAAGACCTGTGAGACCAGGTCAACGTTATTTTATCAATAAACAATTTAGATCAACGTTGAAAAAAATAATAATCCAATACTTCAAATATTCCAAATATGTATTTTTCAAACAGAATAAATCAAAATGTTCAATAATATATTATCATACTGAGTCTCAGCCCTCAAGTCAAAAAATCATCGTTGACAACATTCCTTATAAAAGCAACCAAGAAGCATTAAAAGCAAGCAGAAGCCCAATGCCTAATGAGGATCTTAGGTTTTATTAAACGAAACTGTTGGGAGTTCAACAATTTGTCTTGTTTGAAGATACTTTACTTCTTGCCGGTTCGTTCTATTTTTGAGTATAGTTCCGAAATTTGAAACCCTATTCAACAAGATTTGATTAATATGCTTGAAAATTTCCAGCAGAAATTCCTAAAGTTTTTAAGACGTACATTTTTTTTACCTGAAAATGCCTAGAATGATGTTTTATTGGTTTACAATTAAATTTATCTTGCCACTAGAAGACTATAAAATGACACAGCATGCAATTTTAAGCTATTAAATGGATTTCTTGTTTGTCCTGAGTTTCTTATGACAATAGTACTCTACCCTTTTACGCCCCTTTCGGTCGCCAAAACTACAGCTGTTGTAATAACCCAGTGAATAAAATGCTGAGTTTTGTGATTAATTTTGTAGTTTAGATTTGTTTGTTCTAAGTCTGATTGACGCTTGAGTGTTTTGAATTACTCAGCTTGAATCAAATATAGATTATAAATTGAAAAAAAAATAAAATTAATACAAATAAAATATTATTTAAATTATTTAACTTTGAAGACCAATGCTGAAGAATATGAATGATTGAATACAATGATAAGAAATCTACTAACTATAATATAAGATGACAATAAATGTGGACATCCTTTATATTTTTGAAATTATTGAAATTTCAACTTTAGGGCAGGAGGAAAGGTGGAGTGTAGTATTATTGTTATCTGCGTGCATTCCCCAACCGCACTTCCTCTCCCATCCTAACTTAAAAACTCTTAGAACTTTAAAAATAGTTATCCGAAACTGGTTATTGACCAGTCGAAATTTTTAGTACTTTATTCTCAATTTAAAAGGTTAATAAAATATGTACGTTACCATTTAAGCTTCAAAAGTTGCTATCAAAAAAACTATGTTGGGAGGGGGGTAAAAACAAAAAAAAATTGAGAAAAATTTATATCACATTGTATAAAAACAATATGAAAAAAATGTGTATTTCTTATTAAAGTGATTCACGATAAGTATGTATGTTATTGTATGTTATTAAATAAATGTATGTTATAAAATAAATAACTATGTGTACAAATTATACACTGTTTGTTGCATACTTTAACGATTCTATTTAGCGTAAGTAATACTTGCTGAAACACTTTTGTGTGTTATGTTCATAAGTAATTTTTTTTTATTAAGTTCTCTATCGTACAACTCGGTGGTCTTTTTACAGTGACAACACGACATCATTAAAATATGCGAAAAATGGCTATTTATTTTATAGTCGTCATTGTTTTGGAAATAACATTGGGTAATATGATTTTTTTAATTAATTTTTTCCATTACTCATCATTCCCAGGTTGATTATCCTATTTAATTTAAATAAATACACTATAGTTATGAATTATAAGTTTGATAGAAACTTTTGAAATTTAAATGGTAACGCATACATTTAATTAAATTTTTAAAACTAGAATAATGTACTAAAAATGTTGACTGGTCGATAACCAGTTGGTTTTTTTAATTTCATGTTTTCTGTATATCGCTAATATTTTATGTGTCGTGCAGAACTAGAGTCTGAAAGTAAACACTAAAAGAACATCTGCTGTGACCCAAACACAATAACAAGTTCTTCGGAAATCGTAAACATTTTTGTGGACAGCTGTGACCTATGAAAAAAAAAAAAAATTATAATAATTACAAACAAAAAACAACTTATTTTTGCTTTGGTGGGTGTTTTGATAACTTACATTTTGCCACCACTTAATTCCAAATGATTCGTGCCAATGCAATCAGTTATGTTTAAAAGTATGAATTCATATAATAATCACTTAATTTTGTTCTATATACTTAGTCACGCAAGGTATGCCAACATTTCAACAAGGTAAGTAACTATTGGCAAGTGTGTTACATTTGTTTTTCTTTATTTTTGTGCTAGACATTTATTACTTAGTATATTACTAAATAATAGAAGCTATTAATAAGTTAATTATTCAAAAAAGTTAGCACCGGTATAACAATATGAAAACGTGTAAAAAAATTATATATATCAGTATTTATTTTTTTTTCATACCATTATACTTCTCGAATATTAGCAAACAATCATTTGATTTGTATAATTTGTCAAACTAGGCGGTGCTTCGTATGAAACAAGCAGAGCAATGGGTCAGTATAGACTTAAGAGTATAATCTTAATGACATTATAATGCTATGAGAAAAGTTGAGAACTTGAATGCATTACACATATTTTCTTTTCTCACAAACTTATGTATAATGTGTTGTATACACTTAGTAATTATTTTATCAAATGAATATGATAATAATTATTTGTTTTCTTTATACTTAGTACCAGTTGTGCCATATGCAGAAGGTAAGTTACAACTAACTGTATTTTATTTTACTTTTTGTATTTTCCATCACAACAACCTCTAAAGGTTGATTTCAAAATTATTTTAGTCTATATTTAGTTTTTTTAACCATATACGAATTCATACCTTTTTATTTGGGAGTGTTTTTTTAAGCTCTGTTATAATAATGTAGGCTCCGAAATTATCAAGAAACTTAAGGTACTTAAGTCGTATACTTAAACATATTTACTTAAAAATATTTTTCCACATATGTACTCATTTTTGTACAGATAAATTTGTATAAATACATTTTTAAAAACATTTTTAGTCCTATTTAGTCATGTTTTTGACATATTGTACTGATACAAGCGAATTAATTAAAGGGATTATATTATACTTTTTTTTCCTAATTAACCTATGCATGTCTGTATAAACTAATTTTGACACTTAATTTTGTTCTTTATAAATTTTAGTCCAAGAAAATTTGGAAAATATTTTTTATAAATCAACGTTAGCTAGATACATTACTTACTACATACATATCTTTGCTAGTATAAATTTACATTAGTACATATGTTTTGTTCTTTATTTTTCTAGTCCTTTCAAATGCCCCTAATTCACAAGGTAAGTATCTAAACATGTTCATGTTGATTTTTCCAAATTAATTATATACTATAATTATGTCTTTGTCATATTGTACTGATGTACTTATGTAAGAAAGTATAAATTAATTTTGATACCTTATTTTGTTCTTTCTATATTTTAGTCCAACAAAATGCATATTCACAAGGTAAGTAACCAGATAAAAATCTGAGATGTTTTTGTTTTTAAAATTAACAGGTTTCTCTCTTATTTTATTTTATTAAGTAGAACAACGGTAACTTCTAAATGGTTCAATTCAAAAGTATTTTAATCGATAAATTCCTATTTTTACCTAATTTTTTTCTTTATACATTTAGTCCAACAAAATGCGGCATATTCACAAGGTAAGTAACAAGATAACGGTTTGAGATGGTTTTGTTTTTAAAATTAAGAGATTTCTCTCTTATTTTGTTCTTTTTTTTTGCATCTGAAACCACAAAAACCTCTTTAATGGTATAATTCAAAATTATTTTAATCGATAATTACTTTTTTAACCATCTAAAAATTGATATCACATTATTTGAGAGTGATTTTCATAACTCTCAGTTATAATAATGCAGGCTCCGAAATTAACAATAAAATTAAGTTATGGCTTTATGATAGTTAAGTTGTATACTCGAATGCATTAAACAAATTTTTTTTACACGCTTATTTACACGAGTGAGAACTCATATTGATACCTATTTTTGTTGTTTAGGTTTAGATGATCTACAGGATATGATGAATTCGAATTCCACACCAGGTATGGCTTTATGGTAGTTAAGTTGTATACTTGAATGCATTATACATTGATACATCATTTTGATCTTTAGGTTTTGATGATCTACTAGGTATGAAGGCTTTGGAATACAAACCAGGTAAGCAACGACTTATAAATACATACACTATTTATTTAAAATTCTTATGCCATTATGACAATTACAAAAGACAATAGCAGAAACACGTTTTGATAGGTTACTATGAACTTCAACAATTTGTGAACTATTAGTTAAATTTTATCTTATGTGATGAGTCTCTATAACATGTAGAGTCTACTCGAACATTAGCCTCATTTTACTTCAGTATAAGATAACTGTATAATAAAAAATTATTTGTTTTTATTTTGTATATTTTTAAATCAACATTAGCCGCTCCAAGTGCATCAAGTGAATCTAGTGCATCAAGTGCATCAAGTGCACCAAATTCACAAGGTAAGCAACAACACGGTGTAAATTTTACTTAGTTTTTTTCCACAAATGAAATATATTCAGCTTCTATCCGGAGTTAAGAAGGTACTACTTTTGTATGATATGTTTAAATTTCTGTGACTGGATCAACAATATTTTTTAATTTATCACCTCTATGTTAATTTTAATTAAAATTGTATAGAGTATTTTATTTGATGTTTGTATTTATTTATTGTATACCGGCTTTTAGTGTAGGAATCATAAGTAGACTAATGGTATGGTTAGAGTATATATTTATTATGATTTTCTTTTTGAGTATTACACGGACAATGCTTAACCAAATATTAAATACAAGTTAAGAATTATTTACTTAAAAAGCTTCAACGAGATAACTATGAAAACACTTTTTCTTGAAATACATATCTACTTGTCTTTTTTCTTAAGTACAATTTATTATGTCACTATATATTTTCTTTACACGATAAATACACTGATATATAATTTTATTTCTAACATTCAAATATATATGTTATATTCCTTGTACATTTTTGTATACTAGTAAAATTGTTAGTAAATACCAAATTTTGATCTTTATATATTTTAGCCCAGCCAACATATACACAAGGTAAAAAGCATTTTAACGGCACGTTATGAATTTTATTTAGTTTTTTTAAGAAACCATTTCCATTTAAACTACGATTTAGAGATGCGATGTTATTGTATCTACAATTAGGTGATTTACTTTTAATTTAATTTCATTAATACATTTTTTTTGTATCTTGACCCACAATTAGTGTTTGCCGATCTAATTAATTTTAATTGATATTAAATACCTCAACAGCTCTCACTTTTGCATAGAAGTGTTTAATTAGGAAATGATTTCATAACTCTCAGTTGTATTAATTTATACAGTCGTGTGACTACATCAATATCTGTATTCTCCAAAATTAACAATAAACTCTAATTTGACTTAAAATTCTCATGTTGATTTTCTGAAATAAATTATATACTATACCTACGTCTTTGACATACTATACTGATATTCTTATGTAAGAAAGTAAAAATTCATATTGACCCCTTATTTTGTTCTTTATATTTAGCCACACAAAATGCGTCATATTCACAAGGTAAGCAGCCAGATAAGGATCTGAGATGTTTTTGTTTTTAAATTTAAGAGATTTTATAATTTTAACCACCTACAAATTTATATAGCTTTATTTAGGAGAGATTTCACAAATTTCACTTATAATAATGTAAACTCTGAAATTAACGTTCTAAATTTAAAGTGTCTAAGTTGAGTACTTATAAATTTATTCTCACATAAGTACTCATCTTTGCTCTTCCAAATTTGTGTAAATATATATTTTCTTATATTTCTAGTTCCTTCAAGTGCACCTCAACCACAAGGTCATTATATACTATTATTATGTCTTTGTCATTATGTATGCGAGTATAAATTCATTTTGATACCTTATTTTGTTCTATATATTTAGTCAAACAAAATGTGGCATATTCACAAGGTAAGTAACCAGATAAGGGTCTGAGATGTTTTTGTTTTCAAATTGAGAGATTTCTCTCTTAATATATTTAATTATATACTTGAACCATAATAACCTCTTAGTGGTTTAATTAAAAATGTTTTTAAATAAATATTTAATAATTTAACCACCAACAATAAAATATCGTTTTATTTAAGAGATATTTCAAAAAATTCACTTTTACTAATTTAAGCTCCCAAATTAACATTCAATGTTAAGGGTATCTAAGTTGAATACTTACACATATTTTTTCACATAGGTGCTCATCATTGTAATTATAATTTTCTATTTATAACATTTTTTTTAAATATTTCTAGTTCCTTCAAGTGTACCTCAACCACAAGGTCAGTAGCATCTAAAAATGACACTTTAATAGCAGCAAACATAGACGGTAGATATCCGAAATTATCTATCTACTAGAACCATTTTATGGTTAAGGTATCATATTAAATGATAATAAAATGTGTTGATAGTAGTTACTTACTTGAATGTTTACCATTATTCGTTTAAGCGTGAGTTAATATTGATACCTAATTTTGTTTCCTGTATTTAGTCCCACAACAAATGCAACAACAACAATGTGAGTAATATCTACCCACTATATTTATAGTTAAGGTTTCATATTAGATGATAATATTATAATGTGTTGATAGTAGTTACTTACTTGAATGTTTGTTAATACTGATACCTAATTTTGTTTTCTGTATTTAGTCCCACAACAAATGCAACAACAACAATGTGAGTAATATCTACCCACTATATTTATAGTTAAGGTTTCATATTAGATGATAATATTATAATGTGTTGATAGTAGTTACTTACTTGAATGTTTGTTAATACTGATACCTAATTTTGTTTTCTGTAAATAGTCCCACAACAAATGCAACAACAACAATGTGAGTAATGTCTAACATTTAATGTACATAATATATTTTATGTTGTTATTAATATAAATTAGGTATATTTAAACTTTGATGTGACCTGAGAAGGTTTTTTTTTTTGCATCTCAAATGTATTAATCTTCACTACATTGATTTTATTTGTTATTTCCTATTTGTACTTTTTACAAAGTCGCATCAAAGGGCATTGCTTGAGAGCGGTTTTCATCTCACTGAGATCTAATACTTCCCACAGTCCTAGTAGCTAAGAATAGAATAGTTTTAACGCATGTGTTTAGAATAATTCGATGGGCTACTTTTATCAGATAATATAATAAATGATGATTTAAATGTCTTTTATATGATACATAAAAGACATTTAGAAGAAATTTATTCGTCCATTTTTGTGGTTTTTGATATTGTAGAATTACTTTTTTTTTTAATTATTTACTCTCAAGTTGATATACGCAATTATCTATATAATAGCAGCAAACATTAATTGAACTTGTACTATTTGTCGGATAAGTTGGAGGTAGTTTGACTGAATCAAAAGACAGGATGTAGACTTAATAGTTATATACTCTATACATAAATGTGTACTCAACTAAGGCAGAAATTCTTACGTTTACTAGATTAATTTTATATAGTATTAAAGTGGTCTAAAAATTGTTTTTCTTTAATTTATGCTTTTAACCCACCTTTATTGCTTTTTATAGTAAAAAATTAAGTTTAAAAAAAATATTTTTTGCTATCCCAAGCCAACAACTTATAATGTTTGATTATTTTTCTTTTGAGATTTAATAAATTGTTATATTTTTTTTGGCTTTCTTAACATAGGCTGCTTTAAGTTTGATTATTCGAAATTAACAATTTACTATAGTCTTGACTTTAGAGTATTTAATAAAATGGCATATTGTATTGATACAATTTGATTTTTTAAATGCATTACAATTACTTTTCTCACAAACTTATGTATGCGACTATAAATTCATATTGATAACTTATTATGATCTTTATATTATTTAGTCCAACCAAGTATGGAAAATGTTCAAGGTAAGTAACGGTAAAACTAGAGATTACATCTATTATGCATTTTCTTTGTGTAACACACACTACCCACACTAAACGAAATATATAATTATTTATTTTTAATATGTGAAATTTGCACTGATATTACAATATGAAAACGTGTAAAAAAAATATATTTCTAAATAATTATTTATTTTTATATCCCAGTTACCACTTGAATATTTGCGAACAATCATTTGATTTCTATAATTTGTTAAATTAGGTGGTGCTTCCATTGAAACAAGAGGTCAGTATAGACTAACCTTAATGCCATTATAATCCATTGATAACGATTGAGAACTTGAATGCATAACAAATATTTTCTTTTCTCACACACTTATTTATAATGTGTTTTATACATTTTGTAATATTGTTTTATCAAATGAATATGATAATAATTATTTGATTTCTTAATACTTAGTACCAGCTGTGCAATATGTACCGAGTAAGTAACAACTAACTATTTATCACAGCCAACTCTTTCAAGTATATCTTGTGAATTATATTTCTATTGTGTTTATAGTCAAAGCCATATACATATGTTGGTAACTAATTTTGATTGTTTTTTATAGTCCAAGCTCAGCCAATTAGACAAGGTAAGTAACAACTAACAGTTACATTTTTATTCCTCCTGTACCTACATCTATTTTTTACATATTTTAAAATAAATAAGACTGGGGAGTTGCCCTATTGTCTCCTATATTTTTCGATCATTATATCTTCCCATCTATTAATTTGTTTCCCATTTATCACAGCCAAATTCTTCATGTATATCTTGTGAATTATCCTTATATTTTTATACTAAATGCTCAATGCTATACACATACAGGGTGATCCACTTATCGTGAGCCACTCAATATCTTATGGGTTTAATAAGAAATAAACAATATGAATAAAAACAATTTTAATTCTTATTAAACTCTATAAGATATTGAGTGGTTCACGATAAGTGGATCACCCTGTATATTGATAACTAATTTTGTTTTTTTTTTTAAGTAATGCCACAAAGTCAAGAATATGGACAAGGTAAGTAAAAACCAATATAATTTGTTATTCCTCCATTACCTTCTTTTAATTTTGTTAAGAAATCGTCTATAAATAAAATAAATAAGGCCGGGGAAATGCCTCATTGTGTCCAATATTTTTCGATTATAAGTTTTTCCCATCTATTACTTTGTTTTCCATTTATCAGAGTCATAAACTAAATATTAATTTTGACTTCCAATTGTGTTCTTTTTTTTTTATGTTACAAGTTGTGCCATTTAATCCACAAGGTCCTCTAAATATACAACAAGGTAAGTATCTTCCCACAATATTCAAAGGCATGTCATACAATTTGTCTTGATTTGTGATGTGCTTGTAAGAATTCAATGTTAAGACCTAATTTGTTTTTTTATATTGAACCCTACTTAATCCCGCATATGGACAGTAAATGTAAAAATTAATAGTTTGGTTATAAAAATTCCGAGTAAAAGGTTACTCGAACTTTTTATAAAATTAAATTCTTTTAAAATTCTAATTCTAATTATGATTTTCCTAATGCAAATTAAATATATTTCATATATGCTTTACACTTTCACATATGCTATTACAAAGTCATATGAATAACTAATATAGTTCTTTTTATTTTTTAGTCTCTCAAAATTCAGCATACCTGCAAGGTAAGTAACAGCTAAAGGTAAAGTAAGGGGACGTTTTAAATTTTCCTTGTTATTTTGTGTAAATAGTATAAATTTTAGTTTCTATGTGAAGTTTAGAAAGTACTGTTTTTACAATGATGTTTTTATTTTTTTTGAGGAAATAAAATATTCAATATTAAACCTGTGATTTTTTTATATGACTAGTAAAATAGTAAATCATTATTTAAAAACAATGAAATATTTAAAATTTGATATTATTTTATCAATTACATTTTTATTTTTATTTAATCATTTTTCATTTATTCTTTTACTTATGTTTTGGGGTAACATTTAAATAATTTTATCATTATCAATATTTCCTCGCACACTTATTTATGCATGTAAGAATTCATATTTATAGTCCATTTTATTCTTTATATTTAGGTATGCAATTGCAAACTTATCCACAAGGTATGTAACAACTTACAATATTATTACTCTCAGTCATTCTCAGTAGTACTTATGCATATTCTGTATACCGCTATCTCACAATTTAATGACATACTGTATTGATAGAAGTTGATTATGCACTATAAATATGTTTTTCACAAACTTATGTATGTGACTATGAATTCATAGTAATAACTCACTTTGTTCTTCATATTTAGGTATGCAAACTGTGCCATATAATTATCCACAAGGTATGCAACAACATACAATTAAAAGCACGTTTTACAAGTTTACTTTTTTGTAACCATTGTGTTATGTACAAACGTTTCAGTTGTAGAACTTTGTTTATTCCGAAAAGATAAAATATAACGTTAAAGTGATCCCCTTTATTTTGAGGAAATAAAACAGAGTATTGTTTTATTCAATCTACAAAATATTTAAATACTGAGCGAGAATAATGAATTTTTATTTATTCTTTTACTTATATTTTGGGGTAACTTTTAAATAATTTTATCATCATAAAAAGTTCCTCGCACTCTTATGTATGCATGTACAAATTCATATTGAAGCTCATTTTGTTGTTTATATTTAGGTATGCAAATGCAAACTTATCCACAAGGTATGTAACAACTAGCAATATTATTGCTAAAGTATTATTTTCATAATGATACCATTATATTTATCTCTATATTCGTGTGCTGGAACAGCGGTTTCTTCGAAATAAACAAATTTCGAAAATATAACGTTAAAATGATTCTCTTTATTTTAAGAAAATAAAATAGAGTATTTTTTATTCCATCTACAAAATATTTAAATACTGAGTGAAAATAATGGATTTTTAATTACTTTGTCAAATAAATTGGTGTTTGAAATAAATTTTTATCAACATTTTTAAGTATATACATATTTTTTATTTCTTGAGGATTTTGGTACTGTTGTATTCTCTTTTTTCCACGATCATTTTTTCTCAAGTTGATATCCGAAATTATTTAACTTCTATATTCATGGTTAAGGTATTATATTAGATGATGATACTGTGTATTGATAGTAGTTACTCACTTGAATGTTTAACCAGTATTCGTTTAAGCGTGAGATAATATTAATACTTAATTTTGTTTTCTATATTTAGTCCAACAACAAATGCAATACCAACAATGTAAGTAACATTTAAAGCACGTAATACATTTTATTTGGTTATTTATAAAAATTAGATATATCTAAATTTGATTAACATTCAATGAAAATTGTATATAAAAGACATGTATTTAAAATTTATTCATCCGTTTTTGGGGTTTATGATATTGTTGTATTTCCATTTTTTTCGATTAACTATTCTCAGGTTGATATCAGAAATAATCTACTAACTATGGTTATAGTTAAGGTGACATATTAAATAATAATTTAATATGGTGATAGTAGTTACTTATTTGAATGTTTACCAGTATTCGTTTAAGCGTTAGTTGATATTAATACCTAATTTTGTTTAGTCCCACAACAAATGCAACAACAAATGCAATGTGAGTAATATCTATCATTTCAAGCACTTAATACATTTTATTTTTTTATATTTCTATAAATTAGATTTATTTAAATTTTGATGTGGCCTGAGAAGGTATCATATTAAATGATAATATAATGTGTTGATAAAAGGTACTTCTTGAATGTTTACCAGTATTCGTTTAGGCGTGAGTTAATATTAATACCTAATATTTTTTTCTATATTTAGTTCCACCACAAGTGCAATATCAACAAGGTAAGTCACAACTAACATTTTTAACATATTACATATTTTATTTTGTATTTTATAAAATGAGTTAGGTATGTTTAAACTTTGATGCGAGCTGAAAAGGTATTGTGTTTACCATGATGTGTTTTTATTTTGTGCTTGAATTTAAAGTGTTGGGTAAAATCACTTGTAAACAAAAGCTTCAAAGCGAATCTGTGGTTTAAACCAGTACAGTCCAAAACAGTATGAAGGTACTATACGAAAGTGGGTAGTAGTAGTAAGTTATAATAGTAATTATAATATGTGAGTGAGTAAATGAGGACCAGTGAAACTAATGACAATAATGTGCATAAAAAATAATTTCTAGTATTGGGGTAGGTACGTTTAGGGTCCATCGTCTGTCTATACAAATTTGATTCACTCACACATAGCAACCTGGAAGATAAATGCGATCAAAGTGTAATTTGTCCTTTTTTTTAGGGGGGGGGGGTCCTTTTTTAAAAAAAGGTTGACTACAAATTTTTGAGAAAATAAAAACACATCATTGTAAAAATAATACCTTCTCAGCCTCGTATCGAGACTAAAACAATAAGTAATATTAACCTTGGTTTCTGGAAAAGATGACAATGCATGCCTACACTAATATGCAGGTCTTTTTTTTTTGGAATTTACTTACCAAAAGTACGTCTTAATAAATACATTTCAGATGTTGAACCGCAATGCCATCACTCTACAATTATCATTCGTACACCTCGTCATCATTCGCATCATCATTCTCATTACGGTTATTAAGGTAACGTAACACAACCGTTTCATTTCCATAACCATACACAAAGAATGTTTGATGTGTTACATAATATGACAAACTTGTTTAATGTTCATGTCAATTTTTTTTCCATAAAATAAATTGGAACTTATATTCACTCGATGAAACATGCACATAAACACAACAGCCAGCACCTGTTTAGCGTATATTGTAAATTAAAAGCCCAGTGTAAATATTTGTTAAATAATCATTAAGCTAAAAACAGTTGTACTGAAATTTTAATTTGATCAAAACTGTCTAAAATAATTTATACCGTCCAATTGAGCAAACAAATTCACTAAACGATAGTTCTAGATGGTAACTGTTAAAAGTCTTATTATGCAACATACACTAACAGTGTCCTTGTCTTAGGAATGATCTTAATAATGATGTATTTTTTTAGCTACAGAAAAGACTCAAATGTGTCGTAAGAATACCCAGTTTGGTTTCAAGTACAATTTAATAATTTTTTGACTGTATAAACTTTTAAAAGCCAACATTATAATATATTTCACTGAATTACAATAATATCAATAAACTTTTACTATTTGGAAAATTGAATATATAGTCATTTGTTATACCTATTGCTATTCTCTTGATAAAACATTTTATTATATATAATTTTATATAATAAGTTAGATTGATTGGTTGAAATTAAAAAGACAATTCATGTGATTGGTTTTGGTGCGTTTTAAGTGGTTTGTTTTGTGACAATGCAGTGTCTAAAGTAAACAACAGGCAGCAAAAATATATCCTTAATTCTTTTATTTTATTATATTGTTTTAAATTGTCATTAGCAACAACAAATAAATATTATTTTAAAGGGCGTTAGAAATTATAATAATAATTACCATAAAAACCTTAGCTTTACCCCCGTCAATTTATATCATTTAAAATAAATGTTGTGTAATAACCAATCTACAGTTTTGCATTTTTCTTTCTTTATTTCACTTTTCTGTTACAAGATTAAATGTGTGTTGGAACTCATTTTTTGTTGTGTAAGGGTTTTAATTATTAAGTCAGGGTCTTTAATTAGTAATGCTATTTAGGTATACGGCTAACATTTTCAGTTGAGTTAAAATTTCAATGTATTATACTTTGTTTTTCATAACTACTATTGCAATGCAAACAGATGAAAAACGCCTGTGTTCATCATGAATTTATAAGTACATTGAACAGTCGTGTTTTACAAAAACAATTTTCATAGTTTTTACCATTACAGTTTCTGTATGGCACGTGCACGCCAAATACAGCACAAAAATAGAACACAATATTAAATGTGTTGCTTAACGAAAATATGTTGCTCTTTGAATCGCGTTCTGCTTCGTGATTTATTATTTATTTATTTTTTGCATGGTAGTGCCCAATACTATATTTAACTTGATTGTATTGGAAAATCATAATAACACTATCTCAAGTTCATTATAAAATGCAAATTTGAGATAAATATTTCTATATTATGTTCTGCTCATGAACAATGCAACTGAATAGGTACCATAATTTTTAATGGCATTTTAAAATAACATGTCTTCACAATGACCTAGAATTACCTATGTACGAATTTATCGGTTTAAAAAAACAAAAAGCAACAGATATTATGTTACCGGTTCATATTTTTTATAAAAGAGAAGATACCGTATTACTTGATTGAATACTATAAAAAATATGCTTCTCGATAAGATACTAACAAATAATCATGTTTTTACAAAATACCAACAATATATACAAATATATCAGTTTAAAAAAAAAACAAATATGTAGAATAGCTCTTAGGCTTAACTGCTTTTGATCTTGTTAAATAAAAATCAATTAAAACCAAGTCAATGTCAAGAAACGCATAACATGTAAAATAATATTGAACTTGGAATGAACTGTTTATGTATCATCCCAAAAGAAGTTTTTTTTTAAAAATTGTTTTCCCAAGTAACCGCTGACCTGGGAGGGAACTGTTTACACACTTAGTTAGGTCCCAAAAGACCTAACTTAACACTTGAACAACATGTTCTTTATACAATTTTTTTTTTTTACAAGTTCAAGCTCAATCAAGCTATCAGAATACCATACAATATTTCGTTTTGGTCCACATTTTTTTAGTAATAAAAAATAATATAAATTCTAGCTAAATAAAAATTTTTCTGAAATAATAATAATATGGTCTTTATGTCACAATTGTCTATGTTTAAAATGTTAACTAAAATTTAAAATTTACTACGAATTAAACATCAAACAAGTATTGAAAAATGTATACACGTTTTTAAAATATTATTGCCGCTTTACGCGTTTCATAGTAGGTCGGTTTTAAATTTAGAAAGAGTTGTTTTCTATAGAAAATACACAGGTGTGGAGGCCTCTCAACGATGTTAAGGTGGATTTTGTTCAGTACAAAAACAACAAAAAAAAAAGTCCCAAAAACTAGAGGAAAGGTCTTATGATATTTTTGTTTGGATGGTCAACTGGTGTACTATGTCTTAGGAATATTCCATAAAAATCGCGAATTACTTAGACTCTTTAAAAAAAAAAAAAAACAGAGCATCTAAGCTAAGCTATTACTTCTGTATTATGTTTTGTCCCATTTAATAATTTTGATGCGATGCTGCGAAGGTCAATATTGAATGAACGCGTTTGTGCATTCTAAAAGTTCTTCTTCTTAATCTAAAAATGATGACCTCTAATTTATTGTTTCCTTCCTAATACTGGAAATTTTTGCTTTATTTGTAAACGTTTGCCATTTTGGCGCACCCTGTATATGCGGCACTTCGACTTATGTTCAAAAAATATTTGAAAAATATTTTAGACAAGTTTTAGTCTCAACGTTAACCGAAATGGTTTAACTGCTGGTGAATTTTTGTTTATTTTGTCAGTGTTTGCCAATAGTTATTTCTGTTGTTTGCAATAAATCACAACCATTTGCGTCATACTTTGGTGAAACCGTTTGTACAAAGTCGCTAAATAATTTACTATAGTTTCAGAAAAAGTTTTCTCTGCACGTTATCAAGTTGTCTATTGTAGGGTAATTGTTTTGAGTTTAAAACCTTCCTTCGCTGGTTATTACAAGATGCAAAAAAACATTATGTTTTTCATAGCTGCCATCATCGTGGAAATAGCATTAGGTAATGTTATTAGTGTATGTATTTTTAATCAATACTCAATATTGTCAGTTTGATTATCCGAAATCAACGATATACTACTTATAGCTGTGGCTAAGGTGTTATTAAGTGATAAAATGCAATATTGAAAAAAAGAGTTGCTTGTGAGAAGTTAATTACTTGAATGCATAATACATAATTTCCTCACAAACTTTTGTACTGTAATAATGAATTTATATTGATACCTAATTTTTTTGTTCATACTTAGTCACACAAGGTCAGCCAATTCCAAGTGAGTAACAATATAACTACATAATTATGTCAGTATAATACTATAAATATATGTAAAAATGAATACTACACAATTATCTATATATCATTATTTAACTTCAAACGCGATTCAATTTGTAAATTATGTTTAATTAGGTGGAGACACAACGGACAGAGGTCAGTATAATCGTTATAGTTAGAGTTACTCTTTAGGATTTTTTTAATTATATTTACTGGTTGAAATTGAAAAAAAATTAGGTACTTATTTTCTCCACTAAACCATGAATAAAAATTAAAGGTTTTTGGTTTTACAAGACGCTTTGCTTCGGGTAGGGGACAGTGGGAGAGTGGAGGAGAAAAAAATAAGTAGGGGAGGGGGGATGGGATATTAGACGTAGAGGGGAGGGGAGAAGGGAAAATAGGTAACGTGAAAATGGTATCGTTAAACTAATGACGCAAAAAGTGAGTGTGTGTGTGTTTAGCCCAAAAAAACATATCCAACATTTTTCGTTGGTATTAAATATGTATATATATATATATATATATTGATCTAGCACAATTTTTTATTTGAATATGAATTCATATTGATACCTAAATTGTGCGAGGACAATAGATATATATATACAGAGAGAGAGAGAGAGAGATTTATGACTTTAAAGTATGTAATTAAACCTACCTAATTTTGTTTTTAATAATTAGGTTTGGGTAAAGAGCAAAATAATCTTCCTATTGGTAAGTAACAACTGACAATTAAACACAGTTTATAAAATGCTTTTTTGGTCATTCACGACAATGCGAGGTTATTTGTTCGATTATCTGGGAATTTGCACCACAATTTCTTATGCTCATTTTCTCACGCTGGTGTCTCAGCAAGTCTTAAATGTATAAAGCATAATATAGTTCGCATCATCCTTACCCCGTTCTAAGTTTAAATTTGAGTTTTTGTTGAATTGGGTGTCAATTGTGGTCTTTTGGGGTAACTTCATTAAATAGCACGTGTCATATTTCTGCCATAAATTTCCACCATAACAATAGTAGGTATTGAACTTTGACGGTAGAGAGACATGCTTTCAGTTTATAATGTAGGTTGCGGAGCCGTATGTTTTGCCATATGTGTATGTATATAGCTTGGATTAATTTAAATTCTTGAACAATCCCTCTCGTTTCGAGCTAACGTTTCACACAGGTGCACGAGATTCTTATAGGATGAGCATGTACAGTTGTCATTGTCTTAGAATTTATGTCTTAGTATGAGTTCATATTGATAAGTAATTTTGTTCTTTATATCCCTAGTCCCACAAGGTTATCCATATACACCAAGTAAGTAACCACTACGAATTAAATACACGTTAAAACATTTCTTAATTTTGCTTCTAAATTGTATTATAAGTATAAATGCATTATACTTATTGCTTCTTCGTTGATTTTAATCCATAGTTAATACTTCTATCTGAGTTATTAAATACTTCATTGTATTTACAAGTTGATTACTAGTACAAATTATACATAGTATACACCTCGCGTACATATTATCTAATTTTATTCTTTATATTTAGCTACGCCGAGTGCGCCATATTACTCAGGTAAGTAACAGCTAACAAATAATAAATGTATCTTTTAAATAGTTGTACATTCAACTGATTCGCATCAAAGCGTATTACTTGACATTTGTTTTGTGAACTATATTTTATATACATACTAGCTTCGATGCAAAACTGAGGAGATATTGTTCTTACAATGTTGTGATTTTTTTTTATGACTAGAAATTATTACTACCACAATGGTTGTAATCGATATTTTTACAAATTTTACTTAGTTCTTTTTATAGAAAAATTGTATATCAACTTTTAATGGTAGAACGTTTTATTCCATACATAATAAATATTTTATTATGTACAACCTTATTATTCCTAGGAGATAAAACATGTAATATTGATCATATGCATTACAAAGTCAAATTATTGTTAAAAAATAATGAGTTATTTGAAATGAGCAATTTTTTTTTATCAAATTAAAGTGTATTTTTAATAAATTTGCGTTTACTATTTCAATCATTTACTTATTATTTTTGGGTGGTTTTAAATAGTTGTACCTCGTTTATATTCGTTTCTTCAACCTCGAGTGGGTTTAAGTGAGTCTGATTTATTGTCATATTATAATGATAATAGTTGATATATTAAATGCCCTATATTCAAATATTTTCCTCACATACCTATGTATGAGGGTATAAATTCATTTTGATACCCAATTTTGTTTTTATATTTAGACGAACCAAGGTATTCTCAACAACAAGGTAATAAACAACTAGTAGTAAGAGTCACGTTATACATTTTTATTCGTATTTTATACACCTACTTTGGTTGATTTTCTAAATTCAACCATCAAGTCCTAAATATAATAGTTTTGGCTTAAATGTATCTAATTAAATGAAGCATTTTATTGTATTAATATTATTTTGTTTTTATATTTTGCCGCACAAGATCTGTTAGGATATCCAGAACAAGGTAAGTGACCACCTAGCAATTAAAGTATAAATTCATATTGATACCTAATTTTGTTTTTATATTTAGGAGCATCAAAGTATTCTCCAGAACAAGGTAATCATTAACTAATAGAAAAAGACACGTTGTACATTTTAATTTGTTTTTTATACACCTTTCTTCTTCTGAAATTCAACCATCCAGTCTTAAATATAATAGCTTTCGTTTAATGTATCTAATTAAATGAAGCATTGTATTGTAATAATATTTATTTAATTTTTTTATATTTAGTCGCACAAGCACAACGTGTGTTAGGATATCCAGGTAAGTATCACCTAGAAGTTAAAAGCAAGCTATACAATTTTACTTGTTTTGTTTTTTGTACAGTTTGTATAACATTTTGAATTGTAGAACATTTTTATTCCGGAAAGATGAAATATTTCATTAAATAGAATTTTTATTACGATGGAGGAAAACTTAAATGGTGTACTTAGTAAACTTCCAAAGAGTATTTTATAAATAAATGCTAATAAATTACATATTTTATTATACTTATGTCCTTCACTCATTTACATAATTTGAAATCATATTTATTCCTTTTTTTTTCTTAACGTTTAGGTGGTGCATCAAGTTCGACACCATATCCAACACAAAGTAAGTATCGTCTAGTAATTATAGGCACGTTATAAAATTACATTGTTTTTTTATGTACATTTTGTAAAACCGCTTTGTTGGCCATCTTTGACCGGGTTCGGCACGATGACCTGTGAAAAAAATTGCTCCTTGCTCTTTGTTTTCTACTTTTAAAGACTTACCCGACTATTCGTTTCTTCGGTATTCGACTAAATTCTAGCTACTCTGCTTGTCATCAATTACGAGCAGGGGTCCCTCAAAGGATTGATATCATTCCCTTTCTCTATGCTACATTTACCCACGATATCCCGAAAACCTTTTATACCGGGTGGTTATAATATTCACCTATGCGAGCATGAACTTATATGCATATCTGATTTTATGTTTAGGACCACAAAGTAATGCGTATGGATCAAGTAAGTGACACCTAAGAAAGGCACTTTATAAATTTAATAACTTAGTGGTTATATAGATATAGGTAGATTAAAGTGGCCAATAGCAGACAATTCATTTTAAATTGTTAAATAAGTATATTAACGACTATAACATATTATTTTATTAATTAGTTTTATATGTTAACATTTTATAAATTTATAACATAATAGATAAATAAATATAACTTATTTCGAGGAGAAAATATATTGAGTAACAAATCAAAGTATTTTTTCATTTAATTACCGAACTTAAATAACTATTTGAAAAAAATTAATTGTTTTGCAATTTGTAATAATTCTCTTCTCTTATGGTTGGTTTTGCAGTTGGACATGCGCTCTCCACTCTTCCCTGTTCCCAGCTAATCTCTTCAGTTTGGTGTAGCTTGATAGTCTAATTAGGTCTGATTTTTGGCACATCATAACTTTAGTTTTTTGCCAGTTAATAATCAAATGGTATTTTTGGAAGCATCGCGCCATTTCTTCCAGTGCTTTTTCCAAGTCATGCTCGTTATTGGCCAGGAGTGCAATATCGTCAGCGAACCTTAAGATGGTTATTATTTCTCCGTCCACTCGTATGGCTATTTTATTTCTGAGAAGCGTTTCTCTAATTTCTCTAATAGGCTGTTCGACATAAATATTTATTAGAGTTGGCAAGAGTGGACACCTTCCTAATTATCGCTGTCTCTGTTTTGTCCGTTACTTTTATTGTAACTGATTGATCTTTGTATAAATTATATATTATCCTTCTATCTCTGTAGTCAGCTCCTATTCCTTTTAAAGTATAGAACATATGTGTTCCATTGCACCTTATCGAAAGCCTTTTCCAAATCTATAAACGCTATAAATATGTCTTTACTAAATTTTATTGGTTTTTCTACCAATATTCTTAAGCCTAAGATTGCCTCTCTAGTACCTTTGTTCCTTCTGAACCCGAATTGGTCGTCGCCTAACTCTTTTTCTACTATGTTCTCAATTCGATTGCATACTATCTTTACTAGGTTTTTGGCAACGTGTGCCATTAAACTTAATCGTTCTGAATTCACTACATGTATCGGCCGGTGCTCTTTTAGGTATAGGTACTTTAGGTATAATACTTTCCTTGAAGTCTCTTGTAATTCTGTGCTCGAATTTGGATAAGTTCCATTGCTATGACATCTACAGCGACTGATCTACCAGTTTTCATTTATCTTTAGAGTTTTATTATGAGTTATATAATGTAATAATTACTGTATGAAATAGATTTGTATATAAAATATAATTTTATTCCCAGTTTTAAAAATGTATATGTTATATTTTTGGAGACTTTCAAATAGTTTATATGAGAATATATGTTTAATATTATCTAATTTATATTCTTTAATTCCACAAGGTGAACAATTTGGAAGAGGTGCGTAGCAACTAAACATTGATTACACGTTATAAGTTTTACTTAGTTTTAGTTGTTGAGCTTAAGGTTTGATGTGGACACATAATTTTAACATAATCTGTACTGTTAAAATATTATAACGATAATAATATTTTATTACTAATAGAACAAAATAATACATAAATCTTTTTAAGAATAAACAGTATAGTATGAGCAATTAAATTAAGTATAGATAAAAAAGTAGGCTAGCGACAATAATAGCTAAGGTGAACAACTATATTTTATAATTAAATTTAGTTAATAATTATTTTGTGTAGTTGTTATGATTTTCTTTTGAGGTGGAAAACCATTTAGTAACAAACCTGAGTATTTTTTTTTTATTTAACTACCAAATTCAAAAACATTTTTAAGACCAATGAGTCACCTATTTGAATATCTTGAATGGTTAATACAAGTTTTCCTCATTAACTTACTTTTGCAAGTATGAATTTTTATTGACAACTAATTGTAAACAGAAAAACAACTAGAAACAAAAATAATTCATTAAATTCTACCTACTAATAGTTATGGCTTTAATATTTCTAATTAAATGATCCACTGTATTGTATTAATATTATTTTATTTTTGATATTTAGTCCCCCAAGGTCGGCCAGCATATCCACTACAAGGTAAGTGACATCTAGCAATTTAAAGCTTAATTTATTAAATGCCTTATATTCAAATATTTTCCTCACACATCTATGAGTGAGAGTATAACTTCATAATGATACCTAATTTTTTGTTTTTGTATTTAGAAGAAAAAAAGTATTCTCAAGAAGAAGGTAATCAACAACTAATAGTAAAATAAATGTTATACATTTTAATTCGTTTTTTATATACCTACTTTGGTCGATTTTCCTCTACTAAAAGTCAACTATATAGTCCTAAATTTAATAATTATGGCTTTAATGTATCTAATTAAACGAAGCATTGTGTTGTATTAATTTTGTTTTTTTATATTTAGTCGCACAACTTCTGCGAGCACAACAATCACAAGGTAAGTATCACCTAGAAGTTAAAAGCAAGTTATACAATTTTACTTTGTATTTTTTATACATTTTGTATAAAATTTTGAATTGTAGAATATTTTTATAATGGAAAGATCAAATATTTCGTTTAGTAGAAAGATGGAGGATAACTTAAATAGAGTACTTTTATGTGTACTTGGTAATTTTCATAGAGTATTGTATAAATAGAAGTTGATAAATTACATTTATTATACTTATTCTCTTTATTAACTAACACAATATGTGTGCGACTATGAAATCATGTTCATTCCTTATTTTGTTCTAATCGTTTAGGTGGCGCATCAAGTGCGACACAATATCAACCACAAGGTAAGTGTCATCTAGCAATTAAAAGCTTAATTTATTAAATGCCTTATACTCAAATATTTTCCTCACACATCTATGAGTGAGAGTATAAATTCATATTGATACCTAATTTTTTTTTTTATATTTTGAAGCAACACAGTTTACTCAAGACCAAGGTAATCAACAACTAATAGTAAAAGACACGCTGTACATTTTAATTTGTTTTTTATACACCTACTTTTGGTTGATTTTCTTCTTCTGAAATTCAACTATCTAGTCCTAAATATAATAGTTTTCGTTTAATGTATCTAATTAAATAAAGCATTGTTTTGTAATAATATTTATTTAATTTTTTTATATTTAGTCGCACAACTTCTGCGAGCACAACAATTACAAGGTAAGTATCCCATAAAAGTTAAAAGCAAGTTATACAGTTTTACTTTGTTTTTCTTATACATTTTGTATACAATTTTTAATTGTATAATATTTTCATTGTGAAAAGATAAAATATTTCGTTTGGTAGAAAGATGGAGGATAAATTAAATAGAGTACTTTTATGTGTACTTAGTAATTTTTATATAGTATTGTATTAATAGAATTAAATAGATTGTACCTATTGTCTTCACTCGCTTTCACCATATCACATATGTATGCGACTATGAAATCATAATATTGATTTCTTATTTTGTTCATTACGTTTAGGTGGTGCATCAAACATGTCACAATATCAACCACAAGGTAAGTGTCATCTAGCAATTAAAAGCTTAATTTAATAAATGCCTTATACTCGAATATTTTCCTCACAAATCTATGAGTGAGAGTATAAATTCATATTGATATCTATTTTTTTTTTGTATTTTGAAGCAACACAGTTTTCTCAAGAACAAGGTAATCAACAACTAATAGTAAAAGACACGTTGTACATTTTAATTTGTTTTTTATACACCTACTTTTGGTTGATTTTCTTCTTCTGAAATTCAACCATCTAGTCCTAAATAAAATAGTTTTCGTTTAATGTATCTAATTAAATAAAGCATTGTATTGTTATAATATTTATTTTATTTTTTTATATTTAGTCGCACAACTTCTGCGAGCACAACAATTACAAGGTAAGTATCCCATAAAAGTTAAAAGCAAGTTATACAGTTTTACTTTGTTTTTCTTATACATTTTGTATACAATTTTGAATTGTAGAATATTTTTACTATGAAAAGATAAAATATTTCGTTTAGTAGAAAGATTATAATATTGCATATGTATGTGACTATGAAACCATATTCGTTTCAATTTTTGTTCTTAACGTTTAGGTGGTGCATCAAACATGTCGCTATATCCACAACAAGGTAAGTATCATCTAGCAATTTAAGTCACGTTATAACATTTTACTTTAAGGTATTTAATTTCATAACATAGTGTATTAACAGAAGTTAATAACTTGGGTACATTATACATTTTCCCACTTACTATGTATGGGACAATGAATTTATTTTGACCCCCGGCTTGGTTTTTTTCTTAGGAATACAACAGGCATATCCGTCTCCTTATCCACAACAACGTAAGTATCATCTCACAATAAAATGCACATTATATAATTTTATGGATTGTATATACAAGTTTCAGTTATAGAATCTTTTTATTTACTTTGGATTATAAAAAATATTTTATTTAGTAGTACATTTTTATGATAACTTGTTGCTAAATTAGTAACGAATCTAAATACTTTTTATAAAAGCACCAGATACCAAATTATTATTTGAACGAAATGAGTTTTTTTTTTATAGGTACATAACTTCATTTACTTTTTTAAGTATACTCTCATATTTTTGGGTTTTTATTTATTATTTGTATCTCGGTATTTGTTGTTTGTTTATTCTCGGGTTGGCTATCCGGAAAGGTTATAGTTTTCAAGTCAATTACTTTAATACCTAATACATATGTTCTCACTCATTTACATATGTATGTAAAAACTCATATTGACACCTAATTTTATTCTTCATATTTAGCAATACAAGGACTACGTAAGTACTTACTACTTTACGTTAATAAGATGAATGCTTATTACATAACATTCCCACTTATTTACATATGTAATCAAAAACTCATATTGACACCTAATTTTGTTCTTTATATTTAGCCCAATTTACCCCACCATTATATCCACAAGGTAAGTACTTTTGGCTTTTAAGTTGATTACTTGAATGCCTAGTACTTATTTTCCTCACTCATTTACATATGTATGTAAAAACTCATATTGACACCTAATTTTGTTCTTTATATTTAGCCCAAATTTTTGCCCCACCATTTTATCCACAAGGTAAGTACTTTTGGCTTTTAAGTTGATTACTTGAATGCCTAGTACTTATTTTCCCCCTTATTTACATATGTAATCAAAAACTCATATTGACACCTAATTTTGTTCTTTATTTTTAGCCCAACAAGCATATGGACAAGGTAAGTACTTTTTGCTTTTAAATTATTACTTGTATGCCTTATACATATTTTCCTCACTCATTTACATATGTAATCAAAAACTCATATTGACACCTAATTTTGTTCTTTATATTTAGCCCAAATTTTTACCCCACCATTTTATCCACAAGGTAAGTACTTTTGGCTTTAAAGTTGATTACTTGAATGCCTATTACATATTTATCTCACTCATTTCCATATTATATATGTAAAAACTCATATTGACTTATAATTTTGTGCTTTATACTTAGCTCAACCATTCTATGCACTACATAAGTAAAAACTAATATTTAAAGGCGCCTTTTAGATATTTCTCATTGACACTATTATATAGTTTGTATACATTAAGTTTCAATACGAACTGAGAAAAAATCATTTTCAGATTTTATAAATTTATATAAAGTTTTAAAATGTTTTTATTTTATGTCTAAAACTCATTTCCTCTACTGTGATTCTAACAAAACCGCTGTAGTTTATCAGAAGCATAATATAATAATGTTTTTTTTAACGTAGATAAAAAACGAGGAAATTATGTTTAGTAGAAAACATTAAGAGACATCAATAGCGTATTTATCATTTTTTTCTAGGGGATGATATGCATCAAAAAACAATTTCCCCTGGTACCCTTGTGTGAATAATGCTCTTATGGCCGGGTCAAAAAAGGGGAATCATAATTTTTTCTTTAAAAGGATTGAAAGCTGTCTGTTTGACGTTTAAGACTTAAAAACTTGACATAATCGCCTGCTTAGGATAACCGATATCAATTTCATAAAAATAGTCTAGTTTATGTTCACAAATAGTTAATATTTATGTACAATTGTAGTGCAAGTATGAACTTATATTAATAACTTGTGTTCATTATTTTAGCCTCACATAGTTGTCCACCAGGTATGTAAAAATAAACAGCTTAGGGTAATGAGATATATACATTGATACTTGATTATTTTCTTTATATTTAGTCCATTATGATTATCATGGATCAAGTAAGCATCAACTAACCATTAAACGCGCGTTTAGATTTTACTGTAGTTTTTTTATATAAACAGTGTCAGCCATGACTTCAATGAGGAGATTAGAGGGTATAGTTCTTACAATGATTTGATGTAATTTTTTAGCTTGGAATATGCTTTAGCCTTGCCCCCCCCCCCTCTTCTCGAAAACGACACAGAATAGCGTCACTAAAGTAGTGCGAAAGTGGTGCGGTCTAGCGGTTGTTTGTACATATTATATTTGTATATAATACATCCTGGCCAATTAGTTTTTGTTGAATTATTTTTACTGTTTACAATAACGAGCACAATTAAATGAGTGGTTAAATTTACCCTAAATAACTGCCAAGGTGAATGTTGCCAATTAACCGATTAAGGCCAAATATTAAAAAACTACTAAAAAATATTCGGACACAACATAAAATTAAGACTATACTATCATCATATTTCGCAAGGAGATAAATAAGTCTACCAAATTTTCTGAAAAGTTGACCGAAATAATTTATGTATGGAGTGCAATGTTGATTTGGCGATTCACTTACATACATTTTTAATAATTATATTTAAGCTAATAAACTTAACCATTGAATTTATAAATTTCAGGTCATTGTCTTCCTCCTAGTCACCACCACCATCATAGTCGTCATGGTTGTTAATGATAAGGTAACTTACATTTAAAGTATTAATATATATAACATATATACAGGGTGATTTTTTTTATTACGAACCACTCAATATCTCATAGGGATTAATAAGAAATTAAGAAGATGTATAAATATATATATATATATATATATATATATATAATTATGTTTGTTTTATTACATAATATTGAAAATAATATAAATTTTCCGACACTAGGTAACAATACATTCCTTGGGATATTATTAAGGTAAAACTAACTTGTATATGCATAGCATAAAGTTTGTTTTTTTAAAGAATGTAGTGGGATTTTTTTTCGATAAAGAAAACCAAGTAACTTGAATAACCTATATTAACGCAAAAGCCAACATACATTTAGAGTCTTATAAATAATTATAATATTATTTGGTTTAAATAGTAATATTTTTTTAGCTATAAAAATGTCGTATAAAAATCTTTATCTAACTAAATTACCAAAAATAATTTATATCCTTCATATAACAAAAAACTAGGTTATAAAGACAGCACTAAAGTGTAACTGTTAAAATTCTAACTGTAACACACATACCTACACATTTCTTTATCTTAACAGTGGTAACATTATGCAAATCAATTATATTTCCCTGTGAATAATAATGATGTATTTTTTTTAGTTACAGAAAGGACTCAAACGTGTCGTAAAAATATCCAGTTTTATTTTCAATACAATATTATAATTATTATCATTCGATTGTCTTAGTTTTTACAAAATCAAAATTATATATTTCACAAAATCATAATAAACTTTTCATCTTTGGCAACCTTGTTTTTCATTAGTTATACATATTGGTATTCATCTTAAAAATAATTATTTGTTATTAAAGATAAGTTGTCTGGTTGAATTAATAGATAACAGCTGTGGTTGTTTTGGGTGCGTTTTTAATGGTTTGTTTTGTAACAATGCGTTGTCATTTAGTGTTATCACTCGGAAGATTCACTTTTGTAAGCTATAACAAGTAGTTTTTTGTACAAGAAATTATTTTGTCACATGCAAACACTGTCTAAACTTTAGTTTATAATTGGACAACTTAAGTGTCCAATGATGTCTCTTATGAAAAAGATGCATGTACAGTTTATATATTATTTAGCTGTACAGTTGGAGGTGTCATTTAACACTTTATCATACTTCATCAAAAATGTTAAAACATATTATATTATTGTGTTAAATACATTATAGGGAGAATGATAAAGAAACGTATTGCCTAGAACACAAGACATCCAATAATGTAGCATAATTTTTTTTAAAAACATGACTTGGAGCTATAATATATATTATAGCTTTATAGTTTTGTATTTTACTTTTGATTACTATTACAACATACACTTCATATTTAGCAATTAACCAGCAAGATTATGGAAACCCATTTTGGGACCTCTTTTTGAAAGATACAATAAAAATAATGATTCTGAAAGTCATCTTTTTTTTTTTAAACAAAGGCACAGTGATTTTTCTCATGAAAATGGCTATAATTCTTCTAAAACGTTTAATAAATTAACAAAGTACCTCTCAGCTATACAATAGTTAAAATCATTTTTAGTAGCTACTATAATATGGTATTTCATACCCTTAAGACAATATAATATGTATATGTACACAAGCAGGGTACTTAAATGTCTAATTAGTAATTGTTTGAGTACAACTAGTATTTTTCGTTTTAATGATATTTTTTTGTATAAATTCTATCAGCATTTATTGTAAACATTATTTCTCACAACGACTGTTGCAATGTAAACAAATGAGAAACACCCATTTGTATTATTTACTTTTAGGCTAAACGAAAAAAAAAAATAAGAACATTCATATTTTTCATAAGCTGTTTGACATTAAAATCTTTATGTTGACAAATATTGGTCTGGCGAGTACACGGAAAATATACAAACATTCTGTTGTATTGAATATGATATTATTTAATCGGATATGATCAAATACTAGGCAATTATTTATTTCAACGATATAGCTTATTGCTGACAAAATGCTTACTTCATCTCACAAGCTGTTTACTGGCACAGTGTATCATTTATGTTTGTTTTGCGATACACTGCAAGTTACAAACTGTATTGTCTTTGGCGTCATACTCTAAAAAACCCTCTTTTAACGACACTTGTTAAAATATACTGTGTCTTATGTTCATTTTAACTGTTATTCTCTGTACGGCGTTATTTAGTTCTCCGTTGGACCACTTTACTTTTAGTGCTTTTCAGAAAATTGTAAAATTCAACAACAGTTGTAAGATGCGAAAAATCACTATTTTGTTTATAGTTGCCATGATCTTGGCAACGACGTTGGGTAATTTTTACAATACTAAACTTTCAAGTTGATTATCCGAAATTAATAAAATACACATTAGTCGATATCTTATTAACCTAACATGAACGCGTTCTACATATTTTCCCACGCATACTTATTTTGTATGTATGCGAATAGAAATAGAATATAATGCCTCATTTTTTTTTTTAATGTAAAATGTGCCCCAAATTTATTACTCAATTTGTGTTATATTATACATTTCATTATCATCAAGACATTTTATACTTGAAAAAACTGTAATTCGCTTTGTATAATTTGTTGGATTAGGTGATAAAGATAAAAAGGCAAGCAAAGGTCGGTATAAATATAATATAGTTCATACGGTTAACTAATTTTGTTTTTTTTTATTAGAAAATAAAAAAAAATTAAAACATTTACAAGAAAGTAAGTAATTAAATAGTTAAAGGCACGTTATGTTACACTTACTTAGTTTTTATTTATCAATTTTATATAGAAGTTTCATTTAAAGAACTGTTTTACAGTAAAAAGATAAATATTTCATTAAATACAACCTTTTTACTCTGAAGAGGTAAAATATTTAAAACAAAAAACCAAAAAATGTTTTATTTATTTGCGAATCATAAATAATTATTTGAAAATAATTAGTTAATTTAAATTTTGTAAAAATTACTTTATCAAATAAATTTGTACTTGAACTACCTACATTTTTTTATTTACTGTTTCAAATATGTACTTCTTATTTTTTGGGAATTTTTAAATAGTTTATATTATGTATAAATAAACCTAATTTTACTTTTTATTTTAAATTACATAAGATGGACAACATGGAAAAGGTACGTGACAACTAAAAATGAAATAAACGTTGTACATTTTACTTAGTTTTAGTTGTGAGGTTGACATGGTGTTGTGAATATACAATTTTAACACAATTTGTACCAAACTTCTATTTATGCTCTTGTGTAATATAAGTTAGCCTAACCTTCCTCATAAAGGCGTCGAATGAAGTACAAAAAATCAAAATCTCAATTACTTAATTCAAAATAATTACACATTACAGTTTAACCATTAAATTAAGTTCTTGGAAAACATTACTTATACCGAAATGAACTCCTAATAATAAACGAGAGGTGTAAAGTCTTTTTAACTAAACGTGTTAATGATATTTTAACCAACAGAATATATATTTAGCTTCAATTATAGAACCAAATATATATATATATATATATATACTACTTAAATATATTAGTATAATTCCACATTAATAACTGATTTTGATCTTTATACTTAGCAATCCTTCAAACAAGGCGAGAAATAACTAACAGTTAAATAATAATTTATTCAATACATTTCCCCCCTACTTCTTTTAGGGTACTTCTATATATTAGTTAAATAAATCCGGTTGTAAGTTACACCCTTGCCTCTGTACTTACTCGAACTACTTTATATCTTTGACATTTCTTCCATTTTTTCCCAATTCGCTTTATGCAAGTATAACTACTGTATTATCCTATCTTTATAGTTTATGCCATATGGGTTATATTGATAACTAATTGATACTAATGATATTATTTATCACAATTAGTTCATATTGTTACCTAATATTGTTTTTTATACTCAGATCATGAAAAACAAAATAAACATTCTCAAAAGAATAAGTAATCACTTAATTTTAGTTGTTAAGGCTGAGCTAAACGTGTTAACCATATTAACATTTAATTCACCACTTAAGTTACATAAACATATTCAGCTTCAGCTACAGAATATATTATGTATACCACTTATATAATATGTTAGAATAATTTCACACTAATAACTAATTAAATTCTTTATATTTAGTTCCACTCCCATACACTACGCCTTATAGAGAAGGTAAGACTAACAGTTAAAATATATTATTTAATTTATTTAATGTTTTCCATAATTGTTTAAAGGCAACTTCTCTGTACAAATTAAAGCCCGTTTTAAATAACATCTTGTCTCCCTACTTATTCGAACTTGTTTCTCTTTTTTTCAAAGCCATATAAGTCAAGTACATTATATTGTGTATTCTGCTATCTTTATAGCCTGTGTCATATACATTATACTGGTAACTAATTTTTTTTCTTCATCCTATATAGAACAACCCGTTCTAGCATATCCGTATGGTAAGTAACACCTTAAGCTTAAATTAGGGAACAGTAAGTAATCAAATAATTAAAAGCACGGCATATATTTAATAAGTTTTCATTTTTCAATTTGATATAGAAATTCCATATAAATATTAATTCATCCAGCATAGTTTCCCTTACTTCATTTAAGACATTTCTGTGCACAATAAAATGTAGACCTGTTGTAAATTACATTCTTGTGTCCCTATACTTATTCGAACTTGTTTCCCTTTTTCCAAAGTCATATCATTCAAGTATATTATCTTGTGTATTCTTTTGCCTTTATAGTCTATGCCGTATGAATAGTATTGATAACTAATTTTGTTCTTTATATAATATAGACCCACACAAACTAGCATATCCGTATGGTAAGTATCACCTTAAGGTTATACAAGGGAACATTTTAAATTTTACTTATTTGGTTGTAAAAGTTTTTATATTTAACTTCAATTTTTGTTCTTTTTTTCCGAGGAGATAAAATATTTAGTAGCAATTATGCATTCAAGTATAATTTGTGTAAAATTCTTTTGTCTTTTTTTATTCTATTCCATATGAATTATATTAATAACTAATTTTGTTTTATTTTATGTAGCGCAACAAGTTCCGCAATATCAACACGGTAAGTAACAACTAAAGTTTAAGTAAAGGAACATTTTCATTTTAAGTAGTTTTTTGTAAAAGTTTTATAATAAACTTTCAACAAATTTAGTTGGTTTCATTCTAAGGAGATAAAAAATTTAGTAACAATCTTAAGTCAAGTATAACTAGTTTTAAATTATTTTGGCTTTTTATTCTATTGCATATTAATTATATTAATAACTGATTTTGTTTTATTTTATGTAGCCCAACAAGTTCCGTCATATGGACAAGGTAAATAACATCCAAAGTTTAAGTAAAGGTACACTTTAAATTTTACTTATTTGGTTGTAAAAGTTTTTATATTCAACTTTCAATTTTAGTTATTTTTTTCCGAGGAGATAAAATATTTAGTAACAATTTGCGTTCAAGTATAATTTGTGTAAAATTCTTTTATCTTTTTATTCTATTCCATATGAATTATATTAATAACTAATTTTTTTTTTATTTAGTCCAACCAGTTCCGCAATATCAACATGGTAAGTACCAGCTAAAGGTTAAGTAAAGGAACATTTAAAAGTTTACTAATTCTTTGTGAAAGTCTTCATTTTACTTTTAATTGTATGTAGCCCAACAAGTCCCACCATATGGACATTGTAAGTAACAACTAAAGTTTAAGTAAAGGAACATTTTCATTTTAAGTAGTTTTTTGTTTGTTAAGTTTTATATTTAACTTTTAACAAATGTAGTTGGTTTCATTCTAAGGAGGTAAAAAATTTAGTAACAATCTTAAGTCAAGTATAACTAGTTTAAAATTCTTTTGTCTTTTTATTCTATTCCATATGAATTATATTAATTACTAATTTTTTTTTTATGTAGTCCAACAAGCTCCACCATATGGACATGGTAAGTGCCAGCTCGATTTTTTGAATAAATAGTATTTTAATACGTTTTTTTAACTAATTTTGTTATTTAAATTAATTAGCTTATATTATAGTTACCTTATTTTTTTATTTATATTTAGATTATAAAAAACAAATGGAACATTCTCAAGAAAGTAAGTAATCTAACAATTAAAGAAACGTTATAATTTTTTATCAAAACCCTAACTTTTTTTTTTTCGAAAGTATACATATATTGTACACTTATTTTGTATGTATGCGAGTATGAATAGCATATTATGCCTAATTTTTTATGTAAAATGTGCAACAAGTTTAATATTTCATTAGTAATATCATCATTAAGACATTTTATAGTTTTAGTTAACAAAACCTTTGTATAATTTGTTGGATTAGGTGATAAAAATAAAAAGGCAAGCAAAGGTTGGTATAAATATATTATAGTTCATACGGTTAACTATATTTTTAATTTTTTTATTTAGATGTTAAAAAAAAAATGAAACATTTACAAGAAAGTAAGTAATCAATAAATTAAAGACACGTTATATTTCTTTACAAGTAGTTTTATATTATATTATATTAAGTATTCCCAGTTACAATTTAGACACTTGTCTCACTACGTATTCGAACTTAACTTCTTTCAACCAATGACATTGTTTCCATTTTTCCAAAGTCACTTCATTCAAGTATAACTTGTGTAGTCTTCTATATTTAAAGGCTGTGTCATATGAATTATATATTCACCTAATTTTGTTTTTTATAATTAGATTATAAAAAACAAGAGAGTAAGTAATCTATAAATTAAAGGCACGTTATAAATTTATTTAGATTTTATTTTTTAGTAAAATGTGCACTAAAGATAAATTGTTTAGTTATTGTACTAAACGTATCTTTATGTAATTTTATAATATTGGCAAAACTGTAATTTACTTTGTATAATTTGTTGGATTAGGTGATAAAAAAAAAAAGCCAAGCAAAGGTCGGTATTAGTATATTATAGTTTATACAGTTACCTAATTTTGTTTTTATATTTAGAGAATAAAAAACAATTGAAATATTTCCAAGAAAGTAAGTAATTATATAATAATTAAAGGCACGGTCTATACTTACTTTGTTTTTATTTATCAATTTTGTATAGAAATTTTATTTAAATATTAATTCATCCAGTACTGTTTTCTTTACTTCATTAAAGACATCTCTGTGCACAATGAAATATAGCCTGTTGTAAATTAAATCCTTGTTAAACACATCATTCAAGAATATTAACTTGTGTATTTTTCTATTTTGATAGCCTATTCCATATTAATTATATTAATAACTGATTTTGTTTTATTTTATGTAGCCCAACAAGTTCCGTCATATGGACAAGGTAAATAACAGCCAAAGTTTAAGTAAAGGAACACTTTAAATTTTACTTATTATAACTATTGGACACAATGCTAATAATATGCGCACTAGTATACAGTGTAGGGTCTAAATTCACTTAAATAATTTATAATAGTTGGATACATAATTAACAAATCAATTTATTTCAGATTATCAATATCATCAGAGTTATGGTCAACATCAACTCAATACATATCCATTACTATAACAGTTATAACAATAATAGCTGTGATCATTATCCATGATGAGGTAACTTAACTTGCTATAATATATGACATACAGGTTTTTTGTTATTTAAGAAAACCAAACAGATTGATAACAAATAATTATACATACAAAATCCAGCACATATTAAATTTCTATAAGCCCTATTGTAGATTTCTGTTAAATAATGATTTTTTTACAACTAAATAAGTTGTATAAAAATCATGGACATTATAGATGATCAGAAACATTTAATAGAAAAAAAAGAAGATGAAAAAATTGTTTTAGGATAGTGGGGACATTTTGAAAATCATGAATGTTCGTTAACTGCTAGTTTCATATAACTTCTATTTATGCTATGAATGATAATACATTTTTTCTCATTACAGAAATGATCCAAAGGCGTCGTAAGCGTTTCCATTTTCTTTTAAATACATTATAATTATCTTTTGAGTGTATAAACTTTCACTAAAACAAAATTGTATTCTCACAATTAATATATCATAATAAACTTTTACTATTTGTAAAATTAAAAATGTCTGGTTTTTCGTTAGTTATATTTGTATTAGTTAATAAAATATAATTATATGTTAAAGATAAATGTACTCTTGTCGAAAAATCAGATAGCAAATGTGACTGGTTGAAGTGTATTTTAAGTAGGTATGTTTGTTCTAAGACAATAAAGGGTCATTTGGTGTGAGAGTAAAATAATTCTAATTTCTTAAAAATTTAAACGGGATCAGCAATGATGTAGAGAAATGCATTAAACAGGATAGTAGGATTAAGTGTACAGTCAATATTATATAATTTAAATTTTTTACTAATCAAACTATGCTTTTATGATGAATAATGCTTTTTTTTTTAATTTGTTATTATTGGCTTTAAATTTTATTTACAATCCATTTACATTTTGTACAATAAGTAAATAGTTGACAAGTTCAGCTAGCTGTTTAGTGTATTGTGAGCTATAACGAATAATGCATTAGACATGTGTAATCAGATGGTATAATATTTCTTATATTTAATTGATTAGATATAATAATATATCATAAAAGTAATATGATGAAGGCTCGGCTATAATTGTTGGTATTATAAATATCCATTTGGCAGCCATATGGCACCAGGATTGCCACTGATCTCTTCGGTGGGCTTTGGTTGGACAGAAATGTAGACTTTCTTTTGGTCGTCAATTGTATTCACGATATTTTCATCTACAGCGTGCCAGATATTATTTGCTTTGAACATCTGACGGGAATTCTCGTTAAGATTGCTACAATTCGAATGGTCAACGATTGACAGTTCACGTGGACTCACATTAGCCGAAGCTATAACGTTGCGCATCTGCAAATTAATAAATTACATGAGAATAACAGCTACAAAATAGAAAACGGTCAAATTTCATTAATATAAAAACAATTTGTATGTTACCTTATCTAGATACATTTTGCCCAGGACCTTTGATCTGGACAAAACGGTTACAGAATAGCTGTGGCCGAAAGGTGTTTTTCCGCAAGCGTATACACCGGCATAGTTTACATAATCAGTGGCGAACACATCAAACGACGATTTGCCCACATTGTCTGTAACGTGAATATCATATTAGTATACCAATTAGGTGTCTATATCAAATCGGTTTTGTAACTATAGGTAATAAATTCATTAAAACTTGATTGATAAATATCTGTCAGGCGATAGCGAACGCCTTGTATAAACTTATAAAAGAAACATTTATATTATCTTACTTAAAGAAAAACCCTAATAAAAAACACATTTAAACGGTTAGTTTGACCAAAAAATCTAAAAGGTGACAATTTTGTTGTCGCGTTAGAAAGTTCAGGATTAGGCTAGTTTGTTGATTATACAGGGTGTTCCAGCATGAAAGGTAAGTAATAGGTGATTGGACATCTGGAGGACCCCCAAATAAGCCCCCCGTTTTCATTTTTTTCGATAAGTCAAAAATTAAAGGTTTCGACAGTTAAGTAAAAAAATAATGACCTAAATAAACAAAAAATTATTCCATGTTATTCAGTGCAAAAAGCTCACCTTAGAAAAGGGGTCTTATCAATTTCAGTCTTTTTCAGCCCCTAACTCTTCTCTTATCACTTATCTTATCATTTATTTCTTACCTCTAGTCTCTAATCATTTATCTCTTATCACTTATATCTTATCATTTATTTCTTATCTCTTGTTTCTAATTATTTATCTCTAATCTCTTGTCATTTATCTTTAATCGCTCATAATTTATCTCTTTCCTTTTATCTCTTATCAATTATGTCTTAGCATTTATCTTTTATCACTTATCATTTATTTGTGATCTCTAATCATTTTTCTCTTATCATTTTTTGAGTTAGGGGCCGTAAGGGACTGAAAATGATGTGACCCCTCTTTTAATGCGACCTTTTTGCACTGAATAACAGGGCGTAATTTTTTTTTCTTAAGTCATTATTTTTTTTACCTAATTGTCGAAATCTCCAATTTTTGACTTATCGAAAAAATGGAAATGGGGTGCTTATTTGGGGGTCCTCCAGATGTCCAATCACCTATTATTTACCTTTCATGCTGGAACACCCTGTATACTAGTTCAAAGTTCAAGTACTTACTCGGAGGGGAAGAAACAGTCATTCTAGATGGTAAACTTGGATGGGCCTCCATATTGGATTTAGCTACATCAGTTTGTTCCAATATGTACGGAGAGGTCAGGTTCAATTTGGGACAAACCGTACAATTTGTACAGTTCGAACAATTTGACAAATTCGCACAATTTGTGCACTTCATTAAATTTGTACATTTGGCGCAATTTGTGCAGCTCGTGCATTTTGTACAGCCTGTGCAGTTTGTACAGTCATGACAATCTGTAGAATTCGAACCGTTTATGCAACCAGTACAGTCGTTGGAGTTTACACAACTCGAACAGTCTTTGCAGTTTTTACAATTTGTACAAGACCTGCAATTTACGCAATCCCTACAATTTGTACAACCCGTGCAATTTGTGCAATTTATACAGTTTGTGTTAGTCAGTTCCGGTGCGTTTTTAAAGTCATACACCGTGCATGGACTTGATGTCGAAGTCGTTTGTACGGCGTACCATGATCCTAAGAACTTGAAAAACCACATGGAATTAGTACACAGGATTCAGTTGTTATGTTTTTTGTGTATTTAAGTAAATACCAGATGCATATCTAATTTAAAAAAAGTAATAATACACTCCTGCCCTAAACTTGAAACTTCAGTAACTTCAAAAATTGTGTTCTAAAACTATGTGACGGCCAGTCAAAATTTGTAGTACATTATTCTCAATTTAAAAATTTAATGAAATGTATACGTTACCGTTTAAGTTTCAAAGTTTGATAGCAACTTTGAAAAACTAAGTTAGGAGGGAGGTTAAAACAAAAATTGTGATAAACTGAGTTCAGATTGTATAAAAACATTATGAAAAATAAAAATGATTAAACCCTTTATTGAGATATTGAATGGTTCATGATGAAATGATCACCCCGTATAATAGAATAAAGATCAATTATAATGTTATCATAAAACTAGTATAACATGAGGAAATAATTTTATTTTTTATGCTTTGTAGATGTATATTATATTCTATTTTGTCGGAATCTTCATTTTTTTGTAGTGTTAATTAATCAAATACAATATTAATTAGGTTGTTATTACCATTTGTTTTAAAATATAAATACTAATGATTATTATTATAAATAGTATTTTTAATATGATTGTTTTTAGTTATCACCATATTTGTATTGTTTTATTTTTGTTATAATTCTCGTGTTACAATTTGGATGATAATAATAATAATAACCTACTCATTAACAACAATTTGGTAAAAAAAAAGTGTATTTTAATATTATCCATTAGGTTAACGTAACAAACTTGATGATCTTTGATCTTAGTTAAGTGATCAACGCTTCAATGTCAGTTCAAAATCAAACTTTTTATTAAAATTAAGAAACATGAATAATAAGCTATAATATGAAATATTATAATTAATAATAGTATTACTAACACAATTTTCTTAATCTATAAGGCTATCAAATGCATTACTTGGACTTACTTTTTCCACAACGAAATCAGGCATAGGTTCAAAATTGGGACATCGATCCAAATGATAAGAATGTCCCGAAACGAAATTCAAAGAACTAATTAGCAACACTGATAAAAGACGCAATCCGTTCAACTTCATCGTATGGCTGTGTGAATGGACACGACAATATTGAATGCTATTCGAAACAACTAATAAAAACATAACGATCATAATACTATGAGTAGAGAATATTTACATAGAAATAAGTATAAAAAAACAGTTTTATCATTTTCACCATTGCCTTTACTCATTGTTGTGACAAGTGACAAGTGGAGTTAGTGAAAGGGTACGCTTCAACCCCAAAAACTTTAGCTTTTGATAACAATGTAGATAAATGTTGTATTTCAGTACTTTTTTCTGTGTATGTAATAACTATTTGAGTTAATAATGTTCCAGAAAAACACTTTATTAAATGTATTAGAAGTTAAAATTAATATTTAAGTTAAAAATATTATCTTATAAAGTATATTAAGAGGTGACTTCCTAAGCAAAATACCAGACAATGCGTTATTTTTTACTTATGAATTTCCATTAAGGATAATGGTGTTTTTTTACTAAACGCAATTTAGAATATAAATTTATATCTCTGAAATTAATAAGAATTTTATAAGAAACTTTTTTTAGGTTTTATAAATAAAAAAAAAATACTTTAATATGAAATTCGGGTAATCTATATTTTTAAAACTTTTTCTTGGTGAGAATTTATGGTAAATAAACATAACACTTTGTTAATGAATTAAATAACTTTTGTACTTAAGTATTGTTTAAAACTGTAATCGTTTATTTGATTTTATAGTTATACTTTTAAAAATATTTTCTTATTATGGCTTATATAGTTTTAAATTAATAATATGAAATATATCAATATTTGGTTATTTAAATGAGAACATGTACTCAAAAGAAATTACTTATTAGTAAGTATGCGAACTGGTGATTATTCTTATGTATACTTTTATCCTTATCCTTTAACCATGAGACACACTCCCCTTGTCCCTATAGATCATTATATTTTTTTTTAGGATACCTACCTAAGTACAAGCGACAACGGTGAATTTATTTTAAGAAAAAATTCCCTAAAAATGTTTCTCCATACACAAAAGCCTCTATTGTATCTATTATTATGTGTTAAACCGTTTTTAATTGGAACTTTCAATTTTATATTCGAATCATTAAGATATTAATGATAGAAGTATAACTGATAAATATATTAATACAATTTAAAACTATTGCAAATTTAACAAGCATTTAAACATTTTAATTACGAATTTTAGTACTTACAATTTTGCAAATTGTATTTTCTTGGTCGACTTCTTAGTGGTCACTATACTTGTCTGTTTTAAGTGTATCCACTGTAAGACCTGTCGACGAACTACTGTCTACGATGATTCTGACCAACTATTTATTCTATCCAGTGCATACAGCGGTTCATGGATTTATTATTTTCTCATTCGGTTTAAATAACCAAACGTCTGCTGCACGTGTTCAGCTACCTTAGCTTATAACATTTTATTGAAAAAATATTTTTATTATGCATCTTAATATTAGAAAATTAATTTTTTACCTTTTCGAATTGTCCGGTCAAATGGTCAAGTTCGAATTTGAGAGTTTGCCTGATTTGGTGAATTGAATTTTATACAAAAAACAGACATTAACAATGCTTGTTTTAATTGTGTGTTTTACAAATTAAAAAAAATTTAATTGATTTTGCAATAACAGCAGTTGACCACTCAACTTTGATGCAGCAGTTAGAGTAGCAACAAATATATATAGAAAAAATAATTTTAGCAACACAGTCTGTGGTTAAACTTACAATGTTTTCTAGTTCTAGTTCTAGTTATATTATAGTTTAGACCGCATTAGTTTTGAGGCATTTATTGTAACCTTTTTTATTCAATACTCTCTATATGGACCAATTAAAATGTTAAGTAGATTATTCTCAAATTAAATAGTTAGTAAAATGCATGTGTCACTAATTAAAATGCAAAAGTTTCTATCATAAAAACTAAGTTGGGAGGGGCGAAAACATTTCTAAAAAATATGTCAAAAATTTACATCACATTGTATAAGATAATATGAAAAAAAAAATTAATTTCCTATTAAACTCTATAAGATATTGACAGTAGACTCATCTTGTATTTGTTTAGACAATATTTTTTAACCGTCCAACCTCCGTTCAATAATATACCTACTTAAGCCATTTCTAGGTGTATTTTATTCGGTACAATTTCTACACACAATTTTGGCCGTTTTTGCATCAGAATGTTTTTGTATGGTTAATTTAAATAGATGATCCAAAATGGACGTATTAGATCACTAACCCCGTCCGATCAAGTTCAAAACTACATCCCATGAGGGGATACGATTAGGGTTGATCGTCTGTCTCCTTTTGCTAACAGTGTTAGATTTGATATGTCACACTTATAAAATTAATATAATGAATGTGAGGTCAAGGAGGTCATGAAGCTACAGGAATTATTATAAATGAGTGATAAAATCAATTTTCAATAAACGCTTCAATGCAAGTCTGTGGACAGTAGGTTCAAGCCAGTACAGTCTAAACCAAGCACAGTGAGTAAGTATTATAAGTAAACGAGCAGTAGTAGTGGAAGTAAGTTAATAAAATAAGGAAGTTCCAGTGTCCACAGATACAAATACAAAAATCGTTAAGCCTAATGACAATAACTTATGCTTTATTTGTATTTGTATTTTTTTTTTTATTTTGGGGACCCCTATTTCTTTGCCATCTGTTCGCACCTGTATATTAGGTATTTCGACTTATCTTGTTAAAAAAAAATATTTAGAACGTTTTAAATTTCAGGCAAGTACTAGTTTCAAACGTTAACCGAAATTGTTTATTGTTAACGAATTGTTGACTTTGTCACACACGTGTTTAATACCATTTGCGTCCTACTATGTTAGAACCATTTTTTTTATGAATTCGCTAAACAATGTATGTTATGTTCAAAACCAGTTTACTCTGTATGTTATTAAATTGTATTTTTCAGAACTAGAAACATTCATTCGTTCACTAAATTACAAAATGAAAAAAATCACAATTTTTTTTATAGCTGTCATCATTATGGAAATATCGTTGGGTAATTATTGTTTGTATTTACATTCCAATGCTGCATTCGCAGTTTGATTATAAGAAATTATCTATATACTACCTACAGTTGTGGGTTAAGGTTTTTTAATAAACTGACAAATTATATTGAAATAAGTTAAATACAGTTAAATGCATAATACATAATTTCCTCACAAAGTTTAGTATGCGATTATGAATTTTTATTGATTTCTTATTAATCTGTTATTCATATTTAGTCACACAAGGTCAGCCAATTCCAAGTAAGTAACAATTAACAGAACGTCATGGTAATTACTTTCAAATCATAATCATTACTTATTTTGTTTTTAACGTTTAGGTGGTGCATCAAGTGTGATACAATATCTACCACAAGGTATGTATCATCTAGTAATTATAGTAACGTTATAAAATTATTTTATTTTTATATACATTTTATATAAAAATTTGAGTTTTAAAACATTTTTATGTATACTAAGTAATTTTTGTAGAGTATTGTGTAAATAGAAGTTGATTAATTAAATGTATTATACTTATTGTCTTCACTCACTTACATAATATATATGCGACTATGAAATCATATTCATTCCTCATTTTGTTCTTAACGTTTAGGTGGTGCATCAAGTGCGATACAATATCTACCACAAGGTATGTATCATATAGTAATATTAGAGGCACGTTATAAAATAATTTTGTTTTAGCTTCGATGCAATTTGTTTTACCATGATGTGGGCTTTTTTGTGTCTGTATACACTGTAACTTTTACTGCACCAATTCCTTCGAGTAGCCACTCTATAAATCACAAATTTCATCTAGTTGGTATTTTGGAGGGGTAAAAGTTGAAAAAATTTACTTTTCACAGTTAAAATTTGAAAAAACAAAAAAAAACCATAAGTTTTTAAGTTAGACCTTTCTTTTACTGCCTATAATTCGAGAAAAAGATTCTGATCGAGTTGAAATTTACAAGGAATATTTAATTGGTATGCCCACGCACGTCAGTTGTGTCAAATTTAAATTATACCCATTTTCTATCTCTCTAGAGGGAGGGGGGGTAGAGTTAAATTTGTTTGGGTTTTTTGCCGTAGTTTTAAACCTTTAAGTTGAAAATTTGTCAGTAGTAATAATTCATTTTTATATACATCTATTCACAATGAAACTATTAAGTTTTGATACACAAGTACCATTTTTAGGTTTTAATTTAATTTTTTTTTTAACTACATTAACGGTGTACTAGATGTGAGAAACGAAAAGACGATAATAACTGTAGGTTTATAACGTCGACCCGTGTATGGTGTGAGAGATAAAGTTTAATCGAACCGTTTCGGTTGGTATCATAATATTGTGTTTATTACACGACCCGTCTACTTATATTAGGACACTTTATACTTATTGTCTTCACTCACTTACATAATTTGTATGCGACTATGAAGTCATATTCATTCCTTATTTTGTTCTTAACGTTTAGGTGGTGCATCCAGTGCGATACAATATCTACCACAAGGTATGTGCCATCTAGTAATTATAGGAACGTTAAAAAAATTATTTTATTGTTATATACATTTTGTATAAAAAATTGAGTTTTAGAACATTTTTAAGTATACTTAGTAATTTTTATAGAGTATTGTATTAATAGAAGTTGATTAATTAAACGTATTATACTTATTGTCTTCACTCACTTACATTATATTACATATATATGTGACTATGAAATCATATTCATTTCAATTTTTGTTCTTAACGTTTAGGTGGTGCATCAAGTGCGATACAATATCTACCACAAGGTATGTATCATCTAGTAATTATAGTAACGTTATAAAAATTATTTTATTTTTATATACATTTTATATAAAAATTTGAGTTTTAGAACATTTTTATGTATACTTAGTAATTTTTATAGAGTATTGTGTAAATAGAAGTTGATTAATTAAATGTATTATACTTATTGTCTTCACTCACTTACATCATAATATGTATGCGACTATGAAATCATATTCATTCCTCATTTTGTTCTTAACGTTTAGGTGGTGCATCAAGTGCGATACAATATCTACCGCAAGGTATGTATCATACAGTAATATTAGAGGCACGTTATAAAATAATTTTGTTTTAGCTTCGATGCAATTTGTTTTACCATGATGTGGGCTTTTTTGTGTCTGTATACACTGTAACTTTTACTGCACCAATTCCTTCGAGTAGCCACTCTATAAATCAAAATTTCATCTAGTTGGTACTTTGGAGGGGTAAAAGTTGAAAAATTTACTTTTCACAGTTAAAATTTGAAAAACAAAAAAAACCATAAGTTTTTAAGTTAGACCTTTTACTGCCTATAATTCGAGAAAAAGATTCTGATCGAGTTGAAATTTACAAGGAATATTTAATTGGTATGCCCACGTACGTCAGTTGTGTCAAATTTAAATTATACCCATTTTCTATCTCTTTAGAGGGACGGGGGGGGGATAGAGTTAAATTTGTTTGGGTTTTTTGCCGTAGTTTTAAGACCTTTAAGTTGAAAATTTGTCAGTAGTAATAATTCATTTTTATATACATCTATTCACAATGAAACTATTAGGTTTTGATACACAAGTACCATTTTTAGGTTTTAATTTAATTTTTTTTTAACTACATTAACGGTGTACTAGATGTGAGAAACGAAAAGACGATAATAACTGTAGGTTTATAACGTCGACCCGTGTATGGTGTGAGAGATAAAGTTTAATCGAACCGTTTCGGTTGGTATCATAATATTGTGTTTATTACACGACCCGTCTACTTATATTAGGACACTTTATACTTATTGTCTTCACTCACTTACATAATTTGTATGCGACTATGAAGTCATATTCATTCCTTATTTTGTTCTTAACGTTTAGGTGGTGCATCCAGTGCGATACAATATCTACCACAAGGTATGTATCATCTAGTATTTATATGCAAGTTAAAACAATTATTGTATTGTTATATAGATTTTGTATAAAAAATTGAGTTGTAGAACATTTTTAAGTATACTTAGTAATTTTTATAGAGTATTGTATTAATAGAAGTCGATTAATTAAACGTATTATACTTATTATCTTCACTCACTTACATTATATTACATATGTATGTGACTATGAAATCATATTCGTTCCAATTTTTGTTCTTAACGTTTAGGTGGTGCATCAAACATGTCACTATATCCACAACAAGGTAAGTATCATCTAGCAATAATTGTATACTTAGTAATTTTTATAAAGTATTGTATAAGTAGAAGTTGATTAATTAAATATATTATACTTATTGTCTTCACTCACTTACATTATATTACATATATATGTGACTATGAAATCATATTCATTTCAATTTTGTTCTTAACGTTTAGGTTATCATCAACCAGGTGTCACTATGATCACAGCACGTTAAGTATCTATTTTGCTTCTAATTGATATAATATATGTAACTTATTGTCTCACACAGTTACTAACTCGTATGAGTGCATGAATCTTGTTTAATCCTTATTGTCTTAACGTGTAGTGTGTCTTCTACTACCACTATGACATCTATAATTATGACGTTTATAGCTTCGATACAAAGCTGAGATGCTATTGGTTTTACCATGATGTGGCTTTTTTTTATGTCTGTACACTGTAACTTTTTTAATAGTTAAATTTAGTATTAATAACAGTTAAAATTTGAAAAAACAAAAGAGTTTTTAAGTTAGAATATTTACTGCCTATAATTTCGAGAAAAAGATTCGGATCGAGTTGAAATTTATAAGGAATATTTATTTTGTTCTTAACGTTTAGGTGGTGCATCCAGTGCGATACAATATCTACCACAAGGTATGTATCATCTAGTAATTATAGGCACGTTAAAAAAATTATTTTGTTTTTATATACATTTTATATAAAAACTTGAGTTGTAGAACATTTTTATGTATACTTAGTATTTATTATAGAGTATTGTATTAATATAAGTCGATTAATTAAACGTATTATACTTATTATCTTCACTCACTTACATTATATTACATATGTATGTGACTATGAAATCATATTCGTTCCAATTTTTGTTCTTAACGTTTAGGTGGTGCATCAAACATGTCACTATATCCACAACAAGGTAAGTATCATCTAGCAATAACTGTATACTTAGTAATTTTTATAGAGTATTGTATAAGTAGAAGTTGATTAATTAAATGTATTATACTTATTGTCTTCACTCACTTACATCAGTAATATGATGTGCTCCAGTGCAATCAGTCATCGGTGGATAGATATTTTGTTTTTTTGGGTACCTACGTTAAAATATAGCAAATATCTTTATTGGGTATTAAGTAAGTTCCCTGATAGCTTCTTGCTCAAATTGTGAACAACACAGTTTTCTCAAGAACAAGGTAATCAACAACTAATAGTAAAAGTCATGTCTGTACATCCTTTAATTGGTTTTTCTATTACACGCTACTTTTGGGTTGACCTTTTCTTCTTCTGACACCATTCAACCATGCTGAGTCCTAAAAAAAATAGTTTTCGGTTTAGCCATGTATCTAAGTTAAGGATAAAGCATTGCCGTATTGTTATATATATTTCCATCTTTAGTTTTTTATACTTTAGTCGGCACAGACTTCTGCGAGCACAACGAAGTTACGAAGCCGTAAGTGTCGCCATAAAGTGTATAAAGCAAGTTATACAGTTTAACTCTTGATTTTCTCTATACATTCTAGCTATACATTTTTCAGTTGTATAAGATTTCTTACTATGAAAAGATAAAGATCATTTCCGTTTAGTAGAAAGTCTATAATATTGCATATGTATGTGACTATGAAACCATATTCGTTTCAATTTTTGTTCTTAACGTTTAGGTGGTGCATCAAACATGTCACAAGGTTATCAATATCAACCAGGTAAGTAACCACTATGAATTAAATGCACGTTAAAAATATCTTAATTTTGCTTCTAAATTGTATTATAAATATAAATGTATTATACTTATTGTCTTCACACAGTTACATAATACTCGTATGTATGTGACTATGAAATCTTGTTTAATCCTTATTTTGTTCTTAACGTTTAGGTGGTGCATCCAGTGCGATACAATATCTACCACAAGGTATGTATCATCTAGTAATTATAGGCACGTTATAAAAATATTTTGTTTTAGCTTCGATACAAAGCTGAGATGCTATTGGTTTTACCATGATGTGGGCTTTTTTTTATGTCTGTACACTGTAACTTTTTTAATAGTTAAATTTAGTATTAATAACAGTTAAAATTTGAAAAAACAAAAGAGTTGTTAAGTTAGAATATTTACTGCCTATAATTTCGAGAAAAAGATTCGGATCGAGTTGAAATTTATAAGGAATATTTATTTTGTTCTTAACGTTTAGGTGGTGCATCCAGTGCGATACAATATCTACCACAAGGTATGTATCATCTAGTAATTATAGGCACGTTAAAAAAATGATTTTGTTTTTATATACATTTTATAAAAAAACTTGAGTTGTAGAACATTTCCATGTATACTTAGTATTTATTATAGAGTATTGTATTAATATAAGTCGATTAATTAAACGTATTATACTTATTATCTTCACTCACTTACATTATATTACATATGTATGTGACTATGAAATCATATTCGTTCCAATTTTTGTTCTTAACGTTTAGGTGGTGCATCAAACATGTCACTATATCCACAACAAGGTAAGTATCATCTAGCAATAACTGTATACTTAGTAATTTTTATAAAGTATTGTATAAGTAGAAGTTGATTAATTACATGTATTATACTTATTGTCTTCACTCACTTACATCATAATATGCATGCGACTATGAAATCGTATTCAATCCTTATTTTGTTCTCAACGTTTAGGTGGTGCATCAAGTGGGATACAATATCCACAAGGTACGATGTAAAGTTTTATTATTTTTTTATACATATTGTATAAAAGTTTGAAATGTAGAAATTGTCTTTTATTAAATTAAATAGTATTTTTAATAAATTTGTATTTATTTTTCCAATAGTTTACTCATTATTTTTAGTTACTTTTAAATAACTAGCTTTTACTTGTTTCTTCGATATTTCGTTGATAATCTATATTATCAATAAAATGATATCTGTATTACTTTACAGTCAAATTGAGTTTACTTAATTATTGCCTATACAAAACTCCTTAAAAACAAACCGCATGCAACCCTCTTAAGTAGAACTTTTATTACAATGGAGAAAAACTTTGGTGGGTTACTAAATTTTTATGGAGTATTGTATAGATACAATTTGATTGTACACATTTATTATACTTCTTTTCTTCACTCACTTACATAACATGTATGCGACTATGAACTTTATTCCTTATTCGGTTCTTAATGTTTAGGTGGTGTATCAAACATGTCACCATTTCCACAACAAGGTAATTATCATATAGCAATAACTGGCAAGATATACAATTTCACTGGTTTTTTTTTTTGTATATTTTGTATAAAAGTTTGAATTGTAGAAGTTTTTTTAAAAATAATTTTGTATTTCCTCGTTTTTATTCGTTTCTTTGATTTCATATTGAATATTTAAAAATTAACTGTTTATGTAATTTAAAGGCATATTGTATTGATAAAAGTCGATTCATTAAATGCCTTATATTATATATTTTCCTCACACATTTATCTATTCGAGTACAAACTCATATTTATAAGTAATTTTGTTCCTTTTTTTTTTGTAGCACAAACTATGCCATTATATCCTTCACAAGGTAAGTATCAAGTGAAATTAACAAATAATAATTGTTTGAAAATAATTAGCTATTTGAAGTGTAGGTACTATTAATTTTTTTTTTCACATACTTACATTTATTAATATGTATGCGATTATGAAATCACATTGATTACTTATTTTGTTCATTACGTTTAGGTGGTGCATCAAACATGTCACCATTTCCACAACAAGGTAAGTATCATCTAGCAATTAAGGTTACGTTATATAATATTACTTTAAAGTATCTAATTTCACGACAAAATGTATTATTAGAAGTTCATAACTTGAGTGCATTATCTATTTTCCCACTTACTACGCATGAAACTTTGAATTAATTTTGACTGCCCATTTTGTGTTTTTTTTTTAGGGTTACAAGGTGTGCCATATATTCCACAACTTCCGCCTATTTATTCACAACAAGGTAAGTATCATCTCACAATAAAATGCACGTTACACAATTTTTAGAATAACGTTAAAGAAAATTACGTTTAAGAATGAGTTATTCGAAATTTTGAAATATTTTATAAATCATTTTTTATTTTTAATAGGTACATAATTTTGAATTTACTTTTTTAAGTATGATCTTGTAATTTTATATTTGTATCTCGGTTTTTATTGTTTGATCTTTCTCAGGTTGATTATCCGGAAATTAATAATATAGTTACTACAGTTAAAGATTTTATGTTGATTACTTAAATGCAAGACATAAAACCCTGACATAATTAGGCCTGCTTAGGATGGTCAGAATTCAGTTTTATAACAACAGTAGTTTATCGACCTCCTTCCTAGGTTATTGTTGAAATCAATTTTTGATTTTTGATATTTCAACTAAAAATGTGTTTAAATTCTCAAATTGTTGGTATTTGTTTTTAATTCGGTTTTGTTTGTTAATTTTTGGGTTGATTATCCGAAAATTAAGAGTACAATTACGATAGCTATGGATTTTAATTTGATTACTTGAATGCCTAATACATATTTTTCTCACACACTTACATATGTTTGTAACAAAATATAATGATTCCTAATTTTGTTCTTTATATTTAGCCCAATTAGCCCCACAAGTATATGGACAATGTAAGTACTTATGTCTTTTAAGTAGACAACTTGAATGCCTAATACATATTTTTCTCACACATTTACATATGGTTGCTTTACAGCATTCTTCCAAACTCCCTCCAATCTTCTCTGTTATTCGCCAACCTGTTTAGTTCCCTGTAAGTCCTCTGCCTATCTTGCTTTCTATTTGTCTTACCAATATTCTGTGGTGTAGTTCCTTCTCGTATATTAAAATATGTCCAATTAATCTTCTTTGATCTTAATAATCCTTTAAGTTCGCATATTTCATATTGGAACGGAACTCCGCCCAGTCTAACTCTTAGCGGCCTCAGCCAGCTCAACATTTTGAAGCTTAGTAAACATGTTTCTTCTGCTTTGTTTATCATCCAAGATTCCGATCCATGTAGAGCCACGCTTCACACAAACGCTTAAACTAATCTATTTGGTTATTGAAGCAATGTCGTCTGCGAATCTAAGTATTTGTATAAGTCATACTCCGACCGTCACTCCTATTTTTTGTCTTTTGAGCTTATACATTAAACAACATTGCTGACATGAGACACCCTTGTCTAGAGCCTTCCCGTAATTTTGCTGTTGCTAATTTGTCTTCTACTAGTATTACTGCTGTCTGGTATCTGGTAAAATTCAATATCAGTTGCCTATCCTTGAAATCCACTCTTAGTGGCTGTAGAGACTGAAATAACTTTTGCCAGCTCACTTTATCAAATGTATTTTCTAGGTCTATAAACGCAATCAACGTGTCCTTATAAAAAAATCCATATTGACATCTAATTTTGTTCTTTAGATTTAGCACCAAATAGCATGCAATATGGACAACGTGAGTACTTATGGTTTTTAAGTAGATTAGGTGAATGCAAAATACATATTTTTCTCACACATTTACATATGTATATAAAAATCCATATTGACACCTAATTTTGTGCTTTATATTTAGCCCCAAATGGCTCGGGATATGGACAACGTAAGTAACAACAAACGCAGAAATGGAGCTGAATTTATATTGATAACTAATGGTGTTCTTTATATTGGTGTAGCCCAACATGGTTCGGCAAGTTGTGGAGGTATGTACAAAAGAGCTGTTAAGGGTATCAAAAAAATGTGCTATTGACACCTAATTATATATTTTACTGTTTAAAATATATACTACTTATTTGTTTGGGGATTTTTTAAATATTTGTATCTTATTTTTTTTTTGTTTATTCTCAAGTCGATTATTCCAAACTGTTAATGTACCATAGTTAGCATGGATTAATTAGTAATACAATGATACCCAATATTTTCTTTATGTTTAGGTTCACATTCTCCTGCACCAATTCGTGTAGTGGGTAAGTAATAACTAACTAGTTGTAGTGCAAGTGTGAAATTATATTGTTAACTAATGGTGTTCTTCATATGTAGTTCAACGTGGTTCGGCAAGCTGTAATGGTATGTAAAAATAAACAGATAACGGCAATGACATATATGAAATGTTTAACAATTACTTTAAAAAATGATTGTTTTGTCTTTGATGTATCTAACTAAAAGACTTATGTTGAGTTGATCGAAGTTGATTATATTAATGCTCTATACACTTATCGATATGAAACTACTAATTACTAATACTTGATAACTAATGGTTTTCTTTATATATTATAGACCACGATAGTTCGAGTAGTGAATCAGAAGGTATGTAAAAAAAAAACAATAAATTACTATATCAAGTAAATTTGTAAGTGTATTAGATATCTTAAATGGTTTATACATATTTTCTATACTTATGCAATGAATTTATATTGATAACTAATTGTTTTATTTATATTTAGACGAGCATGGTTGTGATTCAAAAGGTATGTAATTATAAACAGTTAAGGTGAAATATAACGTATAAAATGGTTTAAAAATTACCTTATCAAATACATTTCTAAACGAAACTCAGTTTTATTTACTGTTTCAAGTATGTACTTCTTATTTTTATTTACTCAATTTCAAATTGCTTATGGAGTGCAATGCTAATTTGGTGATTTACTTACATAATTATAGTTATTAATTATCATAGGTAAGCTAATAAACTTAAAAAATGAATTTAACGATTTCAGTTGATTTAAATTCTGTTACCATTCGTCATGAACCACGTTGTGGTACTGTTGTTCGTCGTGATAATCATTGTGCTCCTGTTCATACTCATCATGGCCATCATAGTCATCGAAGTCGTGGTTTTTGGGGTAGTCACAGTAGTCATTGTTGATAAGGTAACCTAACCTAAATTTAAAGCACACATAAAGACCGGGGATTCTTTTAACGCCCTACACTAGTTTACTCTTTAAATAATGGCAATTTTATAATTATTCTTTTTGAAAACATTTTTGTTTATGTTTTACTTCAATAATGGACAATATTCAAATGTTTACCTATTTAAGTATTTTCCACAGCTTTATCAGCTTTCCATACTTAAACGTTAACATATATATTTAATAACATTTTCAAATTAAGAATAAATTGCTTTTCATTTTAACTGGTCGATAACCGGCGTTGAATAAATAGTTTAAAGTTATTAAAAATAATTAAATATTTAAATTTAATACAGCAGACTGAACTGAGCTCAGACTGTTGTACGCATCAACCTATCAACATTTTCAACAAATTAATCTTAATTTAAAAATTCAAATTAATAGATATGTTATGGTTTATGTTTCAGAAATTGATGAAGTTCTAGAAAATACTAAATAAGATACAAAAATTTAAGGACTGTCTAATATTGTAATATAGCATTAAAAAATACTTTTTCAAAAAGAATAACCACAAAACTGCAATAATTTTAAAGAAAAGTGTTGCTGGGCGTTTAGTAGTAGACATAGCATCTTCGACAATGACAATACATTCACTTAAGATTTTATAAAAAGATAAAACAATCGTGTACATATATATCATGAGCATTTTTTTCAAAAAATTCAGTGGGTTTTTTTCTATGTAGAAAACCAAGTACTTGAATATTCTAGCTATATTCAAAAAAGCCAGCATATATTTAGTGTCTTAAAAAATTGAAAGCTTAGCGTATATATTATTTAAATAATAATAGATTTTATCACAAAAATGTTGTATTGAAATTCTAAATAACCTAATATTATTTATACCGTTTAATTAAACAAAAATTGATGAAATAATAGTTCTAGAGAGTAACAGATGTTAAAAGTCTAACTATGTAACATACATTATCAGTTTTCTTGTCTTAACAGAGGTTACATTGTGAATATAAATTATATTAATTGATGATATTTATGTATATTTTTAGTTACAGAAAGGACCCAGAAAAAGATACCCAGTTTTTTTTTAGCTACAATATAATTATTATTCGACTGTATAAACTTTTACCTAACCAACATTATATATTTCACAAAATCATAATAAACTTTTCTTTTCTGGCAAATTTAAAATGTTGTTTTTCATTAGCTAAACTTATTTGTTATAAGTTAAGTTGTCTGACTGAATTAACTAATAACAATTGTGATTGTTTTGTGGACGTTTTTAGTGGTTTATTTTGTAACATTGAGTTGTTTTTTTGTGTAAACCTGTAATTCAAGTGCTCCTTAGTTAGACCATTCTATACACTTGGAAGATTCACTATTGTAATCTATAACAAGTAGTTTTTTTACAATAAATTATTTTGTTACATACAAATACAATCTAGTTTGTAACTGGACAACTTAAGTCTAATTCTGATTGCAAAAATGCGCACCAGTTATTGTTGACGAATTTCAATGTACAGTTAAAGGTATAATATACTATTTTATCATACTTCATCATTTAATGGTGTGTGATAAACGATTTATTGTTTTGTATTGTAATAGAATAAAAACTGAGCTGGGGAATAGTAGGGCAAGAAGAAATATGGACATGGTGTGCGACGCCGTCCATGTAATCAGTTTGTTGATGATATATTGGCTATCTGTTAGATAATTATTAAATGCACTCTTAATACATCCTTTACACTCTTGACTTTGCGTTCAAGAGTACAGGAATAATTATTATTAATAAAAGTAATAAAACCACTTTCAAATAAACGCGTTGATGATAATTTGTAAACACTTACTTACCATTTGTAAATACTTTCTTTCTGTGCTGGTTTATACAGTGCAACAATCTAACAAGACCGTTTTAAAATTTTAAATCCTTAACATCTCTCCTTGAGAAAAAAGGTGTCAAATTGTGCACCAATACATTGGTGCTTTTGTGTCATTCTTAGTCTTTTATTTTTTTTTACTTTTTTTTATTCGGATTATCAAAAAAATACTTAATATATAAAAGAACAAAAAAATATTAACATCATATTATTTTTCAGTACCTATTATTATTATTTGTCTATACAAAATTACAACACTATTTTATCACAAGCACAGATTTAAATGCAACCGCTATGAGTAAAAAAAAAACAATAACACCATACTTATATCCAATTTTTATCTTCCTTTTTATTGAGTGAATACATTAGTTATACATACTCGTTAATAATTGCATAAGTTAATAAACAATAAAATCTAAGATAAAATATCCTTGTTGAAAATAACTTCTTCTGGATTTTGTTGGTCGACATATACGAATCCCAATCTGTAGAACCATCTTTTAATAATGTGACCGGAGTAAGAGTCGATTTTATATCCTATGTAATCAACCAATGTGTTTTCTGAAGGCGGCAATACTTTATAGAAAGTTTTTTTCAAGAAATCATTTGTAAGGAATTCGGGAGTAAATACTTCACGTGATATTAAGCAATAATTCTCCACAAAATCCGAGTTTTGTCTGGTTAATTCAATAAAATTATCATAGAAACTAGCAAGTTCGGCTGTGGCAGCGACATATATTTTGTGACCGACTCCGGATTGGTTCAATGGAGGTATCGTTTCTTTGGATTTGCGATGTGTATAGTCTACTAAGGCTGACAGAGATTTCAGTACCTTGCTCTGTCTGAGATATATGGTTGGAGATATACTTTCAAAAAACTTTAATGCATCTCTCATATATCTGAATATCACTGAAATATAGCCGACTTTAGCCATCACGTCAGCATAACACTTACGGAAAGCATATGCACTGCAATTATCATCTTGTAGACAAGTATCGATCAGATGTTTAAAAAGCATCCTATAAACCGTCGTCACTTCAGCGTATTTGCATTGGAGCACAATTAACATGTTTTTATATTTATCGGTTCGATATCTCAAGAAAATGCTGAACTCACCTGGTATGTTGAGCTCAAGTACCTCGGACGCAGAAGCAAATGAAAATTTGTCATCATCGGCATTTTCGTTATCTTTCAATCTTAATTGTTTTAGTCTTTTTAAGTTGGAATTTTTTTTCTTTACAGAAATGTTCAGGTACTGCCATCCCGGTTGTCTTAACATCTTTGTCAATTCATTGTCATATATTTGGGCGTTTGGTGGATAACAAACCGCAAATGACATAAGCGTCGAAACGAAAAATTGTGTAATTATATTCATGATGATGGACAATTCAACTATTATTTGGGAGATTTTATACACTGCACTTTAGCCTACGGCGAAATACAGTAGAAACCTCGAGCTTTAGAAAAATATCCACGCAAATGTCTTCTCGGTTGTTTAAATAGCAAATTTTTGCCCAAAAAACGTTACTCTGTTTGCGTTAGTCGCGCACAGCTCGATAAAATCGCTTATGGCATTGACTGACCTACATAGCATTTTCTTTTGTTTTTACCATTTCTTAAAGAAAAGACTACGTGGAACTTTAACGGTAATCGTCAGACGTATTAGAAAATAAGCGTAAACAGTTCCCGCTTTACTTAATGTTGCTGTTGTTGGTGGAAAACCCACAATCTGTAGCAGCGTTGTTAGGGAGAGTTTGGATGTGTTGTAAACTAATAAAGGGGATACAAACTTTTGTAGTAAAGTATTGATATGTAACCGGTGCTTTGGGCGTAATGTTAAGTTCTACCAAGCTTCAAATGAGACATTCAGGATGCTCTATGGGTACAATAAATAGTATTCATTTTTTTTTAATTTAAAAATGATTTAAAATAGAACTCGTATAACGAAAAATATGTTTTCAGATTTGAAATTGGGAGAAAAAATCTTGTTGAAATGATATGTAACATGATTTTTTGGTATCTAGCCAAAAATCGGTAGAATCTATAGTTCTATGGTCTTATACCTCGTTATCATTTTTTTTCACTATCTATACTCTATAGTCAACAACAACAACACAGTAAAGCTTAATATTTTAATTGTTATTATTAAAGTTATTATACTTTATTAATTAAATGTTAACTCTAAAACGGTCTATTACAATCGCATAAGTGCATACATTTTCTTGGACAAGCGTCGCTATTATTTTTTAGTTATTTTCCATTTATTAAAAAAATGTCGCTCTATACTCAAATAGTTTACACAAAATAAAGATTTTTGATTTCATTTGATTAATATAAACCACTATTAATAAAATAATACAATAAAATAGACTGCCCAAACGATAGGGTTGCCTAAAGACTGGATATTTGTAAACTGCGTAAGTTAATTTTGGTAATCTTGTTAATTATAATGGATACCAGAACTTTTAGTAATTATCAACTTAATTTAATTAGGTAGTTCCGAAAGTTGATTCGTAGAACTTAACGTTGTTTTCTGGTTTCCCAACCAGGATGCTTGCAAAATAGACGCGATGTTTCTGTAACGGTAAATTTATCAACAACGTTGACCTTTAATTTTTTTTTATATAGTTGTTTCTTATCATTGAGATTGTTTTTCTAAAATTATGGACTAATAATTTGTGACTCAACTACTCACATGTGACTACATAATTCATCGATACTTCAACTCACTTGCGTTTTGTACTTAAAAATAAAATAAATTTGTGTCACCCGAGGAATTTCACTGTACAGTTAAAGATATTATATACTATTATATCATACTTCATCATTTAATGATGTGTGATAAACGATTTATTGTTTTATTTATTGTAATAAAATAAAAACTAAGCTGGAGAATAGTAGAGGACGGAGAAATATGGAGATGGTGTGATAGTCAATTGTAGATGCTAAAACAAAGAAGTTATTTAATACCCTACTGTTCTGAGCAATACTTATAATATAATATGTGTGTCACCACATGATAGTAGATGAAAAAATCACTGGATAAGGAGATACTGATTTTGCTGCGATTTAGATAAAGTAATCTTTTTTTTATATCTTTTAGTGTATAAGATATAATGTATTGTTCAAGATGTTACCCTTTTTTCTTTAAGAGTAGAGAGATGCCGTGTATATAGTCAGTTTTATCATATAGCGGCTAGATGTTAAATTATTATTAAATACACTCCTAATATACTTGACTTTGCGTTCAGCCTTAAGCGAGTTACACAGCTATTTTTCAGTTTAATAGTTGAACACCCAACAAATCCCTATCGATCGCTCATACTATACTTATAAAATATTGTGTTTGTTGAACATCAAAGAAAAAATGTATATATTTAAGGATTGTTTATGGCGGTCGAAAGGAGACATAAGTTATACAATGAAGGGTGTATGGAAGTTACATATTTATGTGTCTGATATATGATAAAAATCGAACACGCGTCGTTAAATAACAAGGGCATTTTATACGACTGCATTATTTCTATACCTATAAATTATAATAAACATTACATAGTATATGAAGATGATACTTACTACAAACATTCTAACGTATTTGTAGAATCACCTTAGCACGCAGAAGTGCAGTAAATAGTTTTGTAACTTAATCTGATAAAGTTCATTTGCTACAGATCCTTACA